ATACTAGATACTAAATATTGATATAAATACTTAACTGGTGATACCATATGCTACACAGAAATTGCCAACCCCCCGTCCGCTTCGCACAAAGTACTCGTATACAGTCAATTTTCGTTAATTGCTTCAATTCGACAAATTCAAACGGCATTTTCGTAATAAGACATAAAGCGCAATTTAAAAGAACACGATTTCATGAAAAAAGACAACAATTCTAACAACAACAACAACAATCCGCTAAAGGAAAGGTAATTAAATAAGAACATTCAGCCAAACAAGAGCGAGTAGCATGAGTAAATGGACAGCTTAGTGAAGAAATAGGACAAAAAAGTAAAAAAAAAAAAATATATATATACATATATATCTTAAGAAAAGAACAGAAGAAAAAGAATTAGAAGGAACTTTAAATAAAAAAACAAGAAGAAAAGCTATTTTATTTGGCTGGTTGGGGCAATAAACGCTCCAGTGTACGAATTAATATTGTTATAAATATATTTGTACTGTGTATGTGTGTATGCATAAATAAATTGTTTAGGTCTGTATATATAATATAAAATTACTAGCGGATGACTCAAAAATTTTTATCACTAAAGCACGATTGTGCTGATTGGAAATACATTTGTACATTCATACATACATATAATATACATACGTATATATGTTTATATGTAACAATAAATTCTACAAAATTTTGTGCTGCGTATGTACATAAAAAGTACAAGTTCCTACTGCTCCGTGCCATCATTCCGCGCTTCACTTTATGCCATTTTCAACTGAGGCATTTATTTTTAGGCTATTTTTAGCTGAAGACTAAGTAAATCAAGGCAAATCACATTGGGTTGAAGAGGAAAAAGCAGGAAAATAATATTCAACGAAATGAAATATGAGAGAAAAGAAAATTATACATAAAAACGAATTAAGGTAGTTTTTAAAACAAAAATTTAAAGCAGATAAATTTTTGCCACTAAGTAAATAGTTTTTAAATAAGAAAAAGTGTTAAAAAAATTAAAAAAAAAATTAGAAAAAATTGAAAAAAGTTAATGAATAACAATTTAAAAGTAAAAAAAGAAAAAAAATTACTAATTAATAACTTGTTAAATAATTAAAAGTTATTTTTTCTATGGTTTTTTAATTTTTTAAATTACTTTAAAATACTTTAAATTAAAATCATGCCAATATTAAAAATTCTGTTGATTAAGTACAAAGAAATTATTGAAAAAAGTCTATTAAATCATAAATTAAATTATAAACAAGAAATTATAAATTAAGTCTCTCTAAAAACAATATTAAAATATGAAAGCTCGGAAATATTAAAAAAAAATAATTTCTACTATGTTTATTGACCCGCAACAGCAAAAAATCAACGATTGACGCAGTCAAGGGCAGCACCAAATGCCAAAAATTTACCGGACAGGCAAGCAGCCAAGAGACGAGCCACTCATGCCTATCATCAACCATAGAAACACATAGCAGTTAAATGAAAATTCTGATGACATTACATATAAGACGCTACCAATAGCAGACAATAAATTTTAATGCTGGGCAAAAGTTTGGACAATAAAATAAAATAAAAATTTACAAAAAAAAAATTTAAAAAAAATTCACAAACACAAAATAAATTAACAAAAAAAATTAAATTAACAAAAAAATTATAAACAAAGAGTTAAAAAAATTAAGAAAAATATTAAATAAAAAATAGCAACCTGGAAAATAAATATGACAATATTACAAAAACATGAATGAAAATCAATCAAAAGAGGTTCCAAAAAAATAGGGTAAAAGTGTATTAAAAATTGGATTAAAATTATCATTTGGAAATTTTGAAATCACCATAATAAAATTATATAAAACACAAGTGCATGGTAGACAAATTGTATATATGTATGTATTTATGTATGTACACAGTTTTGTCGCATTTGTGAAAATTTTAAAATATACAATTACAGCAAACTGTTTACATATTGAAAAGTCAAGGTTGGAGCGGTGTGTGAGAGAAATATTTTTCTAAATTATTATACATACATATATTTACATAAAGTTGTGTAAATATTTACATTATTTATAGATTTCATTAAGTTAGACAATTACAGCATTATGTATTGCCATTCGGTAGGTTTGAATTTGAGTCCTAACTCGCCCAAAATCCAAAATTAAATTTTCTAATTAGCGGTCGCATTTCGGCAGAGAATATCAAGCCTTGCGAATATATTATATTTCTCATATGAAAAAGTTTCTCCTAAAAACCCAGCAGCCGTTTGGCGGACTGTAGGTGCCTCCATTTGTTAAAAAACCATCAGGACGTACACCATAAATTGAAGGAGGAGCTTTGTCGGTATTAACGGATATTACTACCATTAAACGCAAAACATTTCCATTCAGTCGTCGTACTTTATGAATATCTGAAAATTGGCTTGCTCGTCAAATATTGTATTCAATTAGTGGTCGAATCTCTTTATTAAGGCTCCTTAAGAGACGTTCTCCTCTTACATTATAACACGACACTCTTTACTCTTTAAATAATAGTATTTGATGATAAAAATTAACAATTTTAGTTTTCTGAAGTTTTCCGCAAATTTGGCTAAGCGGTACATTGCAAAGAAAAGTAACGGCTGCCTATTATACATTTGACATTTGAACGATATTTCGTCATAATCGATAAAACTAGTGAACATACCGCTTAGGTGTTACAACATATTATTTTTAGCTTTATTTCAGTCGAATAAATTTCAAATATGCAAATCAATGTCTTCCGCTTGAACTTAATTTACAAATATTTGTAAAAAAAAAAATAATAAAAACGTGTTTTATATAAAATACTTCTGCGATTTGATTTAAATTTAAATTTGTTTATGTTGGGAAATTTTTGCTTTTTGTTCTTAATAAGTGCATTTTTAATATATTATTATATAATCATCATATACATACATACACACACACATGTGTGTGCTCAAAATAAATTTTCAATAAAAAAAATTTGTTTCATTAAAACAAATAACCTAACAAAAGTAAACCCTGTCGGCAAGGTGAACGCAATTATTATTTCCTGATTACATTTGGCGAATACATTTCGCACTTTTTCTTTTTTTCCAAAATTTTTATTTTCTTTCTGAAACGATTTGCTTAATGTATTCTAACCAGACGCCCACGCAAATGTCTACATAGAAAAGTAAAAAATCTGTACAGACGTACATACATACAAAAAGTTCTATCTATTTAAATGTATATGTTTGCATATACTTAAATGTGCTTCACATTATCGCTGCTTCTTTATTTTATCTCATTTCTCGATCTTAGATTTTTTTCGCTACAAAAAAAAAAATAAATAAATACATTTCACCGCTAAATGTGCTTCTCCTAATAATCTCCAATGAAATGAGCACAGATCCGCGATCTATTTGGTTTGATGCGAACGAAAAGCGTTGGCAGGCACAGTTGCTTTCTCGTGTGCGCCACCCACCTTTGTTAGCGTGTAACGTCAATGACATTGTCAAACAGGCTACAGCTGTTTTTGATACGCTAAGCATGATTTTTTTTTTAAATTGTTTTCATATACTTCAACTTTTTTTTTAACGATTTTTAATTTTTTAAATTTTATTCTTCCAGTTTTTTTTGTAATTTTCTGAGTAAGTATATATATTTATAGCGGGCAGAGTCAACCTCTTTATCGAATGTATTTATTGCAGAATTTATATACATATGTGCATGTGGTTGAATGTGGATATATGAATATGTCTCATTTTATAAAACTTTGCCAGTATAAAACACCTACACACATGTGCTTTAGCATTTGGTTTTAAACACTCATCCACTTTACAAATTATTTTTCATAATTTAATTGAAATTACTTTTTAATTGAATGAAATTTTAATTGGAGATCAAGATTACTTAAGTTAATTTGGTAAATAAAAGTGTATGTATGCGCAGTCTACTAATTATTTTTTCGCTAGATACATAAATATTATTAATTATGCATTTAAGTGATTAAACAAATGCCCTGCCAAAAGCAAAAATTTCTTTTTTAAATTTTTGCTTGCAAATCACAAACATATATTTATAAAAAAGTGTATTTTCCTTACACTAGTAAATATATTATATTATGATGACCAAAACCCGTTGGAATGGGAACGACAATAAGTTTAGCTGCTCGACACGCCTCAACAGATGTTCTTGGAGGAGTTTTTATGTAAGTTCTCATAAATTTGTTCAAAAGTATTTGTAAATGAATTATTTTTGATCGAAAATCAATAAAAATGTTTTCACCTGCCTTCGTATGGACTAGAAGCCGTCAAGCTGTTTTTGTAAATCCATATCGAAGAACTTCTAACTTTTATAAAAGCTAGATAAGACGCGTTTAAAGCAGCTTCTTGCATAAAAAAGTTTTGTATATGTACACATTTAAGTCTTGCAATATACAAATCTTTATAACAAATTTACTGAGGACCGCCAGCCAAAATGACACCCCCTTAAAGTAGCGATTTATTTAGTACTTTCAGAAATGACCAACAGCACAGCACAAAATTTGGGCAAGCTTAACAATGTAAATAATCTAAATCTATTTATTCATCATCGAATTTCATAATAAAATAGCTTTTATCAATTTTATCAGACTGAAGATCATAAATCTGTCGACTAATAAGTGTCATTAGCCGGCTTAACACACACAAACAAACAATTGTGAATGAGCTACTCTGGCTATGAGAAGTAGCACGCGTAAAATCAAGGGCAAAGAGAAAGCAGAAATTTGACACGCACTCAACAAAAAGAAAAACAAAAATAATTCACATGTAAATACCGATACATACACCCATACACGCGCATATTTAGCAATATATAAAAAAAAAAAGTAAATAAACAAACTGAAAATTTGTAAACTAAAAAAAATTGAATTTGGGGAGGAAATAATTGAAAACAGAAGTTTTGCAAAATTATAAAAAAAATATTCTTTGAAAAAAATTAAATTAATAAAGTAAAACGCTGTAAATTGCAGTTTATTTATTACTCACGTTCAAGTAGCCGCTGTATCAAGCTATCCACATTTAGATCAAAGTCAGCCATGATTATTGTGAATGTGTCGTCGTCGACGCCAACAGCAACGTGTGAAATATAACAATAATAAGACAGCCAGGGACTATATTAACACACGAAATATGATTTGTTCGTTTTTTAGCTGATAATGCAAAACTGCTTTAGGTAATCAAGATTTGCAAAAACAAACTGCAGTAATTATTTTTAAATGCAATTAGACACTGTCTGCTTTTATGCCAGAGTAGTATATAGAAGGAAATTCTAAGCACATACGACCCGAGAATCGCGGAAGTAAAACCAACTCACGTTGTACTTGTTATTGCTTCTATGACGACATTAAAAAGCCGGAATGAACGAAATTAGTTTATTCTTTAACAAAATGCAGACACAGAGTGGACCAACCAGTTACTTAGCCCAGCCAGTGGGTAAATGTGAATATTGTATGCGCGTATAATTAAAAATTCAATAGAAATGCAACGAAATTATTTTAGTATGTGACAAATTACCAAATTACATTAATATTTCCGTAAATTCCTTAGCGATCCGTTGTCGATTCGATACAAGTAAAAAATATTACAATTTTTAAGAAATTTACACTCACGCACACACATATAAAGTGGATGTATCGTACAGGCCAAAATGAAAATACACAAATTGCACAAAAATGTACCTATCTCCTCATATACATATGTAAATAATTCGGCTGCATCCAATCTACACTTTAACAATTTTTATTTTGTTTTGAATTTATTATATTGTGTGTAAACATCAATTGCTTTTCAATATTTCATTATCAGATTCATAATTTTTCTTTTTCCTTGCACAGTAAAGAATTTGTTTTTCCTCGCTCAATTTCCAGCCGTATAGGTTGATTTCATGCTCTTTGATTCTCTGCACTTGACCAAATATGGTATTTTCTAATCTTTAATTAAAGTAAATAAAACTTTTTGCTTTCATATAGAATTTTTGCACCATTTGCAACTGAACGTAACGCGTTTGCTCGTTCGCGTAATTGCAGAATTTTTATTTCATTTTTTTCACTGCATTTCAGAGCTAAATAAATGTTTGTTTCTCAAAAACACACAGTCCGTGTCACGCGAAAATATTTTGATATTTTCTTATTGGATTCTCTACGCTTACTGCAATTTGATTTCCGTCAAACTTGAACGATTAGTGTTGACGATGTATGAAAAGTATCGAGTAAAATTAGTGTTGGCTTATTTCGCACATGGTTGATTTTTAATCGCAGAGTTGCATTTTTTCGTATGGCTTCCATATAAAGTTCATTCGAAAATTACAACTCTGTGATGTCTAACAAACATTTATTTACTTAAATATTTTTTAACCGGTTACTTAGTGATAAGAGTTGTTGATTATCTTGGTCGTTATTTCTTTCTTTTTGAAAAATTCTATATAGTACGGGTTTGCAAATATCTGGTGAATTTATATTCAAGTTGTGCGATCTTTGCTGCCAAATGACAAGGTCTGCAAAGCGATTTCTTTCCAGAGACTCTTAAAAGAAAGCTTGTGATGGCACGGCGCTTTAAAATAACACAAATGTTAAAATATAATTTGAAAATCATTAGAAATATTAAAAAAAAATATAGAAATGAGGCAAATTACTTATTTGTGCAATTTTATGAACAAAATGCAAAATGTAATTTTTCTAATTATTCTCTTCATAACTTCCAATTTGGTCATTTTAAGATTTAAAATTTTCTTCTAATAATGCAAATATTTTAAATTTAAATCATGCTAAAAATATATAAAAATAATTACAAAAAGAAATTGCACATATTGACAGACAACCTCCAATCAGTTGATAAATCATTTCTTATTGTTATAATTCGCCTTGAAAAATTATTAATCTTTAGTGAGTTTGCTTTAGAAACCCTTTAAGCATCATGAGTCAAATGAAGTTCCTTAAAAATTGATTTTTTTACAAACACGATAATTTTGTGGGAGAATTGTCAAATACGGTTAATAAAAGGCACAGAAACTAGCAGAAAAAGAAATAAATATTGACATGAGCACAAAGCCGAAATCAGCTGATGACTTCGCCTTGATTTTTAGTGGGATATGTATAGCAATTTTATAGGAAAAATGTCAAATTTTTTCTTAGAAATAAAACTGCCCTGTTAATATATTTTTTTGTTTTTTTTTAATATTTTTTTTTTGTCTATGTATATAGACACCCTTTGATAATATATGACATATTTACATAAATAAACAAATATTTATTATCACATATTAGCACAACCTACTGTATTTAATATCTGAGAAGATGGCTAATAGCCGTATATATGTACGTATATACACTGCATACACTGCAATGACGTCATACCCCGTTTGATTTCCCCACATTCTGCCGCGCTCAAACGACTCGCACACTCAATATCTCATGAAACTCATCACATTGACTCAAAATTTTTCATACACACAAATTCGAGTTCCGAGCCAATAAGCTTCGTATGTTATTTAGAAATCAGAGAAAAATGGCTGTTGGTACATAATTGTTGGAATATCATCAACGAAAAGAAAAATTATTGCTATTACGTATGGAGCGATTTTAAAGAAATTAGTTAAAACTAAATTGTGAATGTTCCTTGGGTAATATATATTTAAAAAATTTTAGTTATAAATTAATTACCTAAATTCTTAGATTTATGTAATTTGTAAATTTGGAAAAAGAAAAATGTGTTCTGAGTCTTTCTACTACGTTTTGGCAGTCGCTTTGTCTTTGCCATCGTGGCTTCCCTTTCATTTCGTTTCTTAAAGAAATGGAACCATGAAGCTACTACATAAATACATACATATACATATACGAGCGGATCTGATATCATGTGATACATTGTTCCATGCTGTTCAATTAATTATTTTATCGCCGATATTATTGTCCAAAATATAATACGCCAAAATTGCTGCGAATTTCGCAAAAAAAAAAAAAGGAAAAATACACAGGTCAACAATGGATATGTATTTTGTTTGTATATACATATGTATGTATATACATTTGTGGTGAGCACACGCACATGCATGAGCACATGCACATTTCAGGGTGTGTTTGCATGTAAATATGTTTGTTTTACCTTGATACATACAAACGTGTGTATGTAGAAGAATTGCGGCTGTATACCAACTGAAAAATGGCGATTTTATAAGTGTTGCCAACGCTCTATAGCTGCAATGCGGGCGAAAAATTTTAAACGTGATTGACAGCTGTCAAATTTACTTGTGAATATGTGGGAGTATCGATGCCTTATGTGGCAAATATGCATGATTTCTGGCTAATATTTTAAATAGTTTAAAAGTGTCGGTGAGTTGGCGTTTTGTAAATATTATTTAACCTCAAATTTTCTGGTAAGAGACCCTATTAAATTTTTCTAGTAAAATAGTATTTTTTTTTGTTGATATATAATGGTGTTAGTTGGTTAAGATTTAAAACTGTATCCCCACATGAACATAATTTTCTATATTTGTAATTCAAGTAACCTCAAATTTTTTGTTAAATGAAAATCGCCTTGAAAACTGTGATTACCCAAAAATGTTTGTTTATTTTATTTCGTATATCATTTATTTTGATATATTTTCGTGTCAATACAATTGATAAGTTCCTACTTGTTATTCAACTGATATTATAACTTTAAGTTGCATTTTTTAACTTTTTCTTGTCTTTTATTGGCTTTCTTAATAGACAGCATTTAAAGTAAAAAATATTAAAAAGAATTCAAAAAAAATACTTTGAGGTTACAGCAGAAGTACAGAAATAACAATCTTATATTTTTTGGGTTGAAATTGTTTTAAATTGTCGAAGCTACCGCAAATTTATGAGAAATGCACTACAACCTAATTCGGACAAACCACAATATTTGAAGATTTCAACTCTTAAAAATAGAAATTGAAATAAAGTGTAAGCAAAGTAAACATAAACACGAAATATATTTTGACATTCCATTTAGCCAAGGCGAATTCAAAGTATGAAAAAAGCTGAAATCGCGGCCTTAGTAACTTCGCCTTGTTTTATTTGCCTTGAATCGAAGCGAGTTTACATAAAATGGTTTATTAAAGTAATAATATAATATATTTTGGTTTTCAAAATTGCTTGCTTTTGATCTTATTAGGGTAAAGTTATGATTTATTATAAATAAATAATGTTTTATTTTTCTTAAATTTCGCCTATATAGATATTGCTAAATAGTTTTGGCTATAATTGAATAGTACAAAATCTTTCGTAATATTTAGTGTATCACAGTGTTTTATAAAATTTATATATTATTTTTCGTGAATTAGCAGCTGTCGAGTTGCACTAAATGAGACTTTTTAAAAATATATCCATATAAACGTATCTTCTTGGCATAATATTCCTATTCAACACATCAATAAACAACTGTCTCTTGAAAGAGTTTATGCCACCAAAACGGCACCATTTTTACCCCCTTAAAAGCAAATGAAAAGCAACTCTAGTTGAGTGCTCAGCCGACGAGAACTGCGATGTTGAATGAGGAATACTCGTTTCATTTAAGTTGAGATTGTTGAATTGTTCATTACACATTTTGTCATGTCAAAGTTTATACATTAAAAAAAAATATATATAGATACATTTATATTGAAATGTCTTATCTAAGTCATATATAAGACACTACTATCTGCCTACAAATACTACTACTACCTAATTATATAATTAAAGAATATAAACAACGTAACTGGGAGCAAGTAAAGGTCCGAAAAAGGGAAAAGTTAATATGAAATGTATGATTAATGGTTAAAGTATTTAAAAATATAGCTCCTCTTGTAGGAGTAGATTTATATATATATATATAAATATATATATAATCTTAGTTCTATATACACTGAAAATATGTATGTATGCATGTATGTATGTATATATGCCTGAAACTTTTATCTAACCCGAAGGCTGCTACGAAAATGAGAAAAAGAGAGAATAAATGAGCAAAACATCTTTGTGTAATGCTCTCACACATTGACGCAAAGTACTCTCATATAAATACATATGTATGGATATGATAATCTCTCTCACACTTTGTGATAATTGTTTCCAGATGTTGTGGTTGGTTCAAAATACTCTACGAGAAAAAAACTTTATACAAAATATAATTTGAACTCCGGTATGTATTTATGTATATATGTATAAATGCTGGAAAATTAAAAATTTCGCCATTCCAGCGTATTTTTTTTTTTTGTGGCGATTTCCGACAATGTATGCTCATATATGTATTATATACATATGTGTGTTTGTTTGTATGTCGTAACGCGTTAAGAAAAATATTCCATAAACGACGTACACACATATATAAATAACGTAGAAGAGAGGATGTTTGTATTGAAAAAAAAAAGAAAAAAAAAACAATTTTTTTGGAGTAAATTTTTAATTAGTTGTTGTGCGCAAAGATATTTCAGTGTTGCAAAATCGCTTTTTATTAACAATTAAACGCTAATTATTGTGCCCTTTCACTTTTTTTTTTTTTTGCAAGCTTTCTCTTTTTTTTTCTAATCTGCATTGTAGTATCGTACAGACATACTTACATATGTATTCGAAAGGAACCTCGTAAAATATACATACATACATATATAAATAATTGATCAAACGTATAATGAAAAACGCTAAAATCATACAAATATATATATACATACATACGTATTAACATATAGGCATTTGTAATATATAAACATGTACAGTGTGCACAAAACATGAGAACAATAACAACAAAGAATTATTGAATAGGCCGTGTATGGAAAGAGGAAAGAGGGTTGAGTAGGTTTTCTTTTAGGCTCTCATATTCTCAATATAAAATAGTTCACTCAAAACGAGCGAATAGTGTCTATATGCATACAGTGAATCCACTTCATAGGCTGGACAGAATTAAAACTTTTCGCGCGTTACAGCAATTTTTTTTTGAGAGGCATGACGCGTGACGTATTGAATGAATGTACTCTCAATTAAAAAATATTGAGAGTAATTATATAGTGTATTAAAAAATTATTTGTGCGATCAATTAGAAATGTTGTTTTATAAAAAAAAGAAATATAATAAATGACAGTAGTACGCATTCAAATCTCTCATACCAAACAGCTGATCAATTTTTGACTCGTACGCGTTTTTTTTTAATAATTGTGAGTACGTTTGCAATATCTCGCTTGCGTTGCCGCTACGTTCTCATTCTGGCGAGCCTGTTATGCATGTTTGAATGTTTGAGTAGGTTAAAATTTGTAGTATCCGTTATAACTAGATACCTATGTACATGACCACATAATGACCGCCAATGTAATTTTTAGCTATTTATGGTTATATTTTTCGCATAAAGTATATAATTTCTATGCACCTTTACTACCTTAAATACATACATATATGCATATATGTCTGTTTTTGTTGTAAAATTACATACAGTGAAATCGTCGATTTTTCAATTATGTTATTTTGAAGCAGTGCTTGCTATTGTGAATGATCTTTTTTTAACTTTCTATTATTTAATCATTTATTAAGATGTAACCTATAGGGATATAAGGATTTAAAAGTATAGGGCAAACAATTTTTTACAATTATTTGTGAAAATTTGTGACGTTAAAAATTTTAAATAACTACAAATTGAAATAATTTATGCGTATTTATATAGAAATGTTAACTTTATTTTTCTTGTATATAGGATGTATGTACATACAAACATACGTTTTTTTTTTGCAAATTTATGCATTGCATAAATACCCATTGCAAATATTTTATTTATTTTTGTAAGAAAAAAGAATGGAATTGGAAGTTAGCGCATTTTTTGTCATGCTTTTGACAAACCCTACGCGAAATAAAAAAAAACAGTATTCGCTTTGTTTTTACAGCTTCTCTTTTTTTTTATCATAAAAGTTCAGGAAAAAAATTACTTCTTTGAAATGGTGTACCTAACCTTCGGTGGTTAAAAATGGTTAAAATGCTTTGTATTTTGTTTTTAACTTATATTTTAACATCTGCTGTACATGCATATGTATGTATGCATTCTCTTTAAAATTTGGTTCATGGTAAATTTATTGTATACACAACAAATATTCACACTCACGACTACCACCGCACTTTATTTACTTACATATGTATATATGTATGTACAATGTTTTAAACCTCATTTTCTACCTTCTTCATCATCTCCATTCATTCATCTACCTGATATGTATATGTATATGTATGTATTCTCATTTTAGTTTGATTGATTGTTCTTCTTTATACTTGTGCTTGCCTGCGCTAAGTCTTAATGGAATGCATAAAGAAATTCAATATTTCAAATTTACGCCACAGTACAGAGTTTATGCTTTAGCTTACCACACACACACATCTATCCATACGCATGAGTTAAATTTTTTGGTAATTATTTGTATTATAAGTTTTTGGCCCATTCATTTTTATGCAGGAAGAGTGTTTGACAAGAATTTCATACTTAATATTATTATGTGAAATTCGAAAGTGATTGATTTTACTAATTTATAGTAAGGATATATGAATGCACATATGTATTTTATCCATGTCTACAAATGTACATACTATGTACATGCAAACAACCTTCCAAGTTGTTGCTACAGTAAAACAGAAGTCAGTTAAATTACATAGCAATTATTTTGTTGTCATTTAACTAAAAAAAAAAAAACAAAAAAAAAACAACTGCATCTAATTAATGTCAATTGCTTTTATCAGCTTATTATTGCATTTGCGCTGATTTAATCGATTTATACCGTTTTCTCTCTTATTTTTGCAAATGAAAGAAAAAAAAACTGCCTTGGTTTGCGACTTCGCTTAGCAAAGTCCATGATGACGCTTACTTTTGGCATTTCCTTTTCCGTTATGTTTGGTTGAATGCATCAAACTATCGTTTTTTGTCATAAATGTGACACATTTTTGGTTAAAAAAGTAAAATTTGCGCTTTTAGTTCCGTATGCAGTTAAAATAAAATGTGATTAATACATAAATGTATGAATGTACATATTTAATCAGTATGTATAGTATATCAATACTTTTTTTGTTATTTACCATTTTACGCTTACAAGCAGAGTTTGTCTCAGTAGTTTTAATTTATAGAAAGGTCATATACATATATACATATGTATGTATGTATACAATGTGCATATGTACTGCTTGTTTAGAAAACCTGTTTTAATTTACAAATGAGTATAAAAATCTGAGTAATGTTTTCAAAGCTGCAATTAATAAGCGCTGCATAGATTGAAATATTGAAGTTTTTGTCGTAAATGTTTGTATTTGCTATAACTGAGCTATGAATGCAGTATACATACATATATAGGTATGTATATACATATATGCTTAGCTATATTGTCTAACAAAGAAATAATACACACATACTTGCATACATATAAATGTATGTACTTAAATGAATGGCGTTTATAAATGCATACACATGTACATATGCATACATGCGTATATACATATATTTTATGTACATACAGTATTTATTATGAAGTGGTTGTTTTGATTTAAAAACAATTATAAAAACAATACGCTCCTCATTGCACTTTTATCAGGAAAATTAACATATTGTGAAATTGAAAAAAAAAAAATTGAAATAAAATTTCGCAAGTCACTACCCAATTATCTATTATATTTATGTATGTATGTACATATAAATAAAAAGAACAAACAAAGTGCATATCTGAATCAAGTGTATGAGAATTGTCTCCTACTTGAATGTTTTTACTCTATATAGTATTATTTGCGGGAGAAAAATTTATAAGAAACTATTTTCATTGAATTCAATATCATTTTTACTGATACGAATTTTCACAAAGTATAAATATGTTGAAACCATAAAAAATAGTTTGTATTTAATGGATAGTTTTCTTCAAATGTTATTCAAATGTTACTGTAAATTTTAATTTTTTTTAATAAAATTTATTTTAACATAGTTTTGTTCCTTTGCCAAAGGAGTCTGATAATAACCCAAATACCCTTCATTGCATTCTTTATTTACCCTTAAAATATAAGACAATTTAAAATTTTGAATTTATTCGAATTCTTTCAAGCGTTGAATATTTCACAACCTCTGCTCGCGAATTTATTTTATATTCATATACATATAAGAAAATTATTAACCACACAATAGCTCAGTTACTTTGCTGTATTCTAGACAAAGTAATATTTAATTTTTCAAAGATTTTTCGTATTAAAAAAATGTCAAATAGAAATTCAATTTAATTTTGAACACATAACACAACTTATTGTACAATTGAAAAATCAGAAAAGGTCTTTAATGAACCCATTTTCTATTATTTTTTATTTGCAGATTTTTATAACTAAGATTTTCTTAAGTTTTAATTGGAATAAGGAAAGTTCTTAACAAGACATTAATTTTGCTACAAAAAGCACACACGTTTTAACGAGTTTCCACAAAAAAAAGAGGCAAAATTATCCATTACTAATATTCAATATAGTTGGATAAGAAATTTAGAAAGCGGAATAGCTTGGTTTTAAAATACATACATACATATGTACATGTATGAGATATGTCAAAATGTCTGAAGAGAGCAATAATACAGTGATTTGTGATACTAATATCACCACAACCAGCACAATGTCCACCACCGAACCCGAAAAGGAAACGGCAGCAATCGGCACAGTTGTGTCCACAAAACCTGCAGACACAGATACAACCGTTGAGACTGTCGATATTGAAGATTTAGAGGATGGTGAAATCGATGAAGATGATGAGGATGATGATGTTGTTGTTACAGGTGCCACAACCAGCACGAATCAGGCGAATACAAGTACTAAAAGCACCACAAAGAGCACCAATGATGCTTCCTCAACATCAAAAACAATCAACGATGTGACGGTAAAAATACCAATAATTGATTTGTCACATGACCATACGCCATCGCCGACCAGTGTTAGCAATAGCAAGACGTCAGAATCCAAGTCTCGTAGATCGAAAAAAGGTCAACCCCCAACAGGTATGAACCAAACTAATAAGCAATTAAATACGTGCATGTACATACTCGTATAACTACTTATGTGGTAAAATCTAATTAATTTACACCATTTTTTTGTTTTCTTAGATGATTATATGGAAGAGGTGGAGAAATCATTATCGATTATTTTAATGAAAGCGGGCAAGGAACCACAATTGCCCAAGTGTTTGGAAGCACGTCAACAACAGGAACCGAAGGAGGCTGACTCAACAGTCAGTCAAAGTCGAAGCAGTAGGCGAAGAAAGCGTAGAAAGCAACGCGAAGAGCGTGAAAAGGAGAAGGACAAAGAACGTAAAGATAAGGTGTGTTTTGTCGGATGTTTTAGTACACAGCTCATTAAACTTTATTTGTTATACCTTAAGCTTTTCAAACAGGTTCTGTATATATTTTTCAGTTTAAAAAAAATCCCAAGTTAGTTAAAATTAGCACTTGAAGTTTAACTTTGATTTAAAAAATTTAATTTTTAGCTTTCATAATTTCTTAAAATTTTTTCTCTTAGATGAAAATACTTCACTATCTAGGCTTAATTTAAATATATAATATAATACTTTGTTTTTCATTAAATTTTTTTGTTTTTTTTCATAAGCTGGCATTTTTTATTTATTTATTTGTTATTTTTTGTGTTTAATTATTTTTATTTAATGTGATTAAGTGTTAAATTGATTTCCATAATTTTATATTTTTAATATTTTATTTTTCCATGCATATTTAATAAACTTTTGTCATGTTTAGTGTAATTTTTTTAATTCTTTTTATTTAATTTAACTTTATTTCATATTGTTATATATATGTTTTTGTTGTATTTAGTATTATTTATTTATTTGATATTATTTACAGTATTTATTTATTTATTTAATAATAAGAAAACATTAGTACAGTAAGATTTCTATATATTTTTTAGCACATTTATTTATTTCACTTTATTTCGGTATTTTATATTAATTTTTTAAATTTCTATTAAATTCTATTTCAATATAATTATATTTCCTTTATTACTATTATTTTAGTTATAATTTTAAGTTTGCTTGATATTTTAAATTATTTTATTTATTATTATTCTTTGATTAGTAATAATAAATAAAATATGATATTTATATATTTTTATTTAATTTTATCATATTTTAGTTCATTTTATTTTGTTTTATTTTTTTTGTTTTTTGTTAGATTTTATATAGTTTAACTAATTATTAATTTTATACCCCTTTTATTTAATTTTTAATCTAGTTTATGCTATTTTATTTATTTTTATATGTAATTTAACTTTTTTTGTTTATTTTTTATTTCATTTACTTGCATTAATTTTTTGTTATTTAGTATTTTGTTTTTTTTATTTATTTTATGACTAAAATTTTTTGTAATCTTTCTCTTCTAGGAAAAAACCCGTTTCCATTCACCCGAGCCATACAATGGCGCCCCACCACTGGAAGATGATGAGGATGATTTTGAAATGTTGAATGTGGTCGGTGGCAGTCCGTCTAGCACGCCCGTACCCAAATATGCACCGTCCGCTTATCCCATTTACGACTCCGCTGAGGAATCATATACTTCCTACGATAGCTGTGATTCCTTAGATGGCGAAAGAGGTGGTGGCAGCGAAAGTAAACGTCGACGAAGACGTAATAAGAAAGAACGCAAACGTGGACGTGATCGTGAGCGGCGAGCACGTAGTCGTGAGGATAGTGCACGTGGTGGCGGACCATCAGAGAAACGTTCGAGGCGTGATTCAAACGTAGGTTTTTGTTTTTATGAATTTTTTTGTTTGTCGTTTTTATTATATAAAAAAAAATTTAAGTATCTATATATGTTGACCTTTATTTCTGTTTACAGGATGACAAACATCGTCAGGAGCCGCGCAAATTAGAGCTCTGCAAATTCTATTTAATGGAATGTTGTGCCAAAAAAGATAAATGTTCCTATATGCATTCAGATTTTCCATGTAAATACTATTATCTCGGCATGGAATGTCCCAATATAGAGACATGCAAATTTATGCACGAAGCGCCATTATCCGAGCAATTACGCAACATACTTTTAAAGCATTTAGAGACAGCGCCCAAAGAGATACTTGGTAATTTTAAACGTATATCACGTGATAATGCCATTGCCATGATGACCAAACGTAATGAGGAACTATGTAAGGAATATAAGGTCGAGAATACATGGGCGCCGATAGTTAATATTGCGACGAATAATAATCGACGGGGTGGTCATCAAGCTGGCGGTGGTGCTGTTGGTAATATGTTAAACGATCAACAGCAGCAACAACACCAGCAGCAAAAACAACACAATCAACAGCAACAGCAACAACAACATCAACAACCACACAGTAATATACCCTCACTATTCGATATTGTTGTAAAACCACCCGTATCACTACTCAGTGTCGGTGATAAACACCGTAAATCACGTTGGACCGATTCGCCAACACGTGAAGAGCCAACGACTACAACGCAAGAAAATAATACAAACTCATTCCCTAGCTATTTGGATTTGAAAAATCTTGAGGGTATAATGAAAGCGGAACATATACAGAAACTCACCACTTTGGGTATAACCAATTTGCAGGAAATTAATCAATTCACCTTTGGTCAGTTGCAAAAGATTGGCATTGATTTTGTAGAGATAAGCGAAGTGCAGAAGAGAGTGCAAAGTAGAATGGAAAACAAAGCCGAGACTGAGGAGGAGCCTAAAATGTAAGTAACAAAAAAAAAAAAACAACAAAAAACAGAAATACAGTACGTGAGCTGAATTTTCGCTTTTTTATTTCATTTACACTTTAAGTTAATCAAATGGTTATTTTAAATTAGCCACAAGCAATTTTAGTTCTGCTTTCGCAGTTTACTTTGTATTTTTACCCAAATCTCAAATCGCATTTCATTAAAGTTAAAAAAAAATGAATTTTTTACTATTAGTAACAAAATATTATATTTTTTTATCAAAATATTTTTTTTTATTTAATGCTTCGATGATTTTTTATAATTTTTTTTATAAAACTCTTTATTTTATTTCTTTAATTTTTTTATTTAATTTTTTTTCCAATTTAATTTGCTTTATAAATTAACCCGTCACCTTGAATCTCACTTTCAAAAACATTGATTATTATAACATTTTCATAGGCACTAACATAACCTCATTATTATAACTAACCTAACTTTTCAATTATTAAAAATATTTGTATTAACTTCATTTATTTATTTATTTTATTATATTTTTCATTCACCGTTATTATATTATGCCGTGTAGTCCTACAACACGCGATGTTGATATGCGTTCTATTCCTAGTGCTACAACAACAGCATACTCGGAACCAATATCGATGACAACGACGACATCAGCGTCGTCACTATGTCATAATCCCACTACGGACGGCGACTCGAATAGTAATAACAGCACTGGAGTGGTGCGTTTCGAATATTCACAATATTTAAAGGATTCAAATTTGGCATTCGATCGTTGTGATGCATGTAAGTATAAAATTAGTACGAAATTTGTTTTAAAGTTTTATTTTTGTTGTACAAACCTAAGCTGATACCATGCCAATGCTGCTAGTGGGGTTACAACGATGCCATAACCTCACTTTTTTTCTTTGCTAACTTTTTCAACCTTTTTACACTCACAAAACCACAACACCTACAGCGATCTGTCGATCATGCAGCCGTTCTTGTCTATTTATCGTTTAGTTGTCTTACTTTTACTGGAGTAATATTTGAGAAACTGCTATTTTTTATTCGGCCTGCGACAGCATTCGTCACTATGGTACTGAGCCGACCGTTAGGCAATTCCCTTGACATATATGAGGTTATAAGGACTCGGTCACCCCTAGAAGCTTCAGTTGCCCTAGTAATTCTGGCAGAACTAAGTTCTGAATGGCAGGTATTTGGCTTCTACTTATCTAGATTCGACCCGATATACTCAACTTAGTGATGACCACGTGCGGTGAGTCGCCGCACGACATTAATCAACTTTTTGAAAGTCGTCTAAAACACCCATATCTCCTTTTCCCAACCGCTTTGTAAGAGTTTATTCCTTGGGTTTCTCTTAAAGTAAAATTTATGAAATTTTTTTTTTTTTAATAATTCTACACTATTTTTTTACATTTTCTAAAATTCTAACCTCAAAATTTATTTTTATATTCTTTTAGATGATGATGAGCGCGATGAAGAGCAACTGGTTATAGATGATCCCAACATGGAACATGAAGAGAATCCACGTACGACAACATCGACGTCTAATGAAAATGATAATGTTCATGATGAGGTAAGCACTGGTCCCAAATGAATATTATTCTTTATATATATAATTCCCTTGATTATTTTTTATTTTGCATGAAAATTAATATATTATTATATTTTTAATTCCAGCCGCCGAAAACCAGCGATTTAGCGTCCAGACTCGGCTTACATTTGAATCCCTTCAATCCCTTCCGCACAAATCCGGGCGATTTCCTAAAGAATGAACACAAATCAAACACCAATAATGCGAGCAGTAGTGGCTTCCAATACAATGAGCACAAACGCACACGCGGACGCTCACGTTCTCGTTCCCATTCGCGTTCCCGCTCACGCTCACGTTCACGTTCACACACGCCAACACGCACACAATCCATAACGCCCGAAGCGTCCGACTCAGCAGACAATGATGATGGTGATGGTGGTACAACCAAAGCAAAACAACCCATCTACGAGCGCAAAACAATGTATGACTTCGATGCGGTACAAGCGCAAGAGGATGAACGTAAACTATCCGAGCGTAGCGATAAGGATATGCGTTATGTACCCGGCAGCAATAGCATGTTACCCTTCCAAGCAGTCACAAATTACACACCCGCAACCGAAATAGACGCTGCCATGTCATCACACCTGCCGATGACATATAAAGTGCATGAATTCGATATGCCACCAGCGAATTATGCCGACTTGCGACGTAATTTACGTGCCACAACAAACACAGCCGATCCGCGTGTACGACGCATACTCGGCTTACCGGAAACGCGCGCAACCAGCGTGGCTTTGAAGCGTGCGGGACGCAAACTCAGCAATACAATCGCATCACCCGAAGCGGATGACACGCCCAAATACTATACACCCCCAGCGCTGAGTAGTACGCAAAGCACGACGAATGCCAGTGAACGTGAACGCCGTATAGAGGAGCGACGCTCGAGCATTAGCAAAACAGCGTCGCCAACTGTGTCCTCCTCCCGCACCGATCCGCGCTTAGATCCCAGATGTGCGGCAAGCTCGGCAGCCACAGCAGCCGCTGCCAAAGCGAGTGAGGCCGACAAGACTAGCAGCGCAACGGCTAGTGCCAGTGGCACGGCTGGCGATAGCATAAATGCACGTATAACCGATTTGGGCAAGAAAATGCGTGAAAATATGCAAAATTCCGATTGGTATCGCAAGCTAAATTCGAATATGAAAATACAATACAATCAAGAGTTGGCACGTCTGATCACCGAACTGCGCCGCTTCCATCAAGACACATCCCCAGATAAGAATTTCAATTTTATAAATTGTAATAAGAAAATTATCGATGACATACTCATACAACTTGGCATATTTATTGATGAAAATGGCGAGGTGAATAAAATCGAGTTGGATAAACCGGATGACAGTGAGTTGAATATGAATGCCGAAGCGCGTGGCGATTATATGCAACAATTGGATTTCCCCAACCCCCAGTTGAATATGCCCAATGCGGGTTATCGTAATCCAATAGACTTTCGCTTTCCACCGCCGGCGCTGGGCGGTGGACTCGCCGGGCCACGCTTACCACCCATAGCTGTAGCGGCAGCTGCAGCAGCAGCCGCTGCCGCCGCCGGTGGTGGTATGCCACCAGGTGGTTTGGCTGGTGTTTTTAACAACAACAATAACAATATGCCACAGCAGAGTTTGCTCGGTATGCCACCGCTGTTCCATCAATTCAATGCAGGCGGTGGCAATTTCGCACCAACTGGTTCACAAATGGCTTTCGGTTTCTTAAATTTCCCACAACAAATGGGCGGCGGCGGCGGTGGTGGTGGTGGTGGTCCACGTAATTTCAATATGGACGGTGGTCAACATAATAGACGTAATCCAAATAATCGTAGACATTTTATATAACAAACGAAATTATTGAATGAAGTGGGGGAGGAAAAGGCCGGGAGTAGTTAAAACTACAAAAACAAACACAAAAACAGAATATCAATCGAGGACTACTATATATATGTGTAGAGAGAAAAGGAAGTGGTGAATATACATATGTATATTAAATGGAAGACTTAAATAGTTTATATGTTTAGTTAGTAGTGTATGTATATACCAGTAAACATGTATTTAACGATAAGTAAGAAATTTCTACACATTAAGTACATAGATACTATGTACATAAATAACTACTTGAAATAGATGGCGTGTGACGCAAATGCGTATATTTTAAATCTCAGTGCGTACACTGTAAGGCATAAAATACTTTTCTTAACATTTAAACGTATGTATGTATTTTTTGCAACGGCCATTGATGAATTTGTTAAACAATAATTTTAGCAATTTTGTGAAACTAGTAAATAGCAATTAAAATAACAATGATTTCCATTAATTTTACGACACAATAAATCCATGTATGTATGTACATGTGTATTTCTTTTAATTTTTATAACAAAGGAGAAATAATAAGAAAATATACTTTGAAATTAAAAAAAAAAAATTACTAAAAATCCACGATTTGGTTATTTCACACATTTATTTTTATACAAATAAATAATAGATAGATTATTAGTTTTTTTACTTAGAGCTTAAATACTCAGGTTGACTGATTTGAGTTGAAATCTGCATTAATTTTAAAAATAAATTATTTAAGTTTTTTTTTTTAATAAAATAAGAAAAGAAAAATTAAATTAAAAAAATGAAATACTTTTTTGTTTATTTAATAAAAATAATAATAATTAAATAGAACTAAAATATAAAATAATAATAATTTAATTATAAAATAAAAGACATTAATATCTCTACTTTGCTTAATAAAAGTATATTTATGAAAATAAATTAAAGGCAGCATTTTTAATTGGTATATTATTAGCAAAGTAAACTACACAACCTTTATCAGCGTTGAAACGATTTTCGGTCGAATTAAGTAAAAAAGTACATTTTAGAAAAAAGTTATTATTAAATAAAAAATCTGCAAAATTATTAAAAACTTGAATATAAAAGAAAATTAGCAAAAAATTATTTTTTATTTTATTGAAAAACATTTAGATTAAAAAACATCAATACTATTACTTTATTAGAGAAAAACCACAAGAGTACCGGCGCTAATAATATTATTTTTCAGTGAAATAAAAGAACTTAATTTTATGAAATTTTTTTTATAAAAAAATTATATTTTGTTTTTGCTAAAACAATTAAACTGATTTAATTTCATTTTAGGTTTGCACACAAATTCAAACAAAATAATCAAATATATAAGCATTGCATTAATTAAAAGAATCCGCATAGTAACAGAAAATGTTGTAGAATTAAGTGCTTCCTTTAAATAACTTTTACAATAAAGCAAACTAAAATTTAATTTACATAAAAACTGTATATTGTAAATTAAGAACGAAATAAATTACATACATATATTTTTTATTTCGGTACGCCAAGCAACATAAAAACAATAATAAAAATTATTACATTAACTTAATAATTGTATAAGGTAAAATAACTAAAAATAATAAAAAGATTATAAATAAAAAAAAAGTAATGAAGAACAACCAAAAAAATCATGAAGCGTAAATAAAAGAATTAATAAAAGATAAATAAACAAAGAATAAATAATAAAAACAATAAATAATAAAAAAATAATAAATAATAAAAACAATAAATAATAAAAAAATAATAAAAGCAATAAATAAATAATAAAAACAATAAATAAATAATAAAAATAATAAATAACCAATAAATATAAATAAAAGAACCTATAAATGCTTAATAATAATAAAAAACAAATTAAATAATTAATATATAATAAACAAAAGTTGATACATAATAAATAAAGAAATGAATAAATAAAAAACAATAACGAATAATAAACACAATTCATAAAATATAAATAAAAGAATATATAAATGGTAAATAAAATAATAATAACAATGAAAATAAGTAAATAAAAGAAATTATTAAACAACAAACAAAACAAAATGTAATACAAATAAAATAATTAATAAATGATAAATAAATAATAAATAATAAAAATAACTAATAAAACAAATCAATAATAGATTATAAAAATAATCAATAAATAATGAATAATGAACAAATAAATACATAATAAACAAAAGATGTTACATAATAAATAAAAAAATTAATAAATAAAAAATAAAAACGAATAATAAACCCAACGATTCATAAAATATGAATAAAAGAACTTATAAATGATAAATAAAAAAATAATAAATAATAAAAATAACTAATAAAACAAATAAAAAATAGATAAGATAAATAATAAATAATAAAAAAAATTAATAAATAAAAAATAATAACGAATAATAAACACAACAATTCATAAAATATAAATAAAAGAATTAATAAATGGTAGATAAAATAATAATAACAATGAAAAAAAATAAAAATATTATAAAGTACAAACAAAAAAAATCATGAAATATAATAAAACAATTAATAACTGATAAATGAATAAATAATTAATAATAGAAATAACAAATAGATAATAAAAGTAATAAAAATAATATATAAATAATAAAAATAATCAATAAATAATAAACAAAAAATTAATAAATAATAAACAATTATTATACAAAAATAAATTATAAGCAATTATTAAGTATATTAAATAAAAAAATTATTGTAAATAAAAAGTAATAATGGATAATGAATACAAAAATTCATCAAATTTGAATGAAAGTGCTAATAAATAGTGAATAAAATAATAATATTTAATAAAAAAAATATTAAAATAATAAATAAATAAACTACAATAAACATATAAAAGAAATAAAGAAAAAATGAATAATAGGCAAAATAATTAACATTATAATAAATTAAATTAAAAAAAAAATTAATAATAATAAATAAAAAATTTATTAATATAATAGTAAATAAAAAATTATTAACGAATATTAAAAAAAAAAACTAATATATAATAAATAAAAGCTGATTTAACAAAAAAAATCCTTAAAAATAAATTAATGCAAAAAAATTGAATGAACAAAATCAATAATATAACAAATAACCAGATGTAAAATCAATGATTTTTTGTTTGTTTTTGTGAATTTTTTGCGTGTTAAATACTTTTTTTAATAAAATTGATTGAGGTTAATTTCGAATTAATTTTTTTTTCTGCCAAAAGAATAAAGAAATATAGACTTATATTTATTATTATTTTTATGTTTTTTTTTTAAAGAAACATTTTAAAATTTAATTTAGAAAATTTACTTGAAATTTTAATTAATTTTGGGCAGAAAAAGTTCAAAAAAATGTTTTTCCTGAATTAAAAGTGCTTTTTATTTTAAATTTTTTTTTTTACCTATATCTTTTATGTTTTTGACTTGAGCTAAGTCGATTTTTACTAAAAACTTTTTTTTTTGCTAAATAAAATATATAATTTTTGTTTGTCTAATTATTACTATTTGTTTTTTTTTTTGATAAATTTTGTTAAAATATTCCTTATTGTTTTAAATTTAGGTTCGTCTTGTGGAATTTGATTTTTTTCAAATTTTCAGAATTAATTGTTTACTTCAATAAAGAATATTGAAATGTAAGCCTTAAACTCTGCATACTTTTAAGCTTGTTAAGATTACACAAATGTACATACATACATACATACATATATATATATATATATACATATGCTATGATTTAGATTTGTTTTAAATTACACTTGAGATTATTGAATTTAAGCACATAAATTTTTTTTAAAATGTAAATTAATTCACATGCACACATGCACATACAAATACATACATACTAAATGTATATAAAATACAATATATTTATACCTACATAAGTATGTATATAGTAGTAAGTTAAACGTTAATAACGGTGTATTGAAGTGTACGCTTGTAAATAAGTTTACATAAATATTAATTCTGTAATTATGGGGTAGCTATAATTTTGCAAAGTAATATTTGTTACATAATTTTTTTCAATTTTTTTTTTTTTTTTTTTTTGAAAGCCATAAACTTCATTTATACATACATATACACATATAGATGCACATACATACTTATATATTTGAAATGAATCGCAAAATCCAGTGAAAATCATATAAAATTCAACATAAATACATGCATACATACATATATATATATTAATTTTTATAAAAAGATCTACATACATACATACATAAGCACATGACATATGTTTGTATGTACATAGATAAAGCAATTTAATATTACATTAAGTATTACAAAAAAAAAAAAAACAAGTATTAATGAAACTATGGATTACATACATACGTACACATGAAAAAAATAATAATTTATAAATTAATAAAAAAATATTTGAATTAAAAAAAATTTATCTTTTTTATATTTTTCATCTTTAAAGCGACAGAAAGGACTAGGTCCGGGCTGCCTGCGGGTAAGGAGTTCAAGAATGTACCCGCGGTAAGCCATGCCTGTCGTAAGAGGCGACTAAAATCCAATAGTTCCCGCTCGAGTCGGGTCTTTATACCGGAACGACCCGGATTTTTATCCGGCCAAGGACTGTCACTCTCGCAACATTCCCCAAAAAGTAATTTGGGGTATATTTTTGCGGTTACAACAACAACAACAACTAGGTCCGGGTCATCCCTACGGGTCTACGGGGTAGGGATTGGGTTGTAGGATCTATATATCAGGACGATCCAGTTTTGTAACCGACCAAGGACTGTCACTCTCGCAACATTCCCCAAAAACTACTTTAACAACAACTACTTTAACTAACAATAATTAGAATGACCGCATTCTTGCGCCGCGAAAAATGATCCATCCTATCGCAAGTCAATTGAACCAACTTGCCTAAAGCTGTGCGGCATGGAGGACGACGATTTGAGAACCACACACCTGTATTTTTTCGATAGAGTTTTGACGTTTAGCTAAGCTTCTGAGTATGCAGCCACTAAGCCACACTTCATTATTAATTCATATTCTTGCGGCGATGTTGCGTACCCTGGAAACGTGAGCAACCCCGGCGGAAGATGCGATAACCAACCCTCTGGGCACGTCTGAAATATAGGAAGCTTCATGACAACCACGGCAAGCATACAAAAGATTATGACTGATTGATGGATGATTGACCGATTGATGATTGACCCACCGGTTGGTGTCCTTTTACGCGGCAGAAGAAGACGGGCTCTTTTGTAACTACAATACCACACCGGCCATTTAAAGGCATGCAAATTAGGTGTTGGATTTGTGGTTGGAGGATTAATGTAGATTGGGTCGAGACTTTCATCCACCGGGCCTCCGTCGCTAAGGCGATTTCAACATGCGAACTCTCAGAAGTCGCAAACTTCCACCTCTTTGTGCAGTGAAAAGTGCTCATCCAGCTCTCTGAGAGCACTCATCTACAAGTTGGTATAAGAGAACCCTTGGATAACAATTCAAGCTTCCTACTTACTACAACTACAGTTTCGGGAAAGGAGCTGATGCGATGAGGTTTGCCGCACCATAGGGGAGAGGAAACAGCCTGCTTAAATAGCAACGTTGCAATCGACCAAAGCACCTGCCTGATGGGATAGATCAGAGAGTTGAAGAGGGAAGCTCTCAACACAATCGCTGACAGAAGAAAGATACCAAAATGCGTGAATATGAAGAGCTTGAGAAGCTGGGCGACAGGCCGACACGAGCAATACTAGGAAATCCTAGACTGGCGCATATTCATGTAGGAAGCACGGAATAAATCTGTTTACTAATGTTCAGGGAGTTTAATAAGAGATTATGGAGGGTGCACTTATCCAGCCTACTAAATGGCAGTGTAAATGCAGCCCCCGAAATGGTGCGTCCGAAGTCCCAATCTATGACGATTGTATAGACGTTTTAGTGTACTCTGCGCGATCCGTACAAAGAGGTACTACACAATCTGCCCCAATTAGAGGAGATACGCCTCCTCAATACCGCATTTAAGGTTTTATCTAGCGTACTGTGTGAAAGACTAAAGCCCACCGTCAAAAAACTGACTGCATTTTATCCGACCTATCAAGATGAAGAGTAATCTGGCTTCAATCGGTATTCCCAATCAACGCTGTGCTGCGAAAGGACGAAACGGCTTTGATTTGCTACCTTTGAGTCCTCTGAAATCGGTCTACAACGCTTTAGAAGAAAAAGGCAAATAATTTTCTTTGAATTTAAAAAAATAAAACAACAATTTCATGTTTTAATATTTTGAAATAAATTGCTTATTTTATTTCTTTTCAGCGAAATTATTACTTAAAACTACAATCCAAGTATTCCGTACATTCTCCTAATGCGCCTACAACGTCGTCAATACTACAAACAAAAATAGATTTGGACAAAGAAAAAATTCTAAAATTCATTTCAAGTCGTTTGCAGAAATTTTAATTACTTTAAAAAAGGGGGAAAATGTTTTCATTCAAAATTAAGAAGATTTGTTGTAAAATTGCCATTGTATTTGTAATTGTATACATATATGAGTATGTATGTTTGTGTGTTTAGATACACTGCGCAGCCATATCATCAGCGTCAATGCCCAACATAGCCAAATCGTTCAACTCCTCTTGTCGACGATTCTTCTCGCTCTCAGTGGGCGATGGCGGCGGCTGGGGGATATCATCCAAATCGTAAACGATGTTTGTAACATCATCGGCTGTGGCTTTCGCTGCTACGGGCTCTACCTCGGGCATTGGTATATCTTCGGGTGAGGGCACCATACAGGGCGAGGCTGTGCCGTTATTCTCCACTGTATCTACCGACTCCGCAGCTGCCTGCTTGTCAACCCCATTAACCGTCTCCGTCACATTATCCACACTTGACACTTCTATTGGTGGCATTGTCTCAGCTATTTGCTGTTGTTGTTGTTGTTGGTTTTGTTGTGTCGGTGTGGGCGGTGGTTGTATTGCGTGCAAATCAATATCAGCAGCATCTTGTGATGAACTGTCTGGTAGAAGTATTGTTGCCACTTTTACTGCCTTTACTGCTTCCGGTGGCAATGTAGCAGTATTTGTGGGTTTGTTAAACACTAACGGTTCATTCATGCTCATTTGTGAGGCCTCATCCATACCGACTAGCGAAGTTTCCTCTATCGTTACCATATGTATGCCTTCCTTGGCCAGATCCTCGGGTTGCATTATGGGCTCATCGACGATTATTTGTGTTTCACCTGCAAGTGGTTAGAGTAAATATGTTAGTTTTGTTGTTGTAGGCATGATTTTCATTGAAAGCGATAAAGAGCGGTTTTCTTTTACACCATTGAAGAGCACTAGCAGCATTCTTAAGTGACGGCTAACTAAATCTCTGACCAAAAAATGTCCCCTGATTAAAAAGTTCATTAGCAAATACGAAACCAAAATTTCGTCTTTGCCGACGATCAAGCAGAAGCGGCTGGATGCATTCAACTCAGCTCCCAGGGACAACTTCGCTCCAAATATAAGCTAGCTTAGCTGATGTGACCAGCACGCTTGGGCCTATGAACCGATTGTGATACTACTCTAAGGTGTCTATCATTTCCTCAAATGCGCGAACTGTTTAGAGGGTCGAATTCTGAGGCAGAGCTTTCGCGTGGTGCCTGAGTTGTAGACTGCTAAACTCTAACTGATTTGGTACTGAAAACGATTTTATCCATTCCCAGCACCATATGGTGACGTCGTAGTACAGAAAATGAGCTCCATTAACTTACCTGTTGACTTTGCCTTTTTCGCTTCATCGGCAGCATCCTCATCGTCTGATTTCTTTTCACCGGGGAATATTATATTCAGCGCCTCTTCGAGATCTTTCGGCAACGGTCCTTTATGACCCAAAGGACCATCTGTTATGGGTCGCGGTACACACTCCTCACTCTCGGAAACATCAATACCCGGTGGCAGTATGTCCTCCGTATCGGCATCACCATCAATACCATCATCCGGTTTCGCGTCGTCACCTGTAGCTGGTGGTGGCGGCGGCGGTGGCGCTTGATTCATTAAATTTACAAATTGTATTGGATCGGGCATAAGCTCTTCATAGTCCATCATCATGCCGGCGTCGGGATGGAATGGTGGCGCATTACCGTAAACATCCTCCATCATAGCCATTTGAATCTGTGCCGCCGTAGGTGCTGGTGGACGTTGAGGCACGTAAGCTGCCGGATGGGCTTGTTGACTATTACCGCTTGGATATGCTGCTGCATTTTCGGCATTATTCTCATTACCATCCGCTTGACCAACACTTTGCTTCTTGAACACAGGCATTTTACCAATGAATGGCAGCTTCTTACTTGTGCCGGTGGTGGTGCCTGTGTTGTTAGTGTTGGCGGCTGAGCTGCTGCTGCTGCTCGATTTGGATTTTTTGTCTACATTCTTTTTGTCTTTCGTCTCAATGGTGGAGCGCTTTTCACGTTCCTTATCCTTTTCAGGCACACGTGGTCTGAATTCAGCATGTCGCACAACAGGTTTCTCAATGCGTCCACGACTGGCCGAACGTGTGCGCGAACGAGTACGTGAGCGGCTGTAGCGACGGCGACGTTCAAAGGAGCGGCTTCTAAATATTATATATTACCAAAAGAAACATATTAAATACAGTTAAAAAAAAAATTTTAATACAAATTACCTGCGTCCACGAGAGCGCGAGCGTGTACGCCTTCTGCGTCCGTACGGTGAACCAAAGCGTCCGCGACTGCGACTACGTGACCGACTACGTGTGCGACGCATGCGGCCGCCACGACCACCACCACCACGTCCGCCGCCGCCGCCGCCGCCGCCAAAGACCGGACTGCGCGAACGCCGTCTGCGATCATTGCGATCGCTACGATCTCTGCCACGGTCACGATCACGATCGCGATCGCGTTCACGGGTACGCCGTTCGGACGCAGCATCATTGCTGCGTATTGTAGCACCGGCCGGTGTTGTTGACTCCTCACGCGGTTTACTCTTCAATTTACCCTTCAATTGTTCTAGCAATTTCTTTTCGCTTTCGCTTATCACCGGCTGTACGGTGTTCCATTGTTGTAAAATTGCATCATCATGTTTGTTATCTGCCTCAACACCACTTGTATGTTGCGCTGACGCGGCTGCTTTTGCGCTACTATCCTGCGCCTCAGTCCATTTACTCAGACGACCGCCACTGGGCACTGGCGCAGCGTTGTGCGCTATTGCGGTGCCGACATTAGCGATTAGAGCCAAATTGGGTGCTGGCACGGGATGTGGCACGGCATCGATACGAATGCTTGGCGCTGGCGGTGGTGTTTCGTCATCAGCTTTGGTCAAATCTTGCTTGCGCATGGCCACACGTATCGATAAAGCCGGATTGGGATTATCTAAAGCTTGTATGGCAATCGGTGATGTCTTTGCCTTTGTTTTGTTGATCTTTTCACTATCAGATGAGGAGGAATCACTGGAGGTGGATGTAGTATTTGCATTCTTCTTGCGTTTCTTTGAACGCTTATGCTTCTTCTTCTTATCCTTTTTGTCAGAGCTGAAACAAGCGAATTGAAAATAAGTCCAATGTCTATGTTAGCACTAATTCAGCTAATGAACCTGATAGCTGAATAATCGCATAAGAGCTTCTACACTTTCATCCACACACTCACCCTTTCTTCTTACGCTTCTTGACTTTCTCTTCCTTTTTTGACTTTTTGCTTGGCGCACTCTCAGCAGCTGTTGTTGAGACGGATGTGATTTGCGGTGGTAGCGGCAAATTTTTACGTTCATTTAGTACGCGTTGACGATCGGCCAACCAATTGACTTCATAGTGAGGATTTTTCTCCAAAAAAGCCTGTGGAAATGGTAACATAAAATGAATATTAGAAGAAAAAATAATTAATTAAAAAAGAAATTAAAAATTGAATACCATAATGAATACGAAATAAAGAAAAAAGATTAAAAAACTTAAAATTAAATTAAAAAAACAATTAAAATTTGAGTAAACAGAAATGTGAACGAAAGAAATTCTATACTTACATTATATTTGCTAGCATGTAATTGCGATTTCAAATGTGTTGAGGCGCAATGCAAGTCGCCCATCCAATTATTGCATAATTTACAAAACCAAGCTGAGGCCGGTACAAAGAATGTGAGACCACGTATGGGTGTACGTTTCGTTGGTACATTCTCATACGTTGGAAATTGCTGAAGGAGAGAAAGAGAGGGAAATTTGTATTTGAAGAGAGCTTATAGCCATAATTGGAAAACTAAAGAAAAAAATATTAAGAAAAACTAAAATAATAATAAAAGAAAATAATAATAAAAACAAAAAAATTATAAAAAACTAAAATATAATAAAAACTAAAAAATCATAAAAAGCTTAAAAATAATGAAAAAATAAAAAAAAAAAATAAAAAAAAAATTAAAAATAATAAAAATTAAAACAGATTAGAATTAAAATTTTTAAAATTAAAAAGAAATTAACAATAATTAAAACAAAAAAGAAATGAAGAAAAATTATTTTATTTAATTAAAAGGACAAGAAAAATAAAAAACAATAATAAAACAATTAATAAAAGGATTGAAATAAAAAATATATATAAAAAAAAATATTAAATAAAAAAATTAAATATGAAAAATTAAATAAAAAAAATTATCAAAAAATATAAAGAAAATGTTTAATAAAAAATAAATAACAAATTTAAAGAAAAAATTAATTAAAACAAAAAAATAATAATTAATAAAAATACTTATAATCAGCCAACTCACATCGGTTATCATGTCTATATGCCATGGCGTTTCGATACTTTCACGATCCATATGCTCTTTGGAGTGTAAATGATTTAAATAATCTTTCGCAGTTTTCGGGAATACATCACATGTCTGACACCAATGCATTTCGGGATCGTAGAAAACGTAATTGAAACGTTTCTTTTCATCAAATCTGTAATAATTAACAGGGCAAATTTATTAGCAAAATGTTGGGTAATTTTAAAAAAATTTTTTGGGCCATCGGACTTGTCTTTTTTTCTCACTTCCTTTTGATATTTTACTTAGTTTGTTCTAAGTTATTGTAGTTTAATATTTTAAGATCAATTCAATTTAATTCTTTTATTATTTTTTATTGCTTTTATTTTATCATTCTATTTTAATTATTCTATTTTATCATTTTTTTTATTCTTTTATTTTATATTTTTTTTAGTTCTTTTAGTTTATATTTTATTCTTAATTTTATTAAATTTTCCTTTGTTTTTCTTGAATTTTACTTTATTTTTTTACTCTTTAGTTATATTTTTTTTACCTTTTTTATTTTATTCATTATTTTTAGTTTCTGTCTTTTATTTCAATTCATTCATTTTATTTGTTATTCTTTTTTGTTTATTTTTCATATTTTTCTTTATTCTTATTTTTCACTTTTTATTTCATTAATTTTTTATTCTTTAGTTCTTTATTTTACTTTTTTCTTATTTTAATTTCTTTTTTTTCTAAAATTTTTTTTGTTGTTTACTTTTTTTTACTATCTTTGTTTACTTTTATTTATTTAATTTTTTTTCTTATTTTTAATCAAATTGTTTATCTTTTTTTTTAAATTTTATTAATTTTATTCTAATTTTGATATTTATTTGATTGATTTTTCATTAATTCTTTATATTTTTTTTAATTAACTTTATTTTTTATAAGTTTTTTTTTCTAATTTTTATTTTTTTCTTATTTTTAATTATTCTTTCTTTTTTCTCTTAATTTTTAATTGTTTTATATTTTGTTTTTTTGGTTTCTTTTTTTACTTTCTTCAATTTTTATTAATTTTTTATTAATTTCATTATTTTTTATTATTTTATTATGTTATTATTTTTTTATTTTTATTTTTTTATTTTTTTTTAATTAATTTATTTTTATTTTTTTATTATTTTATTTTTAATTTTTTTTTATTTTATTTTTAGTTTTTTTGATTATTTTATTTTTATCTTTTTTTATTATTTTATTTTTATTTTTTTTATTATTTTATTTTTATTTTTTTTATTATTTTATTTTTTTTATTATTTTATTTTTTTTTTATTATTTTATTTTTTTTTATTTCTATTTTTTTATTATTTTTTTTTTATTTTTTTTTTATTATTCTATTTTTATTTTTTTTATTATTCTATTTTTATTTTTTTATTATTCTATTTTTATTTTTTTTATTATTTTATATTTATTTTTTATATAATTTTAAATTTTTTTATTTTTTATTTATTTTATAATTTAATTTTTATTATTCCATAATTAATATTAATTTATTTTCATTAACCATAATTAATATTAATTTATTTTCATTAACCATAATTAATATTATTTTATTTTTATTATTTTACTATTTTTTTATTATTATTCGCTATTTTATTTTTTCACTTTAATTTATTTTATCTTTTTTAATTTGAATTTCTATATTTTATTGTTTTATTCATATTATTGTTTTATTTTTATTATTAGCTCACATTTATTGCAATTTATTTATTTTGTGTTTATTTTAATTATTTTAGTTATTAATTCTTTAATATTATTTATGCCTATGTTTTTATTTATTTATGTATTTTTATTTTGGAATTTAATTTTTTTGTGTACTTTTATTAATTTTTATATCCTCCTCTTTTCTTTTAAATTCTTTCTCTTTTCTTTTAAATTCTTTTACATATTGTTATAAATATTTTTCATAATTAAGGTTTTTTTCTGTTGGACGCAGACAGTTTAAACCCATTTTTAATAAAAAAATTAAGTTTAAATAAAAGCTTTCATTTTATGTTTCTACTTACAACTTTTCTTCTTTTAGTTTGAGTGCCTCACGTTTTAATCCTTCCTTCGCCTTGGCTTTCATCGATTCAATTGCTTTGTTTTTCAAACGTTCCGGTGAACTATCATCGTCGTCATCTTCATTTTCAGTTGACGACGAACTCGATGATGAGCTCGAGCTGCTGCTGGAACTACCCGATGAGCTGCCTGATGAAGAGCTGGAATTCTTGCGTTTCTTCTTGCGGCTACGTTCGGAGACTACACCACCTCCACCACCACCTCCACCAGTGGTGAGTTGCTGTTGTGATAGTTGCTGTTGTTGTATTTGTTCCTTAGTAGGTTTCTTACTTAAATCCGGTTCCTTTTCGCTTTTATCACTATCGTAGCGTTCGTCGTCCTTTTCCAAATTCTCCTCGCCAATTATGCCAGTTAACATATCAATGACATTTTCAATGGTGTTGAGTTTCTTTTGTATTTGATTCTAAACGCAGTGAGGGGAGGAAAGAAAAAATACACAAATTAGCAAATACAAATTCAGTTTTACAGTATTTTCATATATAATTCATTGCTCCTTAATTTTTTGTTCATTCATTTCGCAAATGCTTATTATGGTACACAGTTGAGTTGAGTTGAGTTAGAGGACTGCTCTCCAAGTGGGGCCAAATGTCATCAATTGGTTTTGCACCGCCGCATCCATTTCAAGATGTCTTCACCAGTTGTGTTTAAGTCTCATTTGTACAATTTATGTTTTACAAGTATAATAAATCTCATACTACAATACCATATTATAATATACAAAATCCTAGTTACATTTTTGTTTCTCTCGTTTATACAATTTAAGCAATAAAACTACAATTTTTAAAATTATAATAAAATATGATAAACACAACCTGTACATAAAAATAAGTATACATATGTATATAGAATTGTGTGTGCACAGCAGTCACATATAAACAGTACACTAACTTATTGTTTCCATTTTTCCTCGCTTTTTCCTGCAAATTTGCGCGCTTTTTAACCAATGTTGAACGTTAGAGACGTTAGAGAACGAGAAATACGACAGACAGTTTTGCACACATCTAAATGGTAGGTAAGCAATTTGCTGCACAACTACGTTTACATACTCATAGTAGTAGTGCACTGGTATGCATATGTATGTATATAGAAATCAACAGGTACATAAGCTGTGAAAAATTTGTCATTTACTCACATAATCGACTTAAATACTTTGCTTAAACACTAACTGTATAAAATTTAATTGAATGCATTAACTTACAAAATGCTATGTATACACAAATGCGCGATACGAATAAGAATTTCATTGGTATTCGTTTGAAAGTCGTCAAAAAATTAAAATAAAATATTAATAGAAATATTTAAGGAAATCCTATTACTCAAGCAAGTGTTTCTTTGCCCTTTTTCTTTAGCACATTGACGCAAACTTTATGTAAAGCATCAAATCGGAAGCAAGTAAGAGTTCAGCTGGAGAGGAAGTTTAAATAAATTCAAAATGGCAAGAAGTGGTGCATAAAATTAGTGAGTTCTAGAAATGCGCCTACACTACACAAAGCCCAAAATTATTATTTTAATTGTTACGACCAGGAATTTTTATTTCCATGTTCACCGGCAAAGTTGGTTTGCGAGAAGTTCGAGATTTCAAATTTTTATTTAGCAAATATTATTTCACTTTTATGCGTTCAGTTGTTGAACTTGTTGGAAATTCGAAACTTTTCAAAAGTTTTCAACTTTCAAAGAATTTATTTGAACTAAAAAGTTTAAATTTTCAATTTTTTTTTCGTGAAATTTTTTAAAAAGCCTTTATGCATAAAAAAAAACACTGATATTCTAGTCGTCCTTGGAAATTTTAATACCATTTTGCATTTTAAGTTTAGCTAACACAAAAAATTGTTAACACTTTGCACTACTTAAGTTCAAATTCGTTACGCTACATTTGTTATACAACAGCACTTACTCAACAAAAATATTTAAAAAAAAAAATTATAATAATAATTAAATAAAATAAAAATTCACTTTTTTTTTCTTATTTTTCCACATACCTGTAGTTTCTCATTTTCGTCAATGAAGCCTTTTGTTGTCGGTGACGGTGGTTCTCCACCACCACCGTGTAGATCTTTACGCTGCTCCTTTAACATTTTCAATTCTTTGCGCAGCAATGATGTCTTTTTTAGATAACTGCTACGTTGACGTTTCAGTTCGTCACGTTGATTTTCTGCTTCTTGTGCGACAGCTGCTACAAACATATGAAAGTAAAATTGAAATTGCATTAGAACATTTTGTTTCAAGAAAAAATCAAAACTATTTCATTTTATATTTCACAAAAATGCCTTTTCTTCGCATTTTCTGGGTATTTACGCTTGGGACAATGCAAATCATTGCTCGGTTAAGTAGTAGTCACAATGTCACGCACAAATGAAATGGTAGTTACTTTCGCATGTTGACTCCATCCTCGCGCCAAAATGATATTGTTGAGACAAAGTGCGGCAGGTGCGGTTGAGAATTTGATTTCCCCTAGTTTAATTTTAACACATATCCCTATAATATTCATATCAGCACGGCTAGCATATGAGTTTTAATGTAACATACAATGAACCTCAGGTGATACTTATGTGCAACACCTAATGCCTCTAGCCGTGTTTGTCATATGATTGATATTTAATCGAATAGAATTTTTTTTTTGTTACGAGATTTTGAGAAAATACACAACACGAAATAGTATAAAATTTAGTATGCAAAATTGAAATAACCAAAGAATACATACCATCATGTTGAGCATTTTTTTCAATAGCAACTGTTTGCGGTGCTTCATTTACAGGCTGCTGTGGCACAATCTGTGGTGGCGGTATAGATGTTGCTGGTGCTGCTGCTGGTGGTGGCTGTTGTGTAATTTGCTGTAACTGATTTGGATCTGGTGGTGGCATCCAAGCTTGCTGCGCATATGCGTCTATTTAACAAGGAATATTATAAGAAATTAGTTTCATATGCTAAGAGGCGACTAAAATCCAATAGTTTCCGCGACAGTCGGGTCTTTATACCGGAACGACCCGGATTTTTATCCGGCCAAGAACTGTCACTCCCGCAACATTCCCCAAGAAGTACATTTGGGAATATTTTTGCGGTTACAACAACATCATAAAAATTTGTTTCATATGCTAACATAATTGCATAAGTCGTTTTTGAAAAATAATATATATAAATATACATATGTAACTTATCGTAATAACTCACCATTAGCGCCCCAAACTGGTGGCGGCGGATAAGCAGTATTAAAAACTGGCGGTGCTGGCGCTTGCATGCCGTAAGCATCTGCTGCGGCTGGTGGCGCAAAGCCGCCAGTAGGTTGTGGTGGCGGTACAGCGTATTGATTGTAAGCAGGTTGTGCATAAGTTTCATTTGGATACAGTTGTTGTGGCATACCACCATATTGTGTTGGAGGCTGCGATACTTGTGGTGGTGGTGGTGCACTGATTGGTAGTGGAGAACTTGGTTTCTTTTTAGGGGACCAACGATTACCACCACTGCGGCGTGGCGATATGCTACGACTACGCGAACGGCTACTACTGCGTCCACGATAGCCACGGAAGCCACGCCCGCCACCACCGCCGCCGCCACGTCGTCTATCTGGCGATCGCCGCATATTACGTCCACCGCCATCAAAACGTCGCCGATCCGGCGAGTAGTTACGAAAACGATTTCGTCTTGGTGGTGGTGAAGGTGAACGACGACGTCGACTTCTACCACCATCTATAGGAGAAGGTGAACGTCTACCGCGCGAAGGCGACTTACGTCTTGAGCGCGGGGGGCTACCGCTCGGGGAACGACGACGACTCGAACGATTCGTTGAACTTCTACTTGTTTCATTTTCCGATTTTGGTTTTTTGTTATCTGCAATAGGATTATCTGTACAAATTGGGTTAGATGAGTTTTTACATTATTTGTTTCATTCATGCATACCAAATTCTGCTCCATCACTTTCTGCACCTGGAGGTCCAGGCGGCAATGTACTTGCTGTACCCAAGCGGCGATCTGCCGGCTGTTGTAATATCAATTCTTCATCCATTTTACACAAACACACACACTATGCTATGTACAATAAAATATATATGTACATACAAAGTTGCGGTTTACGTTTGTGATGTCTCACAATTTCGGCCTTGAACTAGACGTACAATTTCACCTTATTTATACAAGTTTTTATCACGAATTGTGAGTTTTTTATTATATTATATTGAGCTTTAATATTTTCCTAAGACTTTTCATAAAATATTTTGTTCAAAAATGCTTTTTCGCTCGGTTAAAAATTTTTCACCGTGAAGCGTGTAAAATTTTCTGCAACTTTGACAATCGTTCCTCATTATGACGTTTTCACAAACATCACCTTTTTGTCGAGATGCCGCAGTAAGGGTGTGTTCAGTGATGTAATGTTGTATGGTTTTAAAACAAGTTTCCTTTAACAACAATCAAATTCTTCGTACATTTCATTTGAATTATGTTTTAAATTCGATTCGCGTTCTTGTTCCGAGAATATGAAAGCCAAAAACAAGTATATATAAAACTGATTAATGCACAATACATTCTGAACTCAATGGGTGTGCTCTAAATATTTTCTACAACAAACCAAGTTTTTTGATTGATTTTGCGTATTACCACAAGATTTTTTTCCAGTGTACGTACTACATAAATGATTTAAAAACAATCGTAAGCTGAATTATGTTAAATAAATATTATAAAATGATCTTGAAAATAAATTCATGTAATCCTTCAATGGTCTCAAAAGATGAGATGTTGAAAATAAAAGAATTAAACGTCGGTATTGTTTGAAAGTGAATTCTCTTTCAAACGTATCAATAAAAACACATTTAACTATTTCTTTGTTTTTTTTTTTATTAAAATTGTTGAACAAAGATATTCTATAACTTTACTCTGGACTTCTTGAACGAACAATGTACACACATACATGTGTACATAATTGCTATTACAGATTTTGTAATGATTTCAGAGTGATATTGCAATAGTGAAACATTTATAATAATCCCTTTCAAATATTTATCCACTCTTACTTCTATATGAAAAAATAATAAACTCAATGCAATGTTTATACAAACAAAAATTGAGGAAATTGTAAAATATCTATCGTTAGTTAATTATGAATGTATGTATGTAAAGATGTAATACAGCTAATGCATCTATTTGGACATTTTATGAACCCACAATGATGTTGTTGATGGGAATGTGTATAAGTTTCACAAAGAAACCGATGAAGCCCATAATGCAGAAACCAATAGCTGTGGCAATGGCAATTTTCTGGAACTCTTTGCGATCGGGTTTTGTGCAACGTTTGACTAAACGGATTGAGTCCTTGGCGAAGGCGCGACCGGGTTCGCAGAATTTAACAACTTTATCCATGACTATCAGTGAATTGTTGATTTGTTAGGCGGGTTGAAAGTTAATTGCTGTAATGAAAAAATAAATAGTGAAATTTAAGAAAATGCTAAAGAAAAAACAAAAATAGTCCAAAACCGAGCATGTAATGCAAGTGAAAGCAGTTGCATATATATGTATGATTGATTGTAATTTTTTTTTTTTAATAAAATAATAGTATGACAATCTTTTCACTAAATTCTGCGCATTTCGACAATATAATAAATACATAATTGTTGTCCAAATTTATGTGCTTTCTCCTTTCGCTTGCATTTATACGGCACAAACTTGACGTGGCAAATGTTAGCAATAATTTTACACTTTTTTCGTGATATATAAAAACACTATTCATTAAATTTTTAGCTTTGCTATTCTTTATATAGTTAGCACGATTTTAGTATAACAAATTTCTTTTAATTTCTAGTTTTTTAAATAGAATTTTTGTAAAATACACATAACGCACCTAATTGGTTTGATCGCTGCAAAAAGTTTGACACGAATAAATGAACAATTCGGTGTTCCTACACGTTCTCTGGTCTCTAATTCTACAGTTTTACCAATTGTTAATCGTGTCACACGAATCCGAATCCGAACCCTACGTGTCAAAACGAAAGAGCGTTGACATTTATTTGACGATAAAGTAGTTGATAAAGGTACTCACACAACAAAGCAGTCGATAACAACGGATATTTTTGTATTAATTTTTTTGCCAAATGTTGAAACAAATCCTTGAAACACTAAGATTTTCAGAAAAATTGGTAATTTCGGAGCGACTGTGCATACTCCAGATTATCTTTTAGCTGAATAACTAAGTTTTAGTAAATTTCATTTAAACTATTACAAGCTATGTTTCATTTCCGGTACCGTCTGAAAAGATTATGATGATTATTGCAAAAACCATATAGATTGAAAATATTTACTGTAAAATACGACTTGAGATTAATTTTTATTTACACCCAACTGCAACTGCATTGAAAATTTAATTTTCAAAATAAATACTTAAAGCCGGAAGCAACCCTTACTTTAGTTGAAGTAATAAAACGGTGGTCGGCTAAGCAGTGCACTACATGAGCAACGGAAGTTAGAACGGTGACTTAAATTTCTGTTTAACATTCATATTTCTCTTTGTTAATTTCGTTTTATCTTATTTAGAATACTATCTTAAAAATTTACATTGATACAAACGTATAGTATTAAGCTTACAAACGTGTGGTATTACATACTCTATTAATTTCATTGTACTTATCAATGAAGTATGAGTTTCAGTCAGCCTTACATTCATATAATTACATACATATGTATGCATGAACTTGTACTTATTTAGTATGTTTATGCATACATAATTCAATGAATAATGTGACTCCTCAAACTTTTTTTGTGGGATAATGAACAATGCACATAATAATAATAACAATAATACAAATGTGTATATTCAAGTGAATATTAAAAAATCTGGACTGTTGCGATAACAATGTCAACAATGAGTACTTATTCTCTTGTACAGATTAAGGGCATGGCTCTTTACATACATAATTATATATATGGATGCATAAATGCGTTTACATAAATGTATACATATTTGCAAAAGCATATGTAAGTGCATACAATTGTTTGTGGTACCGATTACGTATAATGGAAGCACAGACAAAGCAAGTAAGTTTTGTAAATACATACATATGTATATACGTACATTGGGTATTGGACGCATCATTTATTTATTTATTATTGAAAAAACATATGCATATAAGTTTTTCGGCTGCTTAAACAAAGTGATATGCAATACAAAATGTTCTAAAGCTAACAAATTTCGATAAGAAAATAAAAATTGTATGGAAAATTAAAATATATATATATATATATATAACATGCCTATAATTATTGTAATGAAATATGGAAACTATATGATTTTTTTATTTTGTGTTCTATTATAAAACAATAACAAGGTATTTTACATTCGAAACATTTGTTATTTTTTTTATAACAAAGATTCAAAATTTGCTACTATAGCACTCAATCGAAAATATTACAAATTTCAATAAAACTATAAATTGAAAATAAAATTAAGTTTAAAAAACAGTTTGTGTGTGCGTATATAATTATCAAAAGTGTGTGATTCCAACGTATCTTATTACTTTCTGCACTCATAACCGTTTTTGTCCGTATCAAATTGAATCAGTGTGTATTTTGTGCTTTAATACAAGAATGACTAATAAATACAACTAATTAATTGTGTGAATTGAAGGCCCCCGGTCGAGCTACGATCAACAACTCTGTTTCTAAAGTGTTTATTTATGTACCAACGTTGTTGCTGGCGGAGCTAACGTATTTATTACACATTTGTAAAATTGTATCAGGCAACTTAAAACAGCTGTGTTTGAAAAAAAAATCCATATTTCGAAACTATTAGATTTATTTAATAAACACCAAACAAATAAAAAACAACTACTAACGACGCGTCATAGTTACCCGAAAATTTGCATAATATACTCGTACGTGGTTTTTATGCATTATTAGATTAAAAAAAATATATATATATACTTAGACAACGGAAAATAAGACAAGCTTTTACTAATGGTTTAAGAGCCCATGAGAAATAGAACATACGCCTACACACTCGTACATTTAAAATTCACTTAACTGATCTAATTGAGCCGCTGCCTCGTAAATACATACACGTATATGCAAATAAATATACCAGCATGCATATGTACATATATTCCTTGACTTTGATGAGTGTACCCAGAAGTAGCAACATTGGAATTATCGCTCTTTACTCTGCTCTGCAAAGGCTAGTTGAAAAATATATGAAGGAACTAGAAGGAAAAAAAAGACGTTTTATAAAACCAAAATGAAGGCTTAGAAGGAAAGGATGAATTTAAGATCTGTAAACATCCTCGAGAGTGCCAAGGAGTGAAGTTTACATATTGGTTCCATCCCACTTCCATATGTTTGTATTTTCACACTACGCACTCAGCTTATGAAGGGATCACTTCGCTGGGTGGCTGAATCGCAGTGAAGGTGCAATACATGGAGCTGGTAAGCCCGCATACTCACCCGATGACGATGCAATAGACATGTGAACACCTAACTATGATGATGCCCAAATAGTAATTGTATATGGGAAGAAGAACATATCGATAAGAGCAGTTGTCTTACTGATTGGTATTGTATACAGCTTCTCTGCATACTCTCAGTGTCCCCTGTTCAATTCACAACAGATGGAACTCTAGAGCCTCTACAAAGTGATACGTTCTCAATATCGTATATAAAGCATAATTGAGCGATTATGTGAAGGATTTCAACCCCAGCAAGTGAGACTGCAGACCTGGTAGATCCGACTTTGAGCAGATATTCAGCTTGAAAACCAACTTTGTGAAAACTACATCGATTTTGAAAATACCTACGACAGAGTTGACTCAAAATTGGGAAACTATTCTTCGAATCGAGAGCCACTGATTTTTTCGAGCTTTTATTTCATGTCACAAATGCACTGACATTCATGCTGAGGGGCGAGCGTAATTTTAATAGATTCCAATAATTTTGGATGTTGGTCAGACCAGGATTCGAATATTATGCGCTACGTCTCAAGTCACGGGTAGCAGCACGGCCGGAAATCATTTCTGGTAATAGAGATCCCCACAAATAATAGGATCTGAGGAGGCGGCACACAGAAAGCTTGGGGCTCCTCTCTTAGTAAGAATGACACCGATAGCAGAATAAAATGTATGCTCACTTTCTTATTTGTATGTACCAAGAGAGCTTACTTTTGATCTAACTGTAAAATTTTAAGACTATCTTCATACCAAAAAGATTCCAATTTTGCACTAGTTCAGCTGGAAACAAATTAGCTGTGCAGCATATATGTATGTATGTATATGTTTATGTGAAAAACAGATTTTTATATATAATACACATTTACTTACATACTTCATACATTTGTGAAAACATATATACATACATATATAGACATATATATATATACATACCTATTGTATTTATTTAAACAAACAATGGCATTATAGTGTCGTTATCGCATCAGAAACCAACTGCGAACACCCGCTGCCATATGTATGTATATCCACTGTATATACAGTCTGAGGTTTATCATTCATTCGGTTACTCATTGCTGACCGTTAGAGGCTTGTTCTTATTTTCCGGCGCTAATATTTAGCATTTTTCTTACAATAAATATCAGTAGTTACTTAGCGGTGCCAGCGAACGGTTCATATTTTGTTGATAACTCAATTTAAAAAAAATATACATATACATAAAAATAAAAATAAAAGGGAAAGTGTAGAAATTAAAAAAGTGTGAATTTATTTCTACTATTTAAAAAATAAATTATTAAACAAAATGAAGCAGAATCTCATATATTTGCTTTTCGCCATCGTTATTTCCTCGAGCGTAGTTTATGGGCTACAATTTACTGATTGCGGTAAATTAATACATGCATTTGTGTAGATAATTGTGTTATTTATAAACAAAATGTGCACAAAAAAAAAACAAATTAAATTATTACTATTTGATAATTGAAATTTTTGGCATAAAAAGTGCGGTATATATACACATACATATGTACATATATTGAACAATTTATTAAATAAAAATAAATTGTGTATAACGCATGGAAATTTTTTTTAATTCCACATTTGCTTCAAACAACATTCACAATAAAAACAGAAAAAAAATGTTCTTTACTAAAATTTTGCAAAAACAAAAATTTTTTCAGACCTCACAGTAGCATGCACATTCATGTATATAAATAAATAAATAATTTTTTTCGTATATACATATAGAATATATATTTTTTTTCTTGATTGTGACCACTATAACTCTCCGCGTTTTTTAGTTAAATAATCTAGTATATTCAGCATCAATATTTAAGATTACGGCTTCGTCCAGTTCAACCTAACCTAACTTAAGTTCAGTCACTCATACGTATTTCCTTGTTTATATTAAATTATTGCTGAAATTAAATATTTTTCTGTTAACTTGGGAAGCTGATCTAGAGCGCAAAAAATGGGCATATTTTATGAATTTATTTTGACTCAACAAAGGAATAAATCGAAAATCTGTCAAATAGGTTAAATAATATAGGTTTCATGGCACAAATACAAAATTTTTAGTTTTAATTAATTTTAAAAATTTCCGCTGCCCAGCATTTCTCCGATGACGTCTTTTTTTCTAATGGGTCTATGGCCGAAGATGTAACCTCCTTAATTTTTGTTCTGAGTTAAAGTTTTTTTTTAGTTTCTATATTACAACAGCAAGAGCCGGAAGTAGGATATTTTCGATATTTTAATTTTTTTGTCGCGAAATGGTGCACACTTGAACAAAAAGCTACAATTCTCACTATAAAAAAATAAAAAAAAAAATGTAAAAAAATTATTCTTCCTAAGTCTCTGAAGAACGGTAGAATGTATCAGTTGTACAACTTTGCTTCCGCCGTTTTCCGATAGGTGGCTGTACCGGCTGAGGCTGGTTGAAATATATAGATGATAATATCTTTAAAGTGAGTGTGGATAGTGCCTAACGAATTGTCATCGCCGTTTCAGTGATAGTTGTTCTTGTTTTCGTATTATTCACGCTCGAAAATGTCCGTTTATGTGCCTAATTCTCGCCATTTGCGGGAAGTTTTACTTTTCTGTTACAATTCGAAAGAAAAAAAATGCAGCTGAAGCGCATCGAATGCTCTCAGAAACTTACGGTGATGCTGCTCTGAGTAAAAGAACGTGTCGGTAGTGGTTTCAACGAATATTCACGGCGCCAGGGGTTATGATTTGTATTTAGTGGGATCAGCTCGGTGTGATTTACTACGAGCTCTTAAAACCGGGTAAAACCATCACAGGAGATCGCTACCGAATGCAACTGATGCGCCTTAGTCGCGCGCTAAAAGAAAATCGGCCACAATATCAAGAGCGACATGACAAAGTCATCCTCCAACACGACAATGCTCGGTCTCACGTCGCAAAAGTGGTCAAAACGTAACTGGAAACGCTGAAATGGGAAGTCTTGCTCCACCCGCTGTATTCCCCAGATGTCGCTCCTTCCGACTTCCACCTATTCCGTTCGATGGCACACGGCCTGGCAGATCAACATTTTCAATCCTTCGAAGAATTAGAAAAATCGATTGCTTCATGGATAGCGTCAAAAGAGGACTCCTTTTTTCGAGCCGGGATCCAAAAATTGCCGGAAAAATGGGAGAAAGTTGTCGCTAGCGAAGGACAATACTTTGAATAATATATCTGTAAGCAGTTTTACGCAATAAAGCTTTTAATTTTGGAAAAAAACGGCGGAAGCATAGTTGTACACCTGATACTCTCAAAACTTCGTAAGATTCGGTGAAGATTTGCTCGAATTACGTCTTCGGCCAGTTTAGAGAAATAGAGATTTCGAGAATGACGCGAGGCACTGCCGTCGCATGGAAAATTTGGTCATTCAGACATTTTTGCCGGCATCCATCTTTTGGCAGGTTCTAAGACCCTAAGGCATCTTTTAAGACAAATAATTTTTTTTTTTTCGATTTTTTTCAAAATTCTAGACCAGCTTCCCCGCTTAATGGTCTGTACGCTTGTGCTTCTGAGACTCCTCTAGCTTGTCTAGTTTAGAAACTGTTTTTCATCATTTCGAGTAGTGGGCGTGCCTTGTTCATACCAAGAATAGTTCAGTTGTCCTGTTTAATTTCGATTATTCTTTTATAATCTCGGCAATTCTTTTATAAATAATTTTTTTTTTTTATATTTGTCTGCTTGCTTTTTGTTTATGTCTATTTGGCAAAGTCCTCATTGATTTTTAAAAAGTATTTCAAGTTCCTCTTTGGTAGATAAAACTTCTTTGTTCCTTCATCGCCTTAGACGTTTTTTTTTACTGCGCCCTAACTGCGCTCAACATCGTTCTCCTGGACTTGGTAAGCGAGTAATCCGACTGAATACAACTTAACTTTGGAGGTATTGCAGTGTAGAACACATCAAAATATTACTTCTCTCACAGAAGTACCGAAAGAGCTGCACTGCACCATTGTCTACTACACTTTCTGAATGGAGCGAGTTCGAGCCCTGGTTCGACCAATATCCTAAATTATAACATATAAGTTTTTTCAAATTGCGGTCAGCTGAGAACGTTAATCCCCTCCAAGTGTATTTTTAATATGAAATAAAAGCTCGTCATAAAAATCCCTCGGCCGTTCCGAGGCGGTTTGGATTGAACTGTAGGTCACTTTATTTGCTGAATATTGCACCAATATTTTGAGGAGGAGTTCGGCCGAAAATTGCTTCAGAGGGTTACAAAGTGCTAATTATAGAAAGTTGAAACTTGTTTAAATTTGCACTTTCTACTATAATTATTATACATTCCTACATACTTATGCGCGTATGCTTGGTGTACTCGTACATGTAAACTGTCCAATCGGTCAGCGGTCGACTGGGTTGAGCGCAGATCACCATCACCTTTGAGTTTTTCGACCAATACTTACGAATGTGCAGCCACTCGTTCCGAAATTTTTTTTCGGTTTTCCCCCCAGGTCAGAGATCGCAAAGTTAATGAAATTATTTGTCAAGCTTTCGCATGTAATTGCCGACAAACGCCATTAACTGACCGCTTTTTATGTAAATTTCAGTAAAAAAAAAGAAATACTTTTTCCCCTCTTTCTTTCTTTTTACATTCTCGTTTGCTTTAAAAGCGGCAAAATTCATTCATACTTTTAAATTGATTTAATTAAATTAAATTAGGTTATACAATTGTACTAGAAACGCAAAGAAGAAAGGCAAACATAAACTGAAATTACAACTACTCGCTTATTCATGATACTAAAGCAGTATAGGCGGCTGTGGGCGGTACTTGGTCGCTATAATAAACACATATACGCGGTGTGACAATTAAGTGATGAGACTGATTATATTGCCGTGACTGTGGTAACCCTGCGACTTTGAAATTCCCTTTCCCTTCTCCCGGCATCCTGCTCCTGTCCATTGATATATTTGCCATCGCTCTAGCTTCTTTAGCTCGCCTGCTGTGTCGTGTTGAGTAAACATGTGCTCGTGATGCTCGTCACGAAAATGGAAAAAGCGATAAAATTTTGCGTTTGTTCGAGTTGTTACAGACGATGAGAGCTTGTTTTTTCGAATTCGACGCTGAAACCAAACGCCAAAGCTCACAATGGTTGTCTCCGCATGCTCCCAGCCCGAAAAAAGCTCGCGTGAGCAAGTCGGAAGTTGAAAACGATGGTTATTGCCTTTCTTGATAGCCGTGGATTAGTCCAGAAAGAATTGCTTCCACCAAGGCAAACCGTAAATCAAGTCTACTTTACGCCAAGTCCTCGAAGGATTGCGAAAACGAGTCAACAGGGTGCACCCAGACATCGCTCGTAACTGAATCTTTCATCACGACGACGCGCCGTACCACGCCGCCCTCAGCGTATTTTTCCTGTATTTTGCCTCTAAAGGGATCGCCGTGTTGCAGCAACCGCCTTATTCGCCCTTGTGACTTCTTTGTTCCCTAGAGCGAATTTTGTGGTCAAAGGAACCCATTTTAAGTCGATTGAGGACATTCAGGCGGCCGTAATGAGAATATTCGCGAACATCCCAGTCGAAGCGTTCCAAAAATGTTACGACATACGACAACATATGGAACAAAAGTTCATTCTAAGCCACCTCCGAACAGCCGATGGGTTTGTTTGGTATCGAACGGCGCGGAGAAGTCCTTCCCGATCCTGACGGTGTTTTTTTTTTAGGTTTAAATAACCATATAAGTATTGCGGCGATACCAAGTTCAGACAAAGCGGTGTAGAGGCAACTCCTTTTCGTGCTGTCGAAGACTGCTTTGAAATTGACGAAGAGGTGGTGTGTGTCGATCCTCTTTTCACGGGTCATTTCCAAGCTTTGGTGCATGGTGCATCAGATCGTTAATCTTTCACACAAAACGGTCGATAGAACCTTATATGCAATGTTGAGGAAGCTTATCCCAAACTTTGCACTCTCTCGTTACTAATTTTACTGAGTTCTTACCTCAACGAACGCGTTCCACTTTTGATCAATAAGATTCAGTGCCAAATTTTTACTGCCCATCAAGTCACTACACACTAAACTTATGTATATTATCTGCTGGTCTAAACGAGACTAGGTCGCCGGAAGTGTGACAGACCTTGGCCGGATAAAATGCGGGTCAACTCCGGTGCGTAGAACCGGCTGTCGTGAGAGTTACGACTAAAACCTTAAAAACCCTGGCTACCCTCTTACCCAGCTTGTCGAAGAAGTACAGGCTCGAAGTAGATGTGAAAGTTCATGGCGTAAAAATTTCGGCAACAAACAACCCAAAGTTACTGGAGGTCACATTCGACAGCCTGCACTGCTACACTCCGCATACGACTGCAATTGCCACAAATCTAAGGAGCCGCATCAAAATCCTTAATGCTTTAGGCGGCAACACCTGGAGAAAAGACAAAAGAAATGTTACTGGCAATCTAAAGGGGTTTCCAAAAAGAGGTGTTATTTTGAATAAGCTGCTATTCCGGTCAATACCACTATTGAAATTATTAAAATTCACCGTACAGATTTCATCGAAAAATCATCTTGATCATCGATCATCAAAAGAATACCTCGAGACGCAGATGATGAAACTACAAGCCTATAAAAAATACCGCTCTCAGGACCGCAACAGGAAACCTTCTGATGTCGCCAAAATATCACTTGCACGGCGAAAAATCTATGGTACGAACCTCCACTCCGGCACATCAAATTGGGAGTACTTGACTTAAAGGTTTGTATTCAGCAACGTTTACAACAACTGCTGAACTGGATGGCTTACCGACACCCCTGCGGGTTAGGGGCTCATGCCTGTCGTAAACAGCGATTAAAACCCAATAGTTCCCGGAACGACCGGGATTTTTATCCGGCCAAGTACTGTCACTCCCGCAATATTCTCCGGAAACCAATTCGCATTCACCGAAAGTCTGTCAACACCTTCCTGAACTCTCTTCCAGTGAATAAGGTTCTCGGAGTCAAAAGATAGTGGATTGCACACGAAGGATTCTAACTGTCTTGAGAGTCCCACCTTCTGCTGGCGTAACTTAGATTTACCTATACAGTCTTGACACCAATATACCCAACGTATGTCCTGGATCCAATGAGTCCCCCCACAACACTAACCACTCTTTTCATGATACCTAAAACGTACTCAGCCAAATTCATTTTCCCTCTGGTTCGAATCCGTCGAAAAAGCTCATTTAAACGTTAATTTTAAAATGACTGCTTGCTATGTCATTAACAGCACACTGTCATTTTAACGTTTAACATTATCTGTAAACGATTTAACATTTAACGAAAGCATTTTGTTTCGGTTAGAAACGAAATAAAAAGTATTTTGACGATTGCTTTGAGAATAATACTTTCAAATGATTCAAACGAAACGATTGAAATTTTTTAATGAGCGTGAAATTTATCGTTACTGTTCAGCAGCCTTGGCTTAAATGCTTCAACAACAGTTTAAATTTATGATTATTATTTTTTGACTTCCATTATTTTGAATCTTTAAATCTAATATTATTCATTTTCTCATTTCAGGTTCAAAAACTGGTAGTTTTACCAAAGTAGTAATATCGGACTGTGATACAACCAAAAATGAGTGTATACTCAAACGCAATACAACTGCTTCGATAACAATCAATTTTGCATTGAGTAAGTAATTGACTTACCGATAATATTTACCTTCATCAATATACGATTATTTTAAAAACAGAAAATAATTGTTGGCGATATTAAAGATATAAGAATGTAATGTTGCTTGAAAACACTTTTTATTTTACTTTGCGTGACATTTCTAACTTTGACAGCAGAGCGAAAAACGTCAACGCTTTGACATATTGAATATTTCGCCTTCATTGATTTTTCTTTGAAAAGTTAAAATTCTCTGAACTTAAAAACTAAATGTACTTACTTTAGAGCTCTCTTGCTGAGTTTTGTGTATGATTCACGGAAGCATTGCTTAAATAAAAAGAAAATATGATCAGCTGACTATCAGCTTTCTACGCACGCAAAACTATGAGATTTGGTCAACTTTTAGCGCTGCGGTGACCCTAGCGTATGTAGCTTTTGTGGAAGACGTCTCATTGTTTCAAGTATTTATTGTACTTGTCAAGTTAAAACTTCTGCTATCGCCTAAAGAACGGCCGCGATTTTTTTCTTTCTTTGACGTAGCTACCGTTAACGCCCGTAAAGCTGAATTAACACTAGACATCTCTTCACAAAACCATTCAATGGCAATTGGTGTCAGTGAGCCAGTAAGTGATCCCAAGTTTTTCTTCACCTGATCTTTCCAACGGTGTGAAAGTTTTTCTCTGCGTCTGTTTCTCATCCACTGTCGGCGGCCGCAGAGCATCATAAACCTTTTTCTCGAAAACTCCTAATGCCTTCCCAACAGGTATTGTCATTGTCCACGCTGCCACAGCACATAGTAGGACGAGAATAATGAACTACTTGTGGAGCTAGGCTTTTGTTCTTCGAGACTTTTACAATACTTGTCAAATGTCAAAAAATCACAGCTACAATAGTGACATCTAGCGGTATAGCAGGCTATACAAAATAGCGCCTCTCATTAGAAAAACCTTTATAATTTTTTTTTTCTCATTTTTAGTTGCTTCTGATTAAGTGAGCAGATTTCATTATTTTATTTAAATTAATTTAATTTTTTTTTTTAAATATCTTACATATATTTTTTTATTATTTTTTTTTTTTTTAATATAATATTTTACATATATTTTTTTATAGACGAGGTTGCATCGAAAATCACAACGGTGGTGCATGGCAAAGTGTTGGGTGTAGAGATGCCTTTCCACTTACAGAATCCCGATGCTTGCGTTGATAGTGGCCTGAAATGCCCGTTGGAAAAAGGTGAAACCTATGAATATAAGGCCATCTTACCGGTGCTTAAGGCTTATCCAAAGGTTTGCACTCAAATTATCATTTTAAGCTTTTTCCATTTCAATTAATATTTACATATATATTTTCTGTCATTTCCTGCCTTCCAGGTAAATGTGCTTGTCAAATGGGAATTACAGGATCAAAACAGTGAAGATATCATTTGTGTACAAATACCAGCTAAAATACAATAAATATGTATAAATATGTACATATATAAATATATATATATAAACTATAATGTCCAGAATTTGAAGGAACTTTTCAGTCAATTAAAAGCAGAAGAAAACTCATAAATAAATGAAAAATGCATACTATGAATATGTGTACCAAACAAAGAAATATATACATACATACATATATATGTATATGATTGTTAGTTACAATAAATGTTGTAAACAATAATACAATTTTGTTTAGTTTTTTTTGTTATGAAATTGAAGAGCGCGATGTTGCAAATGGGAGGCAAGAGAGAGTTACAGGTACTCACGCACGGAGTTTTTCCGTTATTTTAAACTCGACTTTTTAATAAAATTTTAATATTTGATTTATTTTTTTTTTTTTGTATTTATAATTTGATTTAAATTTCTATTGCAATATGTGGCAACCAAATTTGGCCCTTTTGCCGTAATCGATATACAGCAGATAGCAGCGATGAATTTATCGGTGCATGTGACAAATCGTAAATAAATAGCTTTACCAGAATTACCCAATGAACTAAGCGGGGTTAGGTGGCCGGTTAAAATCTGGTAGGTTGAACCGTCCTAACGGGCGTTTGATAACTTTAATAGAGCTAGCGGAAATTACCGAAAACGCCTTCAGTATGCTCCACACACCGAGTCGACGCTGCTGTCTGCTCAACCCCGGCGCGCGAATTGCGAAAATTCGCTCTAATTTCCACACTGAAGCGGCTGTTTTGGTACCAATAAAGGATCTCAACAAGAAGATTCGTTAAAAAATCCTACAAACCCTGCTCCGAGCCAACCAACCTCTGGGCGAAAGTCAAATGTTGTTTAGAAATTACACGCAGTGACTGTGCCTCGTCAAACCTGGAAAAGTGGACGATCCATTTTAATTGACACTGCACCCTTCGGTAGGCAAGATGAAGCGAGAAGTGATTCGCCGTCTGCCAAACACCAGCAAAGCGATTGATTTCTCCAAGGATGATGTTCAAGCGGCCCTGCGGGTTAGGGCTAAAGAATTTATTCGTGATAAGTCGTAAGAGGCGACTAAAATCCCATAGTTTCCGTGCCAGTCGGGTCTTTATACCGGGACAATACGGATTTTCGATTCGATTTTCGATTCGGGGAATATTTTGCGGGATTAGCATACTGAAATAAAAAAATATCTGAAACTAACGAGAGCAGACTACCTCACAAAGGTACTGAATCGATCTTTGATAACTCTTAATAATACCAACGAACAAAGGAAAATCATATCTTGAGGTCTTGCAGCTCCCGTTTTTCACTTACCTTAACCGCACTTTCATAAGCCCTCAGATAATGCAAAACTTCAACTAAAATCGGCGTTGCGTGCAAACTGTCCTGGTAGCACCAGATCTGAAAAATTTAAGCTCCTTCAATCTCTTGGTGCTAATAAATGGCATCCTCGGTGTCGGGTTGAAGAGGTGGACGACAACTACAACTAAAACCTGCGGAATCCTCGGCTACCCTGTTCGCCATAAACGCCATTCACAGATAGTCTATCAACATCTTCATAAACTTTCTACCGTTGGATGGTATGCGCGGAATCCAACTAATATACATAGAAGACGAAAAGCTCGAGCTGCCTCAGAGATCCGTGTATGAATGGCCAATGGTCCCACGAACGATATTACTCACCTCTTTGCTTCTCCATTAAAATCCACTAATCTACCACTTCTTGTCTGCACGAATAGAAACAGTTCGTTTCTTGGACCTTCCGTTAAATGAGCTCGACGACAAAGATTAACTTTAACCCCTCCAAGGCTTCATTGCTGAAACGCAATACAGAAATTTGGTGAAAAAAAATTATGGAACTAGTTCGAGATGTGAAGAATAAAAAACGTGCACGTCGCTCAAGAACAATTGGGAATATTGCTGCCGTCGACCAGAGTGTTGAAGAAAACAGAACTCAAGCCGGCTGACCATCAACACGTCCTGTTTTACTGATTGGGTCCTTGAAATGCATGAACACGATTCCGAATTCCATGGAAAAATCAGCTTGACTAAAGGAGCCCATTTCCTCTTCGATGGCTACGTCAATAATCAAAGCTCTCACATGTGGGACTCGGAGAAGACAAGATTTATTGTTGTCTTCGTACTCAACGTTAAACTGTTTGGAGCGATTTATGGTCCGGTGGGTCATTGGACCTTATATTTTCGAAAAAGAGGCTGTAGCAGAAACACTGTGAACAACCTTGCGGGCTAAGGGCTCAAGAATTTACCCGTGGTAAGGCATGCCTGTCGTAAGAGGCGACTAAAATCCAATAGTTCCCGCGACAGTCGGGTCTTTATACCGGAACGACCCGGATTTTTATCCGGCCAAGAACTGTCACTGCCGCAACATTCCCCGAAAATCAATTCGGTTACAACAATAATAATAATAATAATAATAACACTGTGAATAAATTGCGCTTACGAGAGTTAATTAATGATTTTATATGGCTCCGAAATTGGATGGTTATATTCCGGACAACGTTGACTTTTAAGAAGATGGACGCTACGTGCCGCAAAAGCAACGAAACCATCGATCTTTCAAGGGAAAGTTTGCGGGAATGTGGTTATCTCTCGAAATGGTAATTGTAATTCTCCATCGAGATCTTGTCATTTATACATCTTGCGACTTCTTTCTTTAGGGCCACGTAAAAAAGTTAACAGGCCAATGTCTATTCAAGACCTCAAAGATGGAATACGTGAAGCTATTGAGGGTATACAGCAGCATCTTTGCGATTTGGTGATGGAAAATTTCATAAAAACGATACGGTCCTGTAAGCGTAGCCGCGGCGGCCATTTGGCTGATACTCTTTTCTCTTATTAATGGCTTATCTTCCGATCATTTAACTAAAAAAACCGTAATTTTTTTTGAATATCAAAATAACACCTCTTTGGAAACTCCGTAAGTAGGTTTTTAACAATTTTAACATTATCATAATGCCTGACTTTTAATTAAATTATTGTAACCACGCCATGGTTAACCTTATACATACATTTTTATATTTTTTTTTTATTTTTTTCTTGTTGCTGTCATTTTCAACACACCTACCTGTATACGTTTCAGATCACTATAGAGCGAGCAGGGGAAGTTCAAACACCCTCACATCGGTCATCTGGCGATCTGCTGAAAATCGAACATTTTCCTATTTTTTAAACCGATTTTCAGTATAGATCTGAAGCTAAGCTTTTTGCGCTAAAAATGAGGACATACTCGTTTATATAATATTATATATGTTTCATGTTTCATTCCCATTTATTTATGCAATCATGAGGAAAAATATTACAAATATATATGTATTTATTTAGAAATTCTTAAGAGTCAAAATTTAGCATTACAAAGTTTTTTTTTTAATTATTACGTACTTACATATATACAATTATACAAATTTTTTCTTAAAAATTACATTTTTTTGTCTTTATACATTTATAAAAAATACTTAACAATTTTCTTAGCTTCAATTTTATTTAAAAATAATTAATTTGTATTTTTATTATTTAATTGTACTACTCAGCAATTATGAATATATGTATATACATACATATATGTATGTAGTTTAAACAATTTTTCATAGACATACAAGACCATTATGGAAAATTTCTTTAAAATATTAGCAAATACAAGGTGCGTTCCAAATTAAACAGAACTTTTTGCATCTAGCGCCCTCTAATGGCGCCATCTTGTGCGTTAGAATCTGCTATCTTTTATCGACTTCCAGTAAAAATTTCATGACATTTCATCCATTGGAAGTAAAATTATTGCGTTCTAAGTGTCAGCATGTTTTTGTCATCGGTGCGAAAATGAGCACAAATTCGCTGACGACCAAAAATTGCTCAGAATTCAATATTCGAAGGACATCAAAATTCGAAGGCAAAAACAAGACCCGAACTTTCTTTACAAGATTGTGACTGCTGGTGAAAAGTGGTGTTTTCAATATGATCCCGAAACGAGACGCCAGAGTGCTGAATGGAAGGCGTCGGACGCTCCGAAACCCAAAAAAATCGCGTCTGGAGAAGTCAAAAGTGAAGATAATAATCCTAATTTGTCTTTATGATTCCATGGGTATTGTCCACAAAGAAAGTGTTCCAATCGGCCAAAATGTTAATGCAGTATTCTACCTTTCGAGTATTAAATGCGCCGTCTCAGCCATAGACGCGTGTGGCCAGAAGCAGAAGTAAACTATTTTGAATAAAATGAATTGATTTAGCCGATAAAACCATTTGTTCTGTCCTTTTTTTTAAGTTCTCTTTACTTTGGAACGCATTTTGTACATATAAACACAATCATATAATGAGTGGTTTTAGAGCCAGCTGATAGTTTCGCTTTTGTTTTTGAATTTTTGTAATAATTCCCAATATCTCAAATTCAAATATATTTCTCGATATTTAGTGGAAACACTTTTTACATTTCTTTTGCTTGTAAGTTTTTCGCTAGACAACTTCCGCTTATTTCACTTCGATTTAGCTTCAGTAGGTGGCGGCGCGGATTAGAATCAATTTAAGTATGGCAGCGCTACTTCCTAAATATAGCGAAGTTGGCGCGCTTTATAGTTGGTTTAAGCATGGCAATGTGTTGAAATACAGTCCTGTAAGCAATGTACACAAGCAACTCTGAATTTTTAAATTATCCTATTTCTGTCATAGAAGCTTCACTTCCTGTTTAACTTTCAACTAATAAAGACCTATTTGTAAACGCTAAGTGTGTTCTGTGTGTCTTATAAGGAAGTAAAAGGCGAGTCGCTTATAATATATCCAACACAATGCCACCTTTTGAATATGGCCGATAATGCAGTCACGGTGAAACAAAAAGAGCCTACAATCGTCGTTGGCATCATATCAGGAAGAACACACAAAAGTTTAAGATAAAATCTGAATATTATATATTCGTAAATTATGTACATACATATATATACATTTTTTTATTAGATGCATATTTGATCTCAATAGGAAATAAAACATCCATACATCCATACCAGTAAAGTCGGGGTATTTATTTAAACTAAATTCGTTGATGATGTCGTAAACTACTCGACAAATCGCTAGCTAAGCGATGAATGTTTTTAATGTTATTGACAAAATATTGTTATTTTATTAAGGTTAAAGTAAAGTAAAGAAGATCGCAAAATTACCTTAACTATGTACACAGGTTGAAATACAGACCTGTGTACAAAGTACATATCCATGCAACTCTGAATTTTTTAAACTATCGGGTAGAACTAACACATATGCACATTGTTTTTGTTTATCCTTCTCTTCTGAGCACATAAAAATTGAAGTAGAATTCAGTTGAACGGATTATCCGATTTTCTTTGTTCTTATTTTCGAGTAGAATGCCATTTTTTATCGTTTTTCCGCAGCAGATATAAGTGAAAAATATATAATGAGGATCCTTTGCAAGCTGTGGTAATAATATATTTGTCGATTTATTAACTATTTCATTTTTCATAACTCTTTACATTGTTTTTATTTCAGTGTACTCAATATAGTACAGAAAATTCTGTTAATGGAGCAGTTTAAGTAGAATGGACGCTTCTCATCTTGCAGCAGCAGCCTATCTCAAAAATTTTCAACAAAACTTTGCGAGGTACAACTGCATTAAAATATTAATAACATTATAATTTGAACATTATTTTTTTTATTTTACTTAGATTTCTTTATACTTCAAAGGAGCTGGAGCTGTGTCACTATTTAAGACTTCTGTATATAGTCATATATTGACATATCCTATTAACTTTAGCCGTCAAATATTTCAGAATCGCTGAGGAATATAATTACCATTTGTACATATATTCCTCGCGATAATAAAAATAAACAAAAATAGAATCATCACTCACTCCGGAATGCAAGCAAACAAATAAATACATATGAGCATGTTTTATTCCATGGAATGTATGTAAACAAATACTCATAGTCATACATTCATAAGCGTATCTTATTTCATAGAATTCAAGAATAAATAAGAAGCTAATAAAGAAAAAAGAGTCAGTTCAGAATAAGTACTTAGCAAGGAAGCTTTGAATTTTTTATTTCTGCAACTCCATATCGGTTGAGGTTCCTTTTAGAAAAAGATTTCTGAAGCCTTCAAAGTGTACAATAACACGTACAAACCGAAAACTATATGCGGTTTTGCTTACTTTTGAAAACGAATTTATTGTTGTATTGTTATTTCTTTTGTGTGCTATGTAAACCATGCAAGTTAATGCCACCGCTCACACATAGCACTTAACTGTAAAGTAAACATAATGGTTTAATTGAAAAGTAATTCTAAGCAATAACAAAATATTGCCAATCACTATATTTGTAAACAGATTTCGGTATGAAATCACTATTTGTAAACAGATTTCGGTATGAAATCAATCCAATAGACTCAAGGTTAAAGAATTTCATCAAATGATGAAATTCATATTAAATAAACAATAAGAAATAGTATAAATAGGCTTAAGTGTAAAATGTAAGAGGTCTTTTGCTGTAAGAAGACAGTCGGATAAGCATGGCTGAATAAAGTGAATAAAGTTGAAGCAACGGTTTAATTTGTTTTTCTTTTTTAAAAACATCTCGCGACCGGGCAAAAAAATAAGTTGCACATGATTTATGTTAAATATTGAAATAAAGACTAAATCTTAATAATGTTTGTATGTATGCATACATGAATGAAAGTTTTTGTCAAAGCGTATGTATGTATATATGCAGGGAAAATTTTTGTCAAAGCTGATTTCTTTCGAGATCAATGCTGTCGCTCATCATTGCTGAGGGGAATGGAAGATCCCTTATACATGAATGCAATCGAGTTTCGGAATGTATATAGATCAACGCCAGATTTAGTTTAAGAAATTCTTTCTCAACTTGATAGGCAACTAAAAGGGAAGAGAGTAGCAGAAGTGTCTATAGAGAAACAGGTAGTAATATAACTTTTAAGTATTCATTCAGTTTTAACACTACTAAGTGCTAATAGGTGATTCTAACCGCCTTGCGATTCTTTGCAACTGCATGTTTCGAACGTCTTGTTGGAGAGCAATGGGGCATATTAATGAGTCAATCGCCCGTAAGACGTTGTAATACGTTATTGTTTTTACAAAGGTTAGGATAGGATTGCACTTGTGTGTCAATCATGAGCCAGAGAAATCCTGAACAAACCTATGTCAACCAATTACATAAGGAAGATGATAATAATAAAACAAACTAACGTAGTAATGAGATAAAAACAGATAATCTTCTTTATTAACGCTGTCAAGAGGATCATCAATTGGATCTAGTACTGGAAAAGTCAACACGAAAACTGAAGATTACATCAGAGAACTTGTTAATTTCTATGATATCGAGAGGAATGCTAGGGTTGGTACGGAAGAGATGTGTGGACTTTGCCACGTCTTTTAACCAGTTAACCTGAAGTGGCATTCATTGCATTGAAAATGTATCCAAACATTAATAAACCAGTAGTCTAAGAGAAAGTTATGTGTTCTCAGTAGTTCCAGTCAAATCGGCAGGTAATGTTCTAACATTCTTTAGACCTGCCTTCCCGCCTGTTTAAGGTTGTTACTACCTTAAAATGCAACCCATAAACCATTTTCAAAGGAATCATCTAAAACTAAAATTTTATTTTTCTATAGAATAGAAAATGGTGTCAATGGTGTCAGAAGTGTAATGATCTAATTTATTGTGATTTTGCAGGATAATCGCCAAAGTAAAGCAATGACTTTCTAAATCTCTCTTCTTTTCATTGGGTCCTAAGGCCACTACATAAGTGAAAGTTGAAGAAAAAGTTTTTGAAATTAAAAACTTAAAGTTTTTTCTTTCGACTAAAGAAAGTCGAAAAGACCCGACAGAAAATTTGAAATGGAGAATAAAAGTGAAATTAATTAGAATTATCCTAGTACGTCAAGAACAAAACTACTCCTGATAAACATCGTCCCGTCTTCGTTTCACATCATCGTTTTACTTATAAAACAGCTCCACACAACTGAGTATAAAACTTAAGAGTAAAATTTTATTATTCACATACGTGTATTAGAATATTGTGTCAGCTAAACAACGAATCTAATTTAGGGTTTTTTGTGAGCATATTTTAGTGTGGTAAAGGATCTTTGCAGTAAGTCTGCTCATCATTTAATGAGTCATTTTCGACAAAAAGCAAAAGTACAACATCCCTGCAAAAAAGAATGCAGTTGAACGGATTATCCGATTTTCTTTGTTCTTATTTTCGAGTAGAGCAGTTTAAGTAGAATGGACGCTTCTCATCTTGCAGCAGCAGCACATCTCGAAAATATTCAACAAAACTTTGCGAGGTACAACTGCATTAAAATATTAATAACATTATGATTCGAAAATTATTTTTTAATTCGCGTTCGGCAGCTGGAGCTGTGTCACTATTAAAGACTTCTGTATATGAGGTTTTTCTTATATTTTGCTTATTTTTGAAAACGAACTTATTGTTGTATTGTTATTTCTTTTGTGTGCCATGCTGTCGCTCATATGTGCTCTGTTTGCCCGATAAGAATGACAAAAATGCACAAGGAAACGAAGGGCGAATAACATACACGTATACACATGTAAACATCACGTTTGTCATTTCGGCCTATAAGAAAGTGATAGGAAAATCGTTGTACGAGCTGACGGGATATGTCGTCATGCATTCCTGATATATATTGGCTCAAATGATTGGAAGCCTTCTGGCAGGGATATTTTCATCAATTCGACGATTTAAAAAAAGAAATAAAAAACCAATTAACATTTTGTGAAAAATTTGAACTCTCTAACTAGTACTTAGTGGATAACAAGGATAAAAATCAAACAAAAAAAAAATTATAGATAAAATCTCTGGTTATGACAACATAACCAATCAATTTCGTTATTAAACCGGCTTTTCTGCAAAAATTGGCAATTCCATCACACGCAGCCAGCTGACCGAAGAAATATAATATTTGGGAAAGGTTTGTCAAAAATAAAATAAGCATCAGTTGACGCGGAAAAACGATATTTCAAAAGAGTTTTTGCCGTCTTTGCCATATTTACGTTTGCATAAGTATCACTATAGGAATTTACTTTAACATTTGTAACTTTCTATTTTAAATTTTTCAGTTTTTATGTTACTGAATTTGAAGTTTCAAATATTTTCATTTTCTGAATTATTATAATTTTCACTTTTAATCAAACAAGAACTTCTTAAATAAATTTTATTTAAATAAATAAAATATAAAAGTTTTAATTAGCAAACATAAATATAATATATAGATACATTTTATCTATATAATTGGCGATCATGCAATATATATATTTAATTTTTAAAACAAAGCAAGAAAAATTAAAAATTATAAATATTTATAAATATAATCGCATTTAATTTACATTTATACATAGAGCTACAAGTATAAATCGTGCTCTATACATCATTTAACAACAGGACTACATCTTTGGCCATTTTATACTGTTATTCCTGAAAAAATTCCATGTCCACTAATCAGTACCGTTTTCAATGCGGAAGTGTATGAAGATAACTTTTCTGTGAAATTTAAGGGAACAACTTTTTTGGAAAATGTTGAAAGCAGCAAACCTCAGCAGAAGAGAGTAAATACGAAAAACAAAAGGCAAAGGAGCTCAGAGTAAAACAACTGTTCGCATCTGAATCTGGCAGATAGCCAGGTACAGGCATGCGTAGGACCCATGGGAAAGTTAGATCAAAAACAATCCTAGACGAGTTGTTTTAAAGTGTCAATCTGTATTTTATGCAAGCAAAGCTCTAACTTTTATTAATAAATACATTGATGTCAGCTGAAAAATTAAAATTAGTTAAGACCTTTCTTATGCAAATTTTGCAAAAGAATGAATTTTATCCTTTTTTTTCAATATTAAGAGCTTATCGGATGGACATAACAGCTGACTCGTTAATGGGTCCTATATGATCTTGAATGTACGTAAATTTTCCATATTGGATATATCTTATTTTTTACAAACTTGATATGATCTATGGCAGTCTTGAAGCCAATAAAATTAATTTATTTCATAGCAACCAAAGCTATTTTTGTTCAATTTCAAAAAAGCATCGCTTCTATATGAGCATATGTATGCATATACTAACTTATACGGCTAAATACATAATATATGAATATTTACAAAAAAAAAATAAAAAATAAATAAATTACTGACTTGTTAGTTGGTTGGAAAAGTACTTGCAGTTTTCTTGCAGCTATCCAAATATACTACTCCATGGCATAATCATCGAAGGCATTACAGTAGTCGTTTTTACAAACCTCTAATGTTGCTTGCTGTTTATGTAAGTCATAGTTATTAGACTCTTTAAGTGTGTGTGATGTAAAGAATTGATTGTGCTGATTAGCTGTATTTCGTGTATTTAGTATGCTTGTGTTCGCCACATTTGTATCTATTTCCACATTTGTTGTCGTTGTAGAAGTATTAAAATTTGTTAACGGATTAAATGCATTGAAGAATTCACTTCTATTTTTCTCAGTACTATTTGTTTTCAGATAATTATCAGTCAAATCTATTACACTCGCATCTTCATCTTCCTCGACAACTTTTTTACGCTTTAATATAGCCGAGTACATTTCACGTGAACAACTTTGACCACGAGATTGTGCACGCTGTACTTGGAGTATTGGCTCATATTCGTATAATTGAGTCATATAAAATCGATCTAAATCAGCTTTTTTGTAGTACTCCTTAAGACGCGCAAATGCTTTGCTGTATAATGAAAAAAGGAATGCATATATATGAATTAATATGTATCAAAATTGCTATATGTTCATATATTTAACAAATAGAAACTCACCTAAAACTTATATTATGTTTATACATTAAAAATGCCACAATAATTGTAAGACATTTTTGATCACTGCCATTACAATCGATTACTAAGATTGTACCACACGCTTGTAGTGCTTTATTTATAAATTTAACTGCTCGATAGCAATTCGGTAAAACTGTAGTCAAGTATGACTTTTCACCAAAATTTAAATCAATTGCCTCAAATTCTTTACCAAATTTGAGTGATGAACTTGATGAATTACTGAAGTACTCAAACGTATCGAATGCCTCTACTGTTGTATTCACAGTCGATATTTTAAATAGCGGAGATGGATAATACAATTCCTGTATATGTTTATCTATTATAATGATGTGTGTAAAACCGTGCGAACGTAAATTCTCCTCATTCCATGCTAAAAAGTTTTTTGAAAGATAAATGCTTGGCATCATACACTCCATTGCCAAGTCGCTTGATGAGAAAATTGTAGCAGATGCTGTCGAGGTTGGAAATTCGATTTCAACTTGCTTTTGTGATAACTTCTCTCGGTGTACCTCTGCTAATATTGGCATATTATTCGTTACTGTTCTATTTTGTTCTTGTAAAGCGGGTAACTGTGTTGTTGTTATGTCTTGTGGTATTTGATGTTGCATTATTTGTTGTAGACGCAGAGCATCACTAGTTTGCTGACGGTCAGGGTTAGTAGAAGACATTGTATCGTAATTTTTGAAATCAAGAGCAGATATTAGGGAATGTCCTGGTAAAGCTGGTAATGTCTGTAAAGCGATAGAAACGAAGGTAAAAAACTTTTTAAATTTTCTTTAGACATAATAACACAAAACTGGTGGGTTTAATTCACAGGAATTATAATTTCTTTTCGCTTTTGTTATACCGGGTTTGTTACTTGAGTAACACTTACAAAAACCTGACCTATCTATTGCATACCCCTAACAGCGCGCCGACTAGTTATTCAAGGTATCGCCATGGTGTTAATATAACGATGCACCTAAGCGATTTTTTTGCGCTTCGTGTGTTATGGTATCGCCAACTGTACAGTTATGTTGTTATACATATATATACATACATACATATATAACGATATATATATAGTATTACATTTATATAAAATATTTAATTAAAATTAGATAATTACCATTCTCAAAAGCGTTCAATTCTTAACTATCATTTACGTCCTTTATGTATGTACTATTCAAATGTACACATATCGCTTTTATGCCTGCTAATTTAGTTTTCACCTGGAAAAATCGGCGGCAAATTTGACAAACAACAAAACTTGGTGGCCTCCCTAATGGTGTACGCAAAAATAGGCAAAACTTGTATTACATTATTAACATTTCAGGTTTTCTAAAATATTCTCTTAAAGAAAATTTTCTGCCAGCTGATTTTAATTAAAATGAAAATTTATTAACGCAGGAAATATTTTCCGCATAAATATAATTACACGCGACGAAAAAACACACCAACTTGTAAAGTGAAATGGATGGTTTTGCGAAATACATACATACATGCGTTATGTAGAGTTGTTTTCGACTTAATTTCTGTTAAAGGTCAACACTGTCAAAACCTTATATTGCGCCTCCGCTCACAAGAAGATATTAAACTAAACCAGAGAATTTATAATAACGGGAAGGGTCATTAAATCTTTTCCAAAACTTATTTTTACTTGTTTTTGATGAAAAAGGCATTTAAAGAAAATATTTGAAAATGTTTTTTAATTATATTATTCTTTATTTATATATATACTGAAAAGGAAGTAACCAATTTTCAATAAACAATATAATAACCCAAGTCATATTGTGTTTTTTAACTCTACTTTAGTGTTACTTCTCTCCTAAAGCCACTCATAATTATAACATGTCCGCATTGCGTGATCTACTCTATTGGTCCATATCTGAATACCCAATAAATCTGATTCTTTTTACAAATGGCAGCTCCTTTACTAAACTGTTTTGTTTTTCTTACTTAACTTGAAATTTTTTTGGCACACGATAGAAATGTCTGATAAAAGAAAATATAAGAAATCGGTTAGTAATATTAGGTTTTTTTGTTGAAATAATGAATTAAGCATGATCCCAACCTTTTTTTTATACAGAAGGAAGAGATAGCTCGGGAGTTCGACTTACCTGAAAGAAAGTCGAAAATTGCCACAATAATGAAGCAGGATGGTCAGGCATACTGCATTTGTAGAACATCTGATTGCTCTCGTTTCATGATGTAAGTTTTAATTAATGTACACTACTTGTATTACGTATAATTAATAAAATATGAAAACATTGCAGTGGTTGTGATGGTTGTGAGGAGTGGTACCATGGCGATTGCATTAACATCACCGAGAAGGAGGCCAAACACATACGCCACTATTACTGCCAACGCTGCAAAGAGGAAGACCCTAGTTTGCAAACAGTTTTTCGTATTGTTCCCGTGGAGAAGACGGCGGCGCCAGCCGGTGCCAATGGCAGCAATGACGTTGACAAACGTAAAAAACCAAGGGAGCAAATAAATATGCGAGAGAATAATGTGGTAACAGCAGCGGTGGGCAGTAGCAAAGTAGTGGCAACTTACTGTGGTAATTGTGAAGGATGTCGTGCACCCAACTGTGGTGCATGTGAATCTTGTCGCATACGTGTAAGTGAAAATAAACCACAGTGTGAAATGCGTATTTGTCAAGCCCCACCAACAGCAATGGCTCAACAGCAGCAAATGCCACAACAAACACAACAACAACAAACTAGTGTTTCTACAATTCAACAACAGGCTCCTAGTCGGCACAAACGGAAAGAAAAACAGCCGAAGGAACGTACACGGAAACGGAAACGCTCTCTAAGTCCAGAGGTATTCATAAACCCAGATTTAGAAGGTATGAGGCAATGTTATGGGCCTCGCTGTAGGAATAATGCAAGACCGCAGTCAAAGTACTGCAGCGATGAGTGTGGCATTAATTTAGCGACCAATCGTATTTTCCAAGTAAGTTCACTTTATTGAGGTTATTTTTCCAAACATCAACTACTTTTCTATAAGTTTGATTTATATGTGTATAATATATTTATAGGTATTGCCGCAACGCGTTCAAGAATGGAATCTATCCAGTTGTCGTGCAGAAGAGGAGAACAAAAAACAACTTGATCAAATACGTGCAAAACAAGCTGTTGTGCGCTTTGCTTTGGCTGAGTTGGACAAACGGCACATGGAATTAGATATGATTGTGGAGCGTGCTAAGCACAGTACATTAGATCCAAATCGCACACAGGACAATAATGACATCGAAGATGAACAATCAATGTACTGTATTACGTGCGGCCATGAAATACATTCGCGCACTGCTATAAAGCATATGGAGAAATGCTTTAACAAATACGAATCGCAGGCATCATTCGGCAGCATCTTCAAGACTCGCATCGAAGGCAATTCAATGTTTTGTGACTTTTACAATCCCGCAAGTAAAACATACTGTAAACGTTTGCGTGTATTATGTCCTGAACATTGTAAGGATCCGAAAATTAGTGATAATGACGTATGTGGTTGTCCACTAGTTGCGAACGTCTTTAAGCCAACAGGTGAATTTTGTCGCGCACCCAAAAAGAGTTGTTTTAAGCACTATGTTTGGGAGAAAATACGTCGCGCTGAAATCGATTTGGAACGTGTTCGTCAATGGTTGAAAATGGACGAGCTACTTGAACAAGAACGACACATACGACATCTTATGGCTTCACGCGCTGGGGTTCTAGGTCTTATGCTGCACTCAACTTACAATCATGATGTTATGGAAGAGTTGTGTCGGCAACAATATTTTAATGCAGCTGGAACATCTACGGGAGACGTGAACGCTCATAGTTAAGCCAATTTTGTATGCATTTATAAAGTAAGAAGAAGAAATATTATTCAATAATATTTTAAGTGCTTAAATATAAAAAAGTGAAGAATAACTAAAATGTTTAAATTTAATGTGGTGACTTCTTGGAATGCTGTTATAGTCGCAGAACTAATGGCAATTCCGTCTAGTAAGTCCATGTCGTGTACTCTAGTAATTTAAGTAAATCTGGTACTCTGGAAATGTAACTTCCCTGTTCCGCAACGTCGCTAACCGATCGGGGAATTTAATTTTATGAAAATTGGTAAATCGAATTAGGGGAACAAATGGAAAGAAAAATATTTGGAGAGGGATCTAACTTCATAGGATGTCTTCTACGAGTATCAAACAGCAAAACAATAGATAAAAATATTTATTTCGATATTTGAAAATTAAGTACAATTCTATATTTTTTTGTTTTTAGAGATCTTTTAAATAAAGTTCATACATATGTACATATCCCGGAAAGTAACTTACATATGTACGTGTCGGCATCGTGGAGGAGAGAAGTGCGAAAAAGTCGAAAACATAAGTAGCCGTTGAACAATTAATTTTTATCTTTTGTAACCCATCACATATGGTAAGCGCTCCATTTGTGTCCATAAGTTTGTACGTACTGCTTCAAAGCAAGGCGTTGAGTCTATATAGATTGTCTCATGACGACGTGCGAGATACGCATTAACTGCTTCTTCGTTTTGCGAAAAGTACAACATCTATTCAATATGGTGTAAATAATTGAAAGGGAATTATATTATTTCAACGGCAAGCATAGCGATGCATTATTTACAGTTCCCAAAATATTGGAGTACCCACCTCATGTTCCATATATTTGCAGTTATTTTGTGGGCAACCCAAATCTGGTTTGGTAACCAAACGTCTCATCGCCATTATTTCTGGACATTGCAAGTATATAACTTTGTTAGGTGGAATTTTAAATTTTTCAAAAATTTCAGTAAATTCCTCAACATTTCTAGGAAAATTACTCAGCACCCAACCCTGACGTAGTGCATCCATTTGTAATAGACGCTGTTGTATGACTTTAGATAATGCTGCAGACTTATCCTTTGCCACATCAGCCATAAATGCTTTATGCAGTATTTGTGCGGTTATGTCGTTGCGGAAAAACGTTGTGTATATCAAGTTTTCAGCATCAACTAAAAGAAGTAAATAACTTTAAAAAGAATTTATGTGCATTGAAATAAAATAGTATTACTATATACTAAATTGAAACGCTTAGCGATTGAGAGCGCTTGAGTTTTACGACCGGAACCACTGCGTCCAAATATGATTATACGATGATGAAAGTGTCTTGGTAATTTAAAGTAGTCTAGAAAAATGATATAAGATGAAAAATAAAAGTAGTTTAAATAAAATGAATGCAAAAAGTAAGTGGTGCATTTCCGGATACAAAACCAAAACTATGCACTTCCGGTTACATGCATGCTGTATATACTTACCAATTTTGTTAGCCATATAACTTGCTTCTAAACATTTATGATAGAACTCATCGGCAATACGACGAATGTTTGTAGCAATCCAATGCTGTGGATTGGTCGGTCGGACTAGACCAATTTCAACCATTAAACGCTGCGATTAGTGCCTTTTTATTTGTAAGGAGAATCAATTCTTATTACATTTAATGTTCTTACCGTTATGATTTCAATTAGCTTATGTCTCTCAAAATACACCATAAGTTCGGCAGAATATTCAGCTAAAGATAATTTAATCGAAGAGGTAGACATAATCTATGTATATAAGTTTTATTCAAATACGCATACAAAAAAATCAAGCAGTCAAATTCAATTTATTGCGCAAGGAAATAAGCCAAATGAAATAATACTGGATTTACCGGTTGTGTACGATACGACAATTCAAAGAATAAAAAGGGGAAAGAACACAACGGCCTTTGGGGGAACTTAACAAGACCATGATACCGTATAGCACGAAATTTGACGGTGTTTTCTATCAAGAATTATTCGTCGGCGGGGTTTAGGCTTCCAGACTATTTGCAGTGTTTTTCGGACGGAAGGTGCTGCAATCAAGGAAACCACTACGGTGGACGGGTTCATTTATGGTAAGCAAATATGTGCTCCTCTGTTCGGCCATTTGACTATTGAAGAAACTCAACTGGTGCTGGGTTGGCAACTCTTAATGACTTGACATATTTTATTACAGTTTCTGAGTAACCCTGTGTTAAACCAAAATAATAAACAGATGTTTATGTTGTTTACGTTACATTTCGCAGTTTTTGATAAGAAACTCAATACATTTTGACAAAACGAATTCGATTATTTCGTAATTTAGCTGAGTTTTAAAAATGGCATTGATACCAAATGTGACACGGCTCAGCGCATCTATCATACGTATATTAGGTTGTAATCCTAGCCCAATGACTTTGCAAGGTACCAACACGTACTTGTTGGGCACTGGAAGAAGGTAAAGAATAAACAAGTAGATTTTGTCTTTTGTCTATTCTTTGTTATTATTAATATTTTTTTAAGACGTTTGTTGATAGATACGGGTGATTTGGATTTTCCAGAATATATTTCAAATTTAAACGGAGTTTTAAAACAAGAACAAGCATCAATTAGTACCGTTATACTTACACACTGGCATCATGACCACGTTGGCGGAGTTAAGGATGTGTTAAAATTATGCAAGCCGAGTGGTATTTAAAAAAATATTTCAAGATTAAAATTTTTTTTTTAATACAAAATGCCATAGAAATTTCTAATAAGCACACATGATTTTTAATTTTTATCATTATCCAATGCTCACTTAATGGACTTTATACCCTTTACAGACTGTAAAGTATACAAATTTCCACGCTCCGATGCACCAGATATATGCCCAGAAATTCCAACAGATGTAAAGATACTTCCATTGCAGGACCAACAAGAGCTAAGTGTAGAGGGTGCAAAAGTTAAAATAATTCACACTCCTGGACATACAACCGATCATGTTGTCTTGACTACTGAGGATGGCGCATTGTTTAGTGGCGACTGCATTTTAGGTAAGATGTAAACAATTCGATTCTTACTGTATATTATTTTATAAACATATAATGTTAAAGGTGAGGGTACCGCGGTATTTGAGGTGTTATATGACTATATGCGTAGTTTGCAAAAAATACTAAATTTCAAACCTAATATCATATATCCAGCCCATGGCAATGTTATAGAGGTAACGATTTTAATACATTCCAATATCTTTGATGTTTATTGTATTTTCTTGTAGCAACCGGTTGATAAAATTCAATACTACATCGATCATCGAAACCAGCGTGAAGAACAAATTATCGACTTCTTTAGGCGAAATCCTAATAAACAACTACAGGCAATGGATGTGGTACACGATGTTTATAAGCAAACACCTGAGAATTTGTGGCTGGCTGCAGCCCACAATGTTGGGCACCATCTTGAAAAATTGAACCATGAAGGCAAACTTAAAACATTAACCAAAAATGATGAAAAATATTATGAATATGAAAATAGTGGTGGTTCATAAAACAAAAAATGAGTGGTATTTGTTTTAAAACTTATGTTTGTACATATATTAACGGTGTTATTTTTGTTTATCGGTTTACTTTGCATGTTTGCAATAAAGCTTTGGGCTAATATAAAATTTCACTTAATTCTTATCTGGTTGGAAAGTAATTGTTTCATTTTTAAAATCATGTACATCCTCATACCAAACATCGTCTCTTCCACCAGTCAAGGCCTCCAGTTCTTCCTCGAAAGCTGTGGGGAAAGGCGGTGCAGTTTTATGCTTTCGTAGCGGTAAAATAGTATCATAAATGTAAACAAGTCCGTTGGTTGGACCAGGTATTGCGCTACCTTGTACCCACATAACATTGTATTTTGTATTGATGCGCCAAATTCGCATACCCTTCGCTACACGCCAACGATTACCCATATGTCCTGGCATTTTTGTACCGGGCCAAACGCGACCTTTCTCGCCACCACCACCTATATTACCAGGACGACGATGTGTTTTTGTTACACCATGAGAAGCCGGCATACCTTTAAAGCCATGCCGTTTCACCACACCCTGGAAACCGTGATCGACTCTGTATAGAAGAAGTTGTTAAATTTTAAAATGGTTTATTCAATTATTTAGCTATTATTTAAATGCAACGTACGTTTTGCCGCGTACATCAACGAAATCGCCAACTCTAAAGTGTGCTACATTCAAAGGCGTACCCGCTGGTATCGCTGCCTCTGGTGAAATAATAAAACGTCCCAAATTGCGCTTCGGCATCACCCCAGAGTCTTTAAACAAACCGCAATACTCTTTAGTTAGTGTTGAAGGATCTACCGATTCGGCTCCTACCAAAAGGCAACCATATTTGTTTAGATTCACAACGCTTGGCCGCTGCGCTGGCTGATACTCTTGTGGTGGTATATAACGTATTACATGATTATCAACAACTTGTAAAAGTGTGGTCCGTATACGTTCACCATTTTTTAACCAAAGCGGATACTGACCAATCTTACGGGCAATTAGGCCACAACGGCGTGCCTTTTCATGCCACGGCTGCCTCTCGAATTGTTCTGTTTTGATTAAAGCTGATTGATCATAAGAAGGTATGCCTTTTATAAGTGCAGGTGGCCCATATTTATCTTTTATAACTTCTTGGAGAAAAGTTTTGTTTTCTGGTGTCACGGTTGTATCACGAGCCTTGTGAGAATATTTGGTGGATAATTCTAATATATATATTTAAAAATTGACAGCATCCTAACTTACCAATCTTTCTTTGCGTACAAACCAGTAGGGGTTTCTCAAACGCGGTCTTGTTAAATGTCCTTTTTCCCGCACTTGTGTAACCACGACTGGACTAAGTCTGATAATAAATAAATAAGTTTAGAGGTTAGTTTTACAAACACCATTTCAAACAGCTGAAATTATCGAGATTTTAAATTACCGCAGTTTACTTAAATCAACAATTAATGAGCGCAACATTTTTATTGTATAAAATAAACGTTTAATTCCGATTTTTATTCATTTAATAATGTTTTTGATTTGCAGCAGATGAACCACCCCCGGAATAGCTTAGCCCTGCCACACTTTCTGCATTAAAAACATTTAATGTCTAAATTAATACTACAGTTTGCAATTAAAATTAAACTAATATAAATTTTTTTTTTGCTCAATATTAGTTTTTCACCTTGATATTTTGGCCTCATTATGTCTATTTGATGTATAAAATATTCAAAACCAAGAATTCTTTTATAATAATTCAGCACTATGCATTTTCTAAAAACACTGAACATACCACTGATTATTGTTTTTGTTGCAAATTGGTTGCCAAATTTTGACACTAGTTCTAGTTATTGGGAAGTAAATGTAGAATTTTTATTTTTTACTTGGAAAATATTTTCTTTAATAAATAGTTAAAAGCTACACTACTTTTAGCTAAGGAGAGCGCACAATTAGCAGTCTCAAAATTATATACATAATTTTGTTTGAGTCTTAACGTGTAATGGCAGGAATGAACAATTATTCAACGTTGATGTTAGTGTACTCGAATTAAACAAATTTGGTTTCGCAATTGCTAAAGGCTGTTACAAATTTGTTTAACGATTCCGTTCCTTCCAGGTATGCGACAAATCAAAAAAATGAGGACGAAGACAGAGAGGAGCCAGAACAACGCACCCGCCTACGTAATATATATAGTGCCAGCCAATTGCAGGGTTCAATGATTACTACAGCAAACGCTACCGAACCCGGTGCTGGCGGAAGTACTCTAGTGCCACCAAACACATTAAATTTACAACGTACACACATACAGTGAGTTGTACTGACTAATATATCAGTTCACTGACGGATAGTTATATTAATATAAGTTTTTTCGCTGATTACGAACAGCTATGCATTGCATGATGATCGACAGTTGCATACACAAAATTATATCGACAGTTTAGGAGGTTCCACACATGATATGACTGCTGGTTCGACGGGATTGAAGTATGTCAATTCGGAACGTGATCTCTCTTTGCCTTTGGAAAAGCATAAAGCGCTCGAAAACTACTATGACAGTCAGGAGGATGGTAAAAATTAATTTTAAAAACTTTTATAAATAACGTTAACGTACTATACATGATTATTTATATTTTCAATACAGAAATATCTATTCGAAAATATCTCGGAATAGGCGTGCAGTGGGTCAGTCTAGTAACCGAAAATCTGCTTAGCCACCCTTTTATTGTATTACGCCGGCAATGTCAGGTTTATAATGCTTCCAGACGGTAAATTAATTAGAATTTGTTTTATCAATATTATGTGCAGCTGTGTACATATACTTACAGTTATCATCTACACCCGTTTGCACTCCTGCCCAGCATTATACATTTGCATCGAAGACAAGGCGTTACCACACTCTGGAAAGGGTTGGGCAGTTGTTTGCTGGTACGAGGCATGTCTCTAGCTGTTGATGATGTTATTTCAAAAGTAACATACTGGCCGAAGTAAGTGAAACTTTTATTTAATATTGGAAATATATAATTTTAAAATTTGTTTAAAGAGAAGTGGATAGCCGTACAACACTGAAGAAATTTGGACAACATTTAATTTTAAAATGGTATGCAGCAAATAGAAATAATTACATTTAATACATCAGTTTTAAGTAAATTTATATACTACACAGCATAAGCATTGCAATTGTAATGCCCTTTTATTCTGCTTCGCTAGTGGAGACAGTGCAGAGTGATATAGCTAGTGAGAAACCCGGCCTCTTTGATGTTTTTCGTGAAGGTAGCTTACGTTTGCTATATTGGAGCTCACCACAAAAGGGACGTATGCTTCCGGCTTGGTATTTGATTGGACCTTGCATATCTGTGGGTATTACAAAATATCTATTCGGGTATGTTTCATATGTTTAATTAATTGGATTGAGCGAATAAAATTAATGTTGACCACTAGACTTGTCATCAAAGGCATTTCATCTCGAATCATGCGTCGTCGTATACAACAAGCTCAAGAACGAAAGGGTGCCAAATATAAGGATGACACATTGGAGAATCAAAATGTTGAAATTTATTCAAATCTAATTTCAGTGCTCACTTCAGAAGTTATATTTTACCCATTTGAAACGATTTTACATCGTATTCAACTACAAGGCACACGTACGATTATAGATAACCTCGATAACGGTTATGCTGTTGTACCTATACTTACTAATTATCAGGGAGCTATCGATTGCTATCGTACCACAGTCTCAACCGAAGGATTCTCCGGGTTATACAAAGGATTTGGTGCTATAGTTTTGCAATTCGCAGCCCATATTGCTGTCATAAAGCTTACAAAGTGGGTTGTAACACAAATAACAGAAGTAATTTCTAGTCGGCCACCACAGAAAGTTATGCAATATTATAATTTGGATCGTGGGATAATCTCGAATTCAACAACAATTTCACCAAGCCTCAGTTCTAACAGTGAAATGGATGTTCAAAGTGTCGGTAATGGTTCATTAGATTAATGAACTGATATTATGATATGATTGAGTTTTTCAAAAACCCGTACTTTATTCAAATGTATACTCGGCAAACTCATGAAAAATGTGTTATATTATACTATAGATATATGTACATATATGTATAAATACAATCTGCTTTCTAGTTACAAACAAAATTAAATTTAATTAATAATAAAACAAACATATTTAAATGATAGCAGTGCTAAATTGCATGATTCTATTATGTATCATTAATTTTAACGATATATATTGTAAATTTTGTTAATTATAAATTGAAATTGATGCGAATATAAATATGCGGCTAAAAAATCTATTAATAACACGGAAAATACATTGAATTTACTCGGATGCCTCGAGGGTTAAGGTAGAAAGAAGGACGTGACTAATGCCGCAACTACCCATCTTAAGGGTATGTTAGATGGGTAGTTGCAGCATAAAATCGTATGGTTTGTATATATAAAACTCATTGCATTCGGCATCCATAAGACACTAAATTTTTTCTAATTTCAACTAGACGGCTTGCAATTTTTTTTTAAATTCATATAATTGCTCATTGGGAAAAGTAAATGGCATTTCAATCTATTTGCGAATTTAACTATCGGGCAATGTACACATTTTCTGACAAACAGAAACCTGGCCACTCTATTTTTGTTTACATTTGTTGGTCTTGTTCTTGTTTTGAAATGTTTACCGGTATAGTCGTGCATCTTGAAAGTAGTTAAAGAACGTATTAAATTATTAAAACAACATAAAAAACAAGTAGCAAGAATAATGGATTCGGGTATTTGATCATTTAAAATTTGTATTTTAAAATTTAAATTACTTGATAATAATATTTTATAGAACAAGATGCATCATCTTACAGCAGGAAAAATCTCTTGTCAGCTGAGGTAAAAAGTATGTGGAATTTAGTAAAGATATCCAAAAATTTGTGCACAAGAGAGCAGTGTATACGATTTGCCGAGGATAACGGACTCATATTACGTTCGAAATTGTGTTCCACACATAGAGTTCCAATGAAAGTAGTAATTAAGGGAAATATTACTGTGGGGTCCTTCCGATGCCACAGAGGGACCTGCCGAGACAAAAGTAGCATTTCTAGAGCCAAAGGTACATGGTTTGAAAATGCGAATTTATCCTTTCCAAATATATATTATCTTATGTACTGTTATGCTCACCACTGGCCCCAAGCAATGGTGCGCTTAGAAAATTTTAATGAAGGGCCCGTCCTGTCTTCCAAGACTATAACAGATTGGTATAACTTTTGCCGTGAGGTGGTGGTATCGTATCAAATTGATCAACAGAAGGTCATTGGTAAAATCGGTGGCAAGAACAAAGTAGTGCAGATCGATGAGATTAAATTTGGTAAAGGCAAGCAGAATAAAGGTATTTAAAATGCTTTACCTATTGAACAGTCAAAGTGTGATAATGTACTTGCTTTTTATATATATATATATATAATATAGATAAAAGCCCAGAAAACCAATGGTTACTGGGTCTGATAGAGGATGACAGCGAGGATCTCAGATTGGAAATTTGCAATGATAATGTTCGCTCCGTAGAAGCACTTTTACCACTAATAAAAAAACACGTGAAGGAGGGTACAATAATACGTTCAGATTTTTGGGACTCTATTGACAGTTTAACAGGCAGCGGTTACAAATATCAAAAAACTAATTATGATGACACAGAGAATCCTATAGATAATGATGAGAATTATATTCGAAGAATTGACAGTCAGTGGCGTGTTGTGAAACGCTTTTATTATAGAGATAATTTTAAAAATTGTACCAACTTTGCTGATATGATGGTCGAGTGTTTGTGGCGTAAATCGATTTCAGAAAAACATGAAGATCCTTTCTTGAAACTCATAGAAGCTGTTAAATATACTTATAAATTATAAATTGATAATAAGTATCAGCTCCGTCAAAATATAAGATGACTATTACGTTACGAAATTAGTAAAAACCTAACCTTTCTTTACATTATGACTTTTTTTTATAATATTATGCATAAATTGAAAAAAATTTCTTACGTTTTCTCTAAAAAAAAAATGAAGTAACCATCATTAATTTTTTTTATAATTTTTTCTACAACTAGTTTTATTTATATTTAGTAGTCTTATCATAAGCAAAAACAAAAATAAAAAATATAGGAAATAGAATAAACATTAGGCCAAGTAAAAAGTTCTCTGGATTTTTTTATTGTATGGAATCAAATGAATAAAGATATAATGAAGAAATAAGTAAAATGTAATGTAAAATAATGAATGCTTTTGGTTATTTCTGAAATTTACGAAATGTAAGGTGTGTCAGCAGCTAGCAAGTATTTTAATAAAACTAGCGATTTTTTATTTGTACGAGTTGGTACAAGCTGTCCGCCTACCGAACAAAGCGTTTATCAGTTATGTCTGTCGCTGTACTAAAATTTGCGCAACCCAGTTGTCTAATCCCTAATCCCTTCAGTCTTAAAGCTTTTTATGGTTGACTATAAATTAGCGATGGTAATAGCGTTTGACTGGTAATGTGTCCCAGACATTGTCCATTGAGTTGGGTAAAACATATTGTCCCTATTTTATCAAATACGCCTCCATAATCTTCTTAAATGCAAGTTCTGAAATTTGTTTATCGTCTGTTTTATAGTAAACACAGTTTACAATATCTCCTATAAACACAAAGATTACTAACTGCATAACTCTTTATAAACTAATACTTTATTCTTCTTAAAAAAACACTTTATTCAGCTTATTTTTATACCGATATTGTCACTACCGAGTTCCAAACTCGACTGAAAATACTGGTAAATTGACTGCCACTCTAGAAGGTTCTGCTGAATTGTTTTCGATAATGAAATTTCGTTTTGGTGCAACGTATAACTGATTTCTTGACCACTTTGATCATTGGACTGTTGGTATTTGGACTGACGAGCTTAGTCGATAACTCGTAACCCACATTATTTTCGCACTGACGTTTTGCAACACACATAGCGGTTTACAGTCATATTTGACATTTTTGCAATACTGCAATTCCAACATACATTAAATAACATTTCAATTTGTTCAGTTTGTTTTCTCATTATTGTATTAAATTTAAAAGCCATTAAAATGAAATGTGAGCTTTGTGATTCATCGCGACAAGATGAAATACAATTTGGATCGTTTTTGATCAGATATGATAAAGCTGCGCATTTAAATTGCTTAGTTAGTATTTTGATTTAAGTATGTATATGTGTATGCTTATTGAATTTTTGTATAACATGTTTAAAATGTAACGGAATCAAGAAAAGTAATAAAACTGCAAAATAAATTATTAAAGTTGCTACGGAAACAATGGGATTCCCCCTTTTAGTAAGAGCGCATTAACTAAAAACTAAATTGGGCAGGCTTGCCAGGTTATCATAAAATCGTCGTTGATTATTTCCGGATATAAGAGACGGATTTCCGCTACACTTAAATATTGGTTTAGTTTTTACTTTCAAAATTCTAAGCAGTATTTTTTTCTGTTTTATTTTTTTCCAGATTTTGTCTTACGGCTTGAAACAGAGAGGTTCTGACAATGTTGATTTTAACGGCTATTTGTTCAGTGATGTATCCAGTCGTCGTCGCTATTTCTATAAACAGGTATACCCAATTACTAAATGTTTGTGTAAATTTATATATTTCTATTAAAGAAATTATTTGTATATATATTTCTTAGAGCTGCTGTTATTGTAACGAAAGATATGCTAATTTAAAATGTGCCAATAAACACTGCCAGCGTTTGTTTCATTTCATATGTGGAATAGAAAATCGAGCTAGGAATCAATATGTTAAACCATATTTTTCATATTGCAATCAACATGTGACGAAGCCCAAATATCGACCTAAATCGACTGAATTTTGTTGTATTTGCTATGACAATCTCTTCGACGAAAGTAAACGTTTTTGTCCAGTGACCATGTTGAGGTCACCTTGCTGTCGTGACAATTGGTTTCATAAATTATGCATTCAGAGATATGCTCTGGAAGGCGGTCGTTCATTTAGATGCCCGATATGTAATAATACAGAAAAGTTTAGAAAGAGTATGCTTTTGTGGGGTGTTTTTACACACGACAAGTAAGTAATTTGATACATTTTTGATTGAATTTTGAAAATAACTATTTTTTTCTATCCATAGTCCTACAGAGGAGGAAATTTTTCAAGAACATATGGATCATTTAATTGTTATGAGACGTGAATTATTTGAACCTCAAGACGAAGGTATAAAATAAATTACAAATCATATTTACGTATAAATTTAATAATATTATGACTATATTCTAGACGAACCACTGGTAGCGCCTTTACAAATAGATCCGCCTTTAGGTATGACAAAAGCATATATGTGTGCATAATAAAAATAATAATAATAAAAATTTATATATTCAATCAAATAGAAATTAATTTCAACCATGACTACCATGATGACTATGATAGTGATGATTATGACTACGATTATTACGATTACTATCATCATAATCGCTTTAACAACTATCATTATTTCCAAACACCAGATGAGAAAAGCAAAGGTTTTTGTATAGGCTTAAAGCGCTTCTGCTGTGTAATTAATAATGTGCTCTGTCATCCTTTCGTTGTATTGCAACAGCAAAGTCAAATTAATGTCGTTTCCAAAAGGTATGATTAAATTGTATTCTTAATAATCGTTTGTGAAAAAAGCATGATTTTGTTACAGCTATCACATACTACCCTTTTCCCTAGTACCAATCATAACAAAACTATATCGTCAACAAGGATGGTTGGTTTTTTGGAAAGGTTTCTTCGAATCCCTGTGCTTAAAGGGAGTGTCTTTGCTTTTTAGAAACCTACATTTTTTCGGTTGGTTGCACGATATCAAATACCCACTTGTATGTACACGGTCAATTATTATTATTATTTTTTTTTTCAGATGAAATGCCCTTTATTTACGTAGGATTTAAAGGGTATGTATAAAATAACGTTACACAATAAATATAAAAATAATCATATTTCCAGCGTCATCGCTGTAATTATGTTTGTTTTGAAAGTCAATGGTTTGAAGATGACCGTAGGCACTTTAATGCTTCCTAATGACAATATCATTGGTTGCGGTTCAAAGTTTTGGCCACTGTTTTTTATTTACTTATCTCTAGAATTTGCAAAATGGACATTTAGGTGAGTAGTATACTTAATATTTTTTTTTTTAAGCTAATCATCTTATTATTTTTTTTTTTTGACCTAAGTGCACTAGCTAAAAAAATTACACGCGCACTTTTTCGTAACAAATCAACAGAGCGAAGAATAATTGCGGAGGATCAAGAGTGCACTATGCAGACGGATCTCATAACAAGAATTATTACAGAAACTGTTTTCTATCCATGTGAAACTGTGTTGCATCGTATGCTGTTGCAGAATACGAACACCATTATAGATAATCTGGACACTGGAACTACCGTAATGCCAATATTTACTTATTTTAAAGGGACAAAAGATTGTTTTAAAACTACTGTAGGCATGGAAGGTTATAAGGGATTTTACAAGGGTTTTGGAGGTTTAATTTTACAATTCGCTGTGCATGCCGCTATTGTAAAGATTGCAAAGTGGTTGAGTTAAAAAAAGCTCTTTTGTTGTCCTTTTTGCTATGTGAGTAAATATAACGACTATTTTTAGTGTCGTCCACAACCAAATAAATATTTTAACATTATACTGTTGCTCACTTACGTGAAACAAATCAACATAATTGTGTATTTTTATTTTTATTATTAACTAGTACTATAATTACGTAATTCTGTACACAGCTCATGTAGCATTATAATTTTTTACTTTTTTCCTTTACGCTTTTTTTCACGTTTAGATTTTGCACTCAATGCACGCTTATCCTTTTTCTCACGTGGATCGACCACACGGTAGCGCCCCTTTAAGCCAGCTGGTCGTCTTGCCCGTTTGGCTGCTTGATGCTTTTTCGCTACGACATATGTAACTTCCTTTTTCTTCTCTTGCGCCTTCTTATAGATCTTTCTTAACTGTCTTGCCTTTTCTTGCGCTGTCGCGTCATTGTCATCCATAATTTTCTCAGCCTGTTTCTTTGCTTTGGCCAAGCGCTTTAGCGCATGCTTACGCTTGCGCGCCTTCGCTTCCATAACCTTTTTAATTGGACGTGCATTTAATTCTTGTACCTTACGTTCATATTCCTCAACGATCTCATTCGGTACTGGTACTGGTTTCCGCATATGCAAATCTTCATCTTGCACGAACCAATGCGGCAAATTGTCATCGTTGAATGCATAACGATTCCAGGCGCTATCGATAAGGTCACGTCGTGTTTTCTTGCCTTTAATCATCATTGCGCCAAGCGCAAGTTCCTCCTCGGAGAGGCGTATCTTCTTGGCTTTTGGTTCTAAAAAAAAAAAAAGGGTTTTATTTTTATTAATTTTTCGCTTTCCAAACTTACCTTTGGACATATCGCCAGCAGTTTTCTTCTCTGCATATTCTTCGTCTTCTTCGTTAACAGTTTCATCTGAATCACTGTCATCACTCGACTCGCTGTCGGATGCTTCTTGTTCTTTATCGTGTCTAGCGCGGCGTTTGGCTTTCTTACCAAGCGGTAATTTAACTGAGTTATCATTTGACTGGGATTCACCTAACACCGCTACACCTTTGCTTTTATATTCGCTTGCCAGGCGATCCAAATCATAATCCTCATCGTCTTCAGTATCTATTTGCTGCAGATTATCTTTTTCGAACCATAGTTGAACACGCTGTTGCCTTTTAGTATCTTTATCTCTGAAATCTCCTGATTTTATGAGTGGATGCTCAATACGCTTCTTCTTGTTCTTTTGTGGCTCTTGTGGGTTGTCTTCGTCTTCACTCAGACCCAAACCATCTTTTTCATAGTCGCTTTCAGAATCTTCATCCGCCGACAGGTCAGGCTCATCGTCATTTTCATAGTTTGCATCATCATCTAGCCGTTTATCATCTTTATCGTAAGCTTTGTATTTTGGCAATTTGGGCGCTTCGACAGTTTCGCCTTCTACATCAAAGTCTGGCACCACGTCCAACATTTCATCTAATTCATGTTGAGTTTTTATGCTCTTTAAATCGAATATCTCCATCTCGGCCTCCTCTTGTGGTCCGGTATCACCTTTAATTACCATATTCAAATTCATTTTTTCATGTAGTTTTTGCTTGGATTTGAGGTCCTTTTTTCGTTTGCGCTTCACATCACGTTGCTCTTCTTCAGCTAATTCAGCTATTTGTTGCTGCAATTCTTCCTCTTCCATATCCTCAATCTCTTCTTGAGTAAGCACTTTTTTTGGAGTTTCTTCCTCTATTACATTTGTTTCATTTTCGGGTTTTTTGAATAAATCATCTTTAATTGCTTTCCACCAAGCCAGCAAACCTTTAATATCCTTGCGTCCAAGCACTTTAATATCTTTGCAACATTCAAGAATTTCCGCTGTTGTCTTTGGATGCTTTTCAATTCGTTCATCGTCTATGATTATTGAACCTATGCCTTGTAAGGCACCCAATCCACTGCTCGCTTGCATGAATTCTGTTGCAGACAATTCATTGCGTAGTGCAATATCCTCTTCTGTATAACCTTCTGCTTTGACGCGCTTCTGCTTCTCAGGATGCAAAAGGGTATTTTTCTTCTTTCCTTCCAAATCCAACTCCTCAAACACATACTTGGGATCTAGCAGTCGTGGATCAATACGCGTTGGTGCTAAATAACCTTGACAAACTACGAATATTTCAGCGGATTCTTTACGAGAAGCACTTGGTTTCGTAGCATGTACTTTTTTAAACAACTGTTTAAGTACCCACAAGAGGGCATTATAATCTTTAGAACGAAATACTTTTGTAACGAACCAGCCGCCACCACGTAAAAAGTGTGTACTTAGTTTTAAAGCATTCAACGTTAAGCAAATTTGCTGATAGGCATCAAATAGCCAATTACGTCCAACATTTGGCGCACCATCATGAAGAACAACATCAACTTTCCATGACTGCAATTCTTTGGTCAAAGATTGTTTACACTTTTCCGTTGTAATATCTTCGACCAGACTTATACAACCAGCTATTGGACGAATGGGAAATAAATCCACGCCGACAACTATACTTGATACAGGCATGTTTTGTTTGGCGACTTGCATCCAACCGCCCGGAGCAGCACATAGATCTATACATACTTGCGACTGCTGAAGGAAACCAAACTTGCGATTAAGTTGTACCAACTTGAAAGCAGCACGAGAGCGAAAACCTTTTTGTTGAAAAAATACATAAATGTTTATGAACAACTTTATGATCACTCACATGAACTGTAACTTACCAGTCTCCTTTGCTAGCTGGTAAAACTTATCCTTACGGGCTTTTCCAACTTTAGTCTTCTTACCCATTTTAATAAGATTACTTTAAAAGTGCTGCTGTCCCTTAATTCAATTAATAATTAAAAAGAAATAGTTTAATTTTATGAAAACATAAAATAAATATAAAACGCGGATCACACGTGTTGTGCTGCACTTACTAATATGTAGAGTGCTACCAACTCTCATGAATATTTTGTCATAAGAAATACAATAATTTTTGTCAGAAATAGGTTTGAAATCATACACAATAGAGTCCTTAAAAACAAGTAATATTTTAATAATTATATTAAAAATAATAACATTTTTTAATTAGGGTGTTTGAAGTTAATTACTGTACAACAACTGAATTCCCTTGAAAAAAATATGGCAGCTTACAAATCGCCAGCTGATTAATTTTAGAAGTGCAGCACTGTTATTCGAAAGTGGCTAAATTTTGTGCCATCAACATACAATAAAAGGCCAAAACAAAAAATGTGAACATTGTTGACACAGCTGATTTTACCGCAATTGCGGTCTTATGTTGCTCATTCGCCCCCGTAGGCGATTGTAATTTTACAATATTAGTGCACATTTCCTAATAAATAAATACAATTTAAATACAAAAAGGTAAATTTAATTATTTGGTATTATTTCGAGAAAAGGGAAAGAGAAATATCTGCAATGAATTCATTATGTTTACGTGTGTCTTCGGTAAAGACTGGTGAGAATGTAAAGAAAAATGCGGAAATGCGTGCTGAACTCATCACGTTGCCAAAACTATACGACAACTGTAAGTTTAAATAATTGTTCAAAAAATATATGAATATCCAAGATTCACTAATTTTAAATGTTAATTGTATTTGTTGGATACTACCTTAAAACGCAGCTGCCGCTAGTTATTGTTTGGAACTAAAGAATGCTCGAACCGTACCAGAACAGGTGGCAGCCGTAAAAGATGTAAGTTCTTGGATCTAGTTTGTTCCATATAGCTGAAATTGCTACGTAAAATGTTTAGTATAAAACTAACCCACGATGGGTATGATCTATAAAATAGACGTTGCACCAAAAATTTTTATATCGAATTTCAAGCAGAAAACTAAAATATTGATTTTGTGCTTTCAAGTTAAAGCAAAAGAATAGTTAAAACTGGAAGACTTTCTTTAAGAAAGAGAAATGTTATGAAAATGCTTTAATTTTGGAATATGTAAAAAGTTGTTTAATTTTTGATATAAAAATACGTTTTAACTTTTGATTTAAAAAATTATTTACTTTTTGATATATAATATGTAAAATAAGTTATATTTAACTTTATAGAGGCATTCAATTGAACGTTAACCGTAGCGATTTCTTAATGAGCAGTATTATAGCATATACCACATAAATTCTATTTTCATTTAGATATTCAAAAATCTCAGTCGCGATGCACAGTCTTTGCAATTTCTGGCCGATTTATTTTTTCACTGTCCGCTTAAGCATCCTGTGCGTAATCAAATACTAAAGTAAGTATTAGTATGTATGGTAGTATGAAAATACGTGCAAAAAAAAACTGAACTGCTGAACTCAGACTATTTAAATCAATATATTTTTATTTTAACGTAGGCTTTTAATTACTGCTGCCAACTTGGGTACAGGCGACACAGATGAAACGTCAATTGTTAATGCCTTATCGCAAACGTTGAAGCGTTTGGTCGAAGAAACCAAAGCAGGGATAGAGAGTAGCATATGGAATTTTTTTATAACTTCGATGACTGGTTGCTTCGAGAATTTTCAATGTGGTCTTAAAGCGATCCAACAAAGCATAGGCGAAGTATTTCCGTTTGTTAGCGCAGCTGTACAAAAGTATCTCACCGAATTAAGGTTTGTCCTATAGGAATTTTACAAAAATTTATAATTTAATCAATTTTAATCTTAAATCTGCAGTGTACTTAGTTCACCTTCTGTACGCAATGAATACTATCTTTACGTGCACAATAGTATTCGTTTAATACTAAGTTGTGTACAAGAATTCGACACACAGCTTAAGGATAAACACAGTGCTACACTTATACAGTTAGGTACAATATGTCAGCAAATTGTGCATGATGACGATTTTCCAATGGATCCACGCACAAATTCTGGCATTCTTTTAGCACATATTGCAAAACTAAACGGTACTTATGAGAACTTTATACAAGAAGTGAAACTAACGAAAAATCCAAATGAAATTGCATTATGCGTTGGCATTATAAATACCTTTGATCAACATGATTTCCAACACATATCAGCGGATATACGTGACATTTGTAGCAAGATAGATGAAATCGCCAATGCAAATGCCACAGTACCAAATATATTACTATGTGCTACGCGTGCACTTTATCAGATCTCAAAAATTATTCTTAATTATGAGTTGAAACCTCAGGGATCACCCACAGATGATGCTAAATTAATATTACGAAAACTTTTAATATTCACTTTTGGTTATTTGGAGCATCATATGGATAGTGTGCGACATTTATGTCGTGATTTATTGCGTAACACTATCGCAGCGGCAAAGAAAATTAATTTTGATTTTCTTATACAGAAAATTTATGATGCTTGCAATTCCGAACGGCTTTCGCTTTCAATGAAATGCGTCGTATTGCAACAGACCGCTGCTATTATTGGTGCTGATACGACTTTGCTATCATGTCGCGAAGTATTTCAATTCATATTCGCCGAACAACTGGGACGAGATTTCATGGTGAACAACTTATACGAAGGTGAGGTGATAATACATGTATAGTTTATATATACATAAATATGTAGATGATTATTTTTTTTTACAGCTCTTATGTTTGCCAGCCATAAGGAGATGACCTTTGATACGTGGATAAAATTCTGGATTGATTATCTACTTGGTGTTACCATTTATAACGATGAACGTTTAGTAGATACCGAACGACTAATCGTTAAAGCGGTGAAATGTGATCCTAGAGTAGTAAGATACATAATTTTTCATCCTGTTACTCAAATACCGATTAGTACAAAAATATCAACGCTTTGGGCTGTACGTAAGCATGGCATAAAGGTTGAGGATTTCAGTGGTCTAATGGAAAGCTTCAAACATCATTTGACAAGCAGTATACTCTCTAGTTCTGATGAGACGCGCATTATGGCATTGCGTCTAATAGTAGAAACAAATAAGACAACAGTGATGCTGGCATTATGGGAGTGCGAAAATCTTCTCACCTATTTGGAATACAATACGAATTGTCAAAGTCCTGCGACACGTCAGAAAATGTTATCGTTATTCAACAAAGCATTAATGCGCTGTGAATTGAATTTAGTTAAAGTACTAAAAGACCATAAACTGTTTAATACGATTGCAGATGACGCACCGCTACAATTGAAGTTTTTACGTGACGTTATTAAAAATTTGGTGAAAAATCTTTTTCAGGTATGGATTGTATATAGTTGAAATGAATTATTATTATAATTATTATTTCAACTCCAACTAGTTCTCAGTTTTTAAGATATTTCAACCAAACTTGGTAAGCGGATGTACTTTATCAATACAGAAATTGATAATTTGTCACAATATTGCTTCCATACAACTAATTTGTCCAGATATGAGGATTTATGGTAAAAACGTCAAAACGCTGTCAAAAAAGCGTCTTAAGTCTATGAAATTTGGTATTCTGCCAAAAATATAAATATTAAATTGCATCGTATAACTAAAAATCACTGACATCGGGCTACAATCGAATTTACTACAATTTTATTAATTTTTTTTAAATAATTTGTTTATTTATATTTTTTAATTATTTATTTTATTTTTAGTTATTTTTTTTTTATTTTTAATTATTTTTATTTTTTTATTTTTAATTATTTATTTTATTTTTTTTAAGTTATTTTTTTTAATAATTTTTTTTTTAATTATTATTTTTTAATTATTTTTTTATTTTTTTTAATTATTATGATAACTTATATTTTTTATATTTATTCATATTTTTTAATTATTATTTTTTAGTCAATTATTCTATTTATATTTTTTTTTTTAAATATTTATTAATATTCATTATTATGTTATCATTTATTAATTTATTTTTATATAATTATTTTATTTTTTTTAATTTTAATTTCTCTTTCATTTAATTAATTTAATTTTTTTTATTAAATGCTTTAATTAATTTTTTTTTTTTTAATTTCAGGGTGCCAACTTCAGTCGTCGTTCCGTCTCTTTGCAATTGCTACAACAATGTATAATGATTTGCAAAAATTGCGCTATACCGTTGGATAGTATTTTACCAGAGGAAACTGTAAAATCACTAAACGAATCGCTAACGGACTCCTACGAAGCTAATAAAGAATTGGCAGTAAATATACTGCAAGTAATTGAAGAAACTTTAAATATTAATTTAATAGAGAAACATAAACTAAACATCAATCCAACGCATATCCGTACATTATTAACATCGATACGTCCAACCGATTCTGTAACTGGTGCATATCAATTGGAATTTTATTGTCATCGCCCAGAGCATATAAACCATTTTGGCACATATAAACAAACGGATTATAATGCCATCTATTACGCTGCATTACGTTGGCTGAAGCAAGAATTGAAAGCTGGTCTTAAAATGGCAAAAGAAAGTCTACTGCAAGCAGCTAAGCTGAATCCGTTGTATGGCATTTTATTTGCTATAAAACATTTACTACAACGTCTCGATTTTAAAATAGTCTCCATAGAGATACCTTGGCGCATTATTATTGCCGAACTGATTTTATTATGCAAAGAGTTGACGTCAATTGTTTCACCCGTGGTGAATAGTTCATCACCGGAAGGTCATTTACCAAATGATTTCAGTGACTTGCCCGCCGAGTATGGTGAGGAGGCGTCAGGATACGATAAAAATGCTGATTGTAAAATACTTTCCAGTAAATTGTCAAAAGTCGATTTAACAAATGTGAAGACAACACCACAAATGGTTTTACTATGCGCTTGGCGTACCGTAAAAGAAGTCTCACTAATACTCGGTGAGATCGTCTTACGTTCACCAATACAACTGAGTAAATTAACTGAACAATTTCTCATCACCAAAGAACAACTACTCGAAATTGGTGAACATTTTAAGCAATTACTTGCCGAAACCAAACATCGTGGCGCCTTCGAACAAGCCTATGTGGGCTTTTCCAAACTTTGCTGTCGCCTTTGGCGTGTAGAAGTAACCGATTTGAATTCACTACCAATGCAATGGCTACGTGATATGCTCACACTGATTAGTAAAGATGAACAATTGAATGAAAAGATTTGCGCTACGCGACGCAGTGCAGGCGTACCGTTTATGGTACAAGCGCTCATTACTTCCGAGTTGCAAGTGGGATCGACAAAAACGCTCTACTATTGCATGACACATTTAGTGCAGTTGTGCAATGCGTCGGAACGCAGCGCCGAATCGCGTACACATGCCATGAACATATTGCGTGCACTCTTCCGTTGTACGGAACTAAATGAAGCGGTGGTGGAGTATGTATCCGATGGTGTTATGTGCGCCATACGTGGTTATAATGCTGAAACTTGGTCGGAAAAGAATTCGGCAACATTGCTCTTTGCTGCGCTCATCACACGTATATTTGGCGTGCAGCGTACAAGGGATTGGGATAATTTGAATGTGCGGAATAAGATGACTGGTCGGATTTTCTTTTTACGCTATCCAAAATTATATGATTTCTTCCTTGCACAGCTGCAGGAGGCCAGCGAATTGGTGCGAAATCAGCAGAAAGCACTCAAACTACACCCGCTACTGTTGATTCTGAGTCGTCTTTATCCCTCAGCGTTGGAGGGTACCGAGTCTAATTTGATGGTGGGTGGATGGCGCTAAACCTTTTATATATACAATAAAATGGATATTTTTTTTTTTTTTTGTTTTTTACAGTTGAGTGAGTTTATACCATACATCTCGACGTGCGCCAGTTGTCCTGAAATGCAAACCCGTTATCTAGCATCTAAAGCTGTCGTAGCGCTTATCTCTAAAGACGCCATACCTGTCACAGTGTTGCGCATGTGCGCTGAAGTGGTGGTGAGTATGAATATCTACATATTTTTTCATTGTAATATTTTTTTCCATGGTACTGTGAAACAGTTTAGCTTCATGTTTCGGCTGTGATGCCAGCGTGGCATGTCTAAGCTGTGCAGTTTCAACGTCATGTTAAAAGGTCAGAAGTGGGATTTTGGTGCTGGCTTGGTTTTCACATTTCAAGACACCCTGCAGTATCGATTATCCAAGGTGACATCGACTACAGAGAAACTAGGCTATAAAATGAGGGGCTAGTTATCCGGTCAGTCGAAGTTAAAGCTCAAAATATTTAAATATATGTACATTTGTGTTTTTTGCTATAATCGTAAAAATATTTCCTAAATTCGAGGGTATATTGCGGGTGTGACAGTCCTTGGTTGGAGAAAAATCCAGCGTAATAGTTAGGCGATTCGACATTCCGTACTCTGTATAATGACCCGAAAATATATAATTGGTCCACCGATGACCTACCATTGCAATTACCAACACTGTTCTGAGAAATAAAATGCCGTAGTGATTTATGCTAACTGAGTGCCACGGCTTCATGACCTTTCTCACACCTTCAGTTATAATGTGTGAGCGAATGTGAATTCCGTCAGGCTAGCATGAACGCAGAAGCAATAGATATTGTCACAAAGCTACTGTCAAATCTCTGCTTAGCTTGACTAGACCGTATGACAGGGTAGACCAAAAGTGCTTGAGCTACTGCCAAAAGAGAAGAAATACTGGTCTAGGCGAAGTGCCAAACGTCAGGATTGCGCACGATTTCACCAGTACTTGAACGGCTATAGGGAAGGCTAATGCCTTGTGACTCTAACCGATTTTTGATACTAGAAGCAGAGTTTTCCAATTTTTTTAGTCACTCTGGGTGTACCCGACTGGAAATATGCTAGATAGATCCCACTACTGAAACTAAGAAATTCTATTAACGAAGTTAGGCGCATAGGGGCATGTAGTTCCCAGTTTCTATTTGGCCTTCTAATAATACAGTACTGCTGAAACCAGAGAAGTCGATGAATAAATAATATTGACCAATTACTCTTCTTTCTCCTGTATTACAAAACATTAGGAGCCTTGTCATTATACCATCTCAATCCTCAATCTCACATGAAGATTCGTAAAGCTAACAGTGCCTCCACAGTACCAAAGCCAGAAACATACATGGTTTACCACACTATGAAGTCCTTGAGTGGATACCTGAATTTTTGATTTAGCGAACAATTACGTACATAGATATGTGCATTTCTTGACTAATTTCATGTTTTGTTTCATTTTTCTTTTCAGATCTCTGCAGATAATCATAAAACTCTAAATTTGAATGTTCTACATGGACAACTACTGCAGGTAAATGGCAAAGGTGTCCCTCTATTCTATTCTATTTTGTTGTACGTGTATATATATATACAATGATACCCGGGTCTCGCAAAGCCACTTGATATCTTCGTCAGCTATGATTGGTGGCTGGATTCCGAGTTTGTCAACCAATCGAAAATAGAGTTCATAAAGGTGTTGACGGGCTCTCTGTGAATGGCTGTTAGGCAATGCCGGTATGTCGTGTTGTTGTTGTTGTAGCGTCTTACTAACCCCGACAGGCTAATCAATCTAACGGGAGGTCCAGCTGTTTCGACGGGTTCGGACCAGAGGGGGAGAGGGGGCGGATGCATCGGTTTCAGGCGGAATGTAAACAGGTGGTTTGTGGACTTACGTTGGGTATGTTGGGGTCGAGTCTGGATAAGTGGGAGTTTAGCCTGATACAGTATCCAGACCTAAGTTGCGCCAGTATTACGCAAGTCTTTCGAGGCAGCTCGAGCTTTTCGTCTGCTATGGGTGGGTGGTTTAACTCCGATTACGCCATTGAAGATGTTAGTTGACTTCTGATGAAAGGCATTCAGTGCCTGTCTAGTGATTGTTGAACGTGTTGTATGATGGTGCCCTTTAAGTCAAGTACTCGCTTTCTGATGTGCCTGGCTGGAGGTTCAGCTTTGATAAGAGGCCTATTGGGGTATTCCCTACGGTAGCATCCCAATAGGAATTGCTTGCATAGCAAAGTATAATGCTCCTTAACTCGGTGTGTCGTCCTCTTCAGTGGTTTCGTTTTGAACTTCTTGTTGGAGTCCATTGAATCGAATACTCTCTTCCTGGCTAAAGCCTACTGCATGGAATGGCATCCAGTAGATGTCTGATAGGATGGCCTTTAAAGTGGTGCATAGAAGACATCAGTAGGTTTCCACTCACAGTCTTCAACCGGTATTTTGGCTGGCGTGTAGTTTCTTCATCTGAAAAGACCGCTTACCCCCACGCTTTATATGGCAAAGAATTTTTCAAGTCACACACGACCCACCAGCGGACAGAAAGTGTTGTTAGAAGCAGGATGTCGATAGATGTGGCGACTGCAGGGAATTGTGTCCTACCTCAGTTCGAACTAAACTCAACTTCCATCTGGCGTAACAAAAAATCAGCATATTTATGTATGGCATAACACCCAGCCAGTGCAACCTAACCTAATTTTTTTATAGCGACTTTACTTGTGTAATTTCTAAAAACTAATTTAATATTTCTTAAACTTTCAGATTTATATGCTAATCAAAGCACATAAACAGCCTGATGAGGAGCTTGTCGGCGATATTGCAACCACTTTGGCGTTATTCCAAGAAAAAACGCAAATAAAAAATGCCATTATATTGAAATTAATGATGGATATTTTCATTGAAATTTTGAAAAAGTGAGTATATTTTTGCGTATATTGGAAAACCAATATTGTACAATTTTTCTCTTTTTCTCCTTTACTTTACAGCCAATCGAGTCTCACTTACCCAAAAGAAACCCGCACAAGTTTACTCTTCTTGACCACCCACAAGGAGCTTTACAATCCCGATTTGAGTTTCTACTATCCGGTGCTGCGAAAATCTTTCTACATTTACAATTTGCACACACTACGCCTAACCCTGCCATACGGTGCACTCTCCGACTATCTACTTAGTCCGCCCATTACACATCCGACAGTGCCGCTGGAACAAGCCGAAACTTGTCTCAGTGTTATGCTGCTATTATTGCGTAACAATTATTTGGACTTATCGGAATTTGAGATAACAAATGAAGAGATTTATTTTGTGCAATCTCTAGACTCGGACGTACGAGAAAACTTAGCTGATGAATTACGTCGCAGTAAACCTTTATATCTCACGCTCAAGGAACTAATACAAAAACCACTTTACTATCCGGAGTGTGTGATAAAGGCGTATGCATTAATTAGTGTATTGGATAGCTTCGATATGACAATAAATCACTTATTGAAACAGTCGAAGAAGCATACAGGTGATGTGAAATCACCGTTGACCTTATGCGTTGAACGTGCTGTGATGAAACATGGTGGTGTAGAGCCAAAGGTGTCACAGACGTGCTTGGAATATCTGTTGGAAATATCGCAGCCATCGAATCCCGATCATTTGAGGTAAGTAAGTAAGTCTGAAACCGTTTGAAAGGATAGTTTATAGGTGTTCCCTCAATAGTACGAACCAATAGTAGTACGTGACGTGGGAGAGAGTTTCGATGTTTTTTTTTAATTAAATTGCTTGCAAACTACTTGTCTCCCCACCTCGAACCACAACCACTCACACCTTTAAAACTAATAAACGTTAGATTCAACGCATAAGATAGGTATAGGAACGCTGCTCCGACGTGCATATGCTGCCGAGCATTCATAGATAAAAGCAGTACAATCAGTACAGCACTGATATCGTCGAGGCTTATCTAAATGGATGCCCAGGAAACGAGCTTTCGGCATTCACAGAGGTGGTTATAGTCGTGCGGGCCCTCATTACATGCAGTATATACTTTAAGTACGCTGGAGTGGAGTCTAAATAAGTAGCTCTGCTACCGTATCTAGACCTTAAATGTGCCAGTGTTATTCTCGAAAGGCAGCTGAAACTGTTCTCCGTTTGCTATGGGCAAGCTTAGAAAGGTGTTGACAAACTCTCTGTGCAAGCTCAGTTAGGGCCTGTTGGTAACCCATGCTGCCCATCGGTTCTGCTGCGATATTGTGCCGTAAGTTCAAGTATTTCTTTTCCGATGCGCGGTGGGTGATTCTGCTTCCAGCCGGAGCCGGTAAGGATGATTGCTCATTATGTTCCTTAACTAGACGCATAAATATCATTAGCATATGAGATCAAGGAAACAGCAGTAAACGGAACTTCTTGGTTTATTTTTCCTCAATCGCGCCTTATTGTCGGTTTCTAAAATTTGGGTGTATTACCGTAATGTAAGCAGCAGCAGCCCTAACTGTCTTGTGAATTTGACGTTTATCAAGCAAAGTCGCAGGGCTTGTCGATCGAGACAAATATGGGAAAATAGTCTGATGTGATGATCTTCAGCTTAGAATGAGATGATATTACATAATGTTGTGTAAAAATAACGCTATGCCATCATCGTTTGCCTCGCACGTGATTGTTATTTATATCGTGCAAACCGTCACAGCTGAGAAGATCTGAGCGGTCGTTTAATTTGTTTCCTTGGAACGCAACTATCAGCAGATGATCCCTACCATTGAAAGCGACTATCTCTTTGATCTTCCCCTAGAGTCCATTGCAGTTGAATTTCAAGAGTCCGGTCTGTCTCGGGGTATTCGTAATACAAGAGGGAGGGAGTGTTGTGCACGTTGGTGGTAACTTACGTCGTTTTGACTAAAGTTACCTGCTGACCTAAACGGGGTTTTGTTGCTCGATGTTGGCGTCAGTAAACGGCTACCTCGGCGACCTTTCCCACTTCTTCATTGCAAGACGATTACGACTGCAGCCAACCAAATCTTCGGCTTCCCTCTTTACCAGCTGAACGAGGAAGTAGACTATCGAATCCGATGTGAAAGTCGATAGCCGCGAAATTCCGATAGTAAACATGGGATTCACATTCGACAGCCTGCACTCCTTCACTCCGCATACGACTGCAATTGCCGCATAACTCCAGAGCCGCAACAAAATCCTCAAAGCGTTGGTCGGCACAGGGAAAGTGGTCGGCCGCTCGCAAATTATGCTGCACCGATCTAGACGCAGTTGGCTACCAGGCTGCCAAAACACCGCCCTTAGTACCGTGACAGGAAACCTTCTGATGTCACCAGAACATCACTTGCACAGCGAAACATCGATGGTACGAACCTCCAACCAGGCACATCAGAAACGAAGAGTACTCGACTTAAAGGACTGTATTCAGCAACGGTCTTTCTACCGGAACGACCCGGAATTTTATACGGCCAAGGACTTTCAAGCCCACAATATTCCCCGAAAACTAATTAATAACAATATTATGCGGCTACAACAACAACACCAACAACAACAACAACGGCTTACCTACAGGCTATAAACGCCATTTACCGAAATTCCGTCAAAACCTTCATGAACTCTTTCCCAGTCAAAACAAAACATCGCATAGAGTTTCGTAAAAAATTCGAAGTACATAGTTAGACAGCGAAGCTTAGGATAGTGGTCGCTAAAAAAGAACCGAGAAGTCTAGTGGAGGTGAATTTCTTTCAGCAACACGGCTCTAATACTAACCTTAAGGAAAGCTAACTGATTTCATCGATAGGCACTTCAACCTAACCTAATCTAACCTATGAAATACCTGCTTCGTTCACAAGTTTGGTAGTCAGCTATGCATATATACATATCCTCAATTAATAATAAAATTTACTTTCAGATTAAAGGCGGTCTACATTATGCCACATTTAAATAGACATTTTTGCAAGGCTTTGGAGAGAAAAAGATTGCCGTTTATTCGCATGTACTTTGGACTTACGATGGCTTTGCTTATGGATGATGATTTTGATATACGTGATCATATGGCTAGAAGCGTGCTGGGTAATATACCGGAGGATATTGGCATGAGTATGTGTGATGTTAATTTATTTTATTTTTCTAATTTTAATTGTTTATTTTTGCACTTATATACTCACAATGTGTATATGTGTTTTATACCTTTCATGTACGTGGTCCAAAAATCGGTTTATTTAAATAAAAATGTGACTAAATATGAGCATTGCGTTGATCTCTAGACTGTTTAAACTACAGGATCGGACGATTGAACGATCGAACCGAATACCATTCCTACAACTGTCTATTCATATAGGGATTTTGTGTCATATATTTAAGCAGCTAAGAACCTGAAATTTGCAGAAAGAGACTGAAGATAATCGAAAACTGACGATTCTTACATATTTTTCGTTCCTATAAAAATTTTATGGCTCGAATATTGACTGTAACAAAACTGAAAATCGGACGTCTGCAGCATAAAGCTCTCACAAACATATCTATTATGGGTAGTATATATACAAAAGCCCCATTTGGGGAGTGTCTAGCAGTGTATGTTACATTGCGGAGGGTCATGGGTTCAAATACTGGCCAGAAGAGCAAGAAAAAAAATTAGAAAATGTATTTGAAATTAATTTTATTTTTCATGAACATTAAATGATGAATTAACTTTGAACTGAAGTATGTTAGCAACAGAAGAAGAAGAGTTAGACCAATAAAAATTTACATATGTGCATATATCGATCGGACGACGGTTTTTAGTTCTTTTGATTTTGAGCAATTTTAATCAAACTATCTATACGCTACTATCGATCTTTTGTCGAAACCGGTCCTATCGAAAGACTATACTCCATAAAACCGATTTTTGCATATATGTGTGTGATTTTGGGTCATACCTACTTCAGTAAAGCATCTAAGAACATGAATATTGGCTTTCTATCGCAAATCATCGAAATCGAACGACTATAACATATATCCCCCATACAACCGATTTCTTCAAAAATGAGATTTTGGGGTAAAAGTCCATCAAAACACCAACTAAGCGCGTGAAATTTGGTATTTCACACACTTATATACATATAAACATTGACACCGAAAATAATCGAAACTATATCTTATAAGCCCCAAACAATCGATTTGTTCGGATAATAATTTTGATATGCTTATAAGAGTTATAAAGGCGAAATTCTTAAATTAAATTATGTCCCTCTTATCATGAAAGGTATAAAAACAAATCTTTTCTTCTCATTTCAATTAATATTAATCCATATCTGTATTCTATATTGAAATTAGCAAACGTTGTGGATACCATGGCGCAACGTCTCTTTCTACAATACATGGTCGATCAATTACAAGCCTGTCGTGCCGATGATAATTATATAATAGAAATCTTCAAACTCATGCATGAAGTACTCTCATTAGGTATTGCTGCCGATGAGGATTGTAATAGCTCAGCGTTCGGTAGTAATAGTAGCTCATCATCAGCGGTGGATTTTGAGGTGTTCGATAAGAATGAGGCGAATGTCTATGCGGAACCACAAAAGGCGATTGCCGATACGTATGTTGTATTCAAAAATACATTCAAAACACGTCCGAGGTTGTTGAGTCGTATAGCTGAGTTGGAGGTTGCTTGAATTTTCCATTTTTTACGCCACTCAATTTGTTTTCGTTTAATGAAAATAGTTCAAAACACTTAAATGTAATTGCTTAAGTTATTAGTTTAGCTAGTTCAGTAAGTAGTTATGTATGTATGCTTTTTTTTTTTTAAAGTGTAAGACATACATACATATGAAAAGCTATTTTTATAACGAAATATTAAAAGTTATTTTATATTTTGTATTATTTTTTTAGAAAGTTTTTTTTTGTTTTCTTTTTTGTAGAAAGTCAACATGTTTGTATGTATGTTTAACTAAAGAACATTTACTTTATGAAACTTGTATTTCATGTCATAACGTATGGTTATTTTGGAAAGATGTACGCTATATATATATGTATAAAAAAATTGCTTTTGCGTATAAATTACACCAAATTTAAAAGAATAATTTCCGAAAAGGCACATCTGTAGGCTTGTAAAGTTCAGTTCGAAAAGAAAAATTGTACAAAGAATATATGTTGCATGTACATTTGTGCGAAACCCAAGAAAAGAAATAAATAAATAAATAATAATATAAGTTTCATTTTTTTTTTTTATTTCTTTACTTCGCTTTTTACTTTGCTATAAAAGTTTTTATTATAACTTTTTTTTATTTGTATTTTTATTTTATTTCATTATTTATTTTTTTTTACGTAATTTTTAATTTTATTTATTTTTTTATATAATTTTTATTTTTATTTATTTTTTTATATAATTTTTATTTTTTATTATTATTTTTTTTTTGCTTTCACTTTTCACTTTTTTTATTTGTATTTTTATTTTATTTCATTATTTATTTTTTTTACGTAATTTTTATTTTTATTTATTTTTTTATATAATTTTTATTTTTTATTAATATTTATTTCTTTCACTAGATTTTTTATTTTTTTATTCTTTTTTTTAGAAATTTTTCATAACATTTTTAAAACTAATTTTAAGTTTCCAATTTTCTTATAATTTTTTATATCGCTTACACATATATATTTTCTGTTTTAATTTTTAAAAACTATATTTAGTTTTCATATTTGATTTATTAATTTTTTGTATAATTTTTTAATTACTTTTTATAAAAGTTTTCAAATTAAATTAAATTTTATCCATTAAATATAATTTTTTATGGAATTTTTGTATACCTTCTTTAAACTTAATTTTGGGTGCGTAAATTTTTTTATTTTTTTTTTTTAATAATTATCTCTTATATTCCTTATTTATATTTTTTTAAATTTTTTAACTATATTTAATTTTCTGAGTATATATATTTCTTATAGATTTTTTTCATTACTCTTCTCAAAACAGTTTTTGGCTTTTAAATTTTTTTTTGTTATTTTTTTATATCTTTTATTTATATATTTTTTTTTAGTTTTTAATAACTATATTTAGTTTTCATATTTGCTTTATTATTTTTTTGTGTAATTGCTATAATTTTTTAGTTATTTTTTTTTTTATAAATTTTTCAATATTAAACTTAATTTTATCCATTAAAATTTTAATAACTGTATATATATTAATATTATAGAATTTTTTCATTACTTTTTTAAAATCAATTTTGATTTCTCAATTTTTTTGTTATTATTTTTAACAATTAATTTTTATATCCCTTTTTAATATTTTTTTTCAATATTTGTATAATTTTTTAATTATTTTTTCTTAATTTTTTTTTTTAATTTTATTTAAGTTTTATTTTTATTAAACACAATTTTATTCATTTTTCTTTTTTTTTGTTATTTTTTTTATAAATATTTGTCTTATAATTATTTTTTATATCTATATATGTTTATGGTTTTTTTTTTAATTTTTAATAACTATATTTAATTTTCATTTTTGCGTTATAATTTTTTGTATCATTTTTTTTTTAATTTTCAATATTAAATTAATTTTTTTTTAATTTTCAATATTAAACTCAATTTTATCCATTAATTTTTTTATATAATTTTTTAATTATTATTTTTTTATCCCTTTTTTATAATTTTTTTTTGTTTTAATTCTTAATAACTAAATTTAATTTTTTGTTATAATTTTTTTTTAAATATGTTTTTTCATAAAATTTATAATAACTGTTTTCAGCTTTTAAATTTTTTTTATTTTTTTATTATTTAATTTTTTTTTATTGTATATACAATAACATACCTTTTTTAAAATTATTTTAAATTTTTTAGTCTATATTATTTATTTGTAATTATTTTCTTTTAATTTTTTATTTTTTCATAATCATTTTTACGAAATTTTAGAATAACTTTATTTTTATTTTTAAATTTTTTTTATTATTTTTTTTTTATAATTTTTTTTTATAATTTTTTTTGTTATAATTTTTTTTTTATTATTTTGTTTTATATTTTCTTATTTATTTCTTGTGTTTCTCTTATTTAATACAATGTTATCCATATAATTTTTAATATGTGTATTTTTATTTATTTTTCTTTTGTGTGAAAGCCAATAGAAAGAAGAATAAATCGGCAATATAAGTTTTATTTTTTTTATTACTTTTTTATACAATTTTTTATTTTGTTATAATAATTTTTATTTATTTGTATAAAGTATTTTTATATTTTTTATATAATTCTCGTTTGTTTTTAATGTAAGATTTTTCACGACTTTATTAAAACTATTTATAACTTTTAAATTTGTTTGTTATTATTATTTATATAATTTTCAATTTTTTTATATAACTTTTTTTTTTTAATTTTTGATAACTGTAATTTTAGTTTTCATTTATTTATTTAGTTTTTATTTTTTTTTTATTGTTCTTTTATATAATATAATTTTTATCAATTAATTTAATAAATGTAATTTTAATATTTAAACTGATTAGTTTTTAAAAAAGCCATTTTTAATTTTTATTTTTTTATTGTTGCTTTATATAATTATTTTTTAATTCTATATAATTTTCTGTTTCACAAAATTATTAATGACTATATTTTCAGTTTTAAATTATTATTTTTTGCATAAATTCATTTTTATTTTTTATATAATTTTTATTTTATTTTTTTATGTCATCTTCTTTCTTTTGTAAAATTTTTAATTACTGTACATTTGTATATTATCCTTTTTTAATTTTGGTTTTTTCAATATCTTTTTAATTTTTTTTAAGTTGTTAAACTTTTTATAAATTATGATTATTTCACAATAGCTTTTAAGTTTATTATTTTGCTCGTAATACTTTCATGAAACAGAAAGAAATCGACATCTGAACTGCCTTTAGCTACAAAATATAATACTTTTGAGCTTCTTTCAATAGACATGTAAAACTTCCTTTTTAAAAATATAGACATCAAAATGCAATAAAAAAATGTATTTCTGGAATTTTAATTAAATTTCTGTCAGCAAACTCTTTTCAGCTACCTTATGCTGAGGTGGCAGTGAGATCTCAGATCTCATTTTCGTCATCGATCTTCGGTGACCAGAAGTTCAACCCAGTTTGACTTTTACCAAGGACATTCGAGCGTGAATCGTTGTAGGTGCTGCAGTGGCTAATTCAAACCGGCCTAGGAGCACACAAAATCAGTCGTAAATCGTTGAGGTTATCTAAAGGCAGGTCAAACAAACAAGCTGCTTCGACAGGTTGGCCCCAGAAGGAGAGGGTTTTCGATTCCCTAATACTCCATCAAGTCGAGTAATCACTTCCTGATGTGTCCCTGCGACTGTGTAAATGGTACATAGGAGACATCTGAAGGTTTCCAGTCACTGTTCCCAAGTCGGTGTTCTGATAGTTTTTTTTTACATCTTCATCTGTGTTTCGCTAGCCCCCGACGTTCAGAACGGGAGATGATCCCATCATTCTCTCATTTCGGTGAGACCTGTTCCGTTACGAGTGCTCAACCACGCTACAAGCCTCTACGGCTGTGCTTTCAATAGCACAACCCTCTTAGAGTAACTACTCACAGACCTCCACGACCAAATGGAACTCTTTGCAACATGACACCCAATCTCTGGTCTGTGCACAGCATGTGAGTAGAGTGTTGTATATGTCTCCAACGGGTATTACAGCAACAACACTCAAGACCAACGTAGCACTCTCTCACCGCCCGTTTTTTACGAAGGCTTTTCCAAAATAGGTAAGTCATGGATTTGGGAAATCTCTACATTTAATCGGGGATTCATGGGCGAAATCATCAAAACCAAGGGTGGTTTACCTTTACGGACTGTGGGTTGTGCAATGATCTCAGATAGACCTAAACGCCATATCATATTGACAAAAAAAAGTAAAATCTGATCGACGCATTGACACAAAGGTTAAGCAGGTTAGGAAACTGCTTTAAGCGAACAACACGAATGAAGTGAATCCGGTGGTGAAGCGGCATGGGTCTCTCTTAAGGAGATATCATCGATCAAAAGAGAAATTGTGAACCTAGCTACCTCCATTGGGTTGAGTGTTTTTAATAGGGAGTCCAACTCTTGTGAAGATGACGATATCAGGCCTTTTCATTGGGGGTAACCATGGAAAATACTGAACTACCCGCAAGATACGCTACTGCCAACTGACATCAGGGTAAGAAACTCGTAAGGTTGTCAAAACAAATTTGAAATGGAGCTAGTTTTGAGGTCCTTTATAGGTATCCATTTGCCCCTTCTACCATACACTCGGATCTCATATTTTACTGAATCTACGTCTCCAGAGGAAATTAAAATTTCGATGAAATACTGCAGCCCAACGCTTCTAAATCATGACTGGAAGTTAATCTATCTGCAGGAAACAAAGGAATTCTATCGACACTCATCAGTGAGATTTTATTGGTAAACGACGGTGGCATAGTCTCATGAACTGATAATCCGCAGCCTTCAGTTGCAACAGAGAACACGGCGCCGGACTTTGGTAAGACACATGCAAATACATCGCCTAGATGTGACAAGCACTGACTGCGGTGTATTGACTGCCCCGAGCTCGTTTTCAATTTACTGTATGGGAGATCGCTAAGATCAGACGGCAAATATGAGCGAGAAGCTAGAACTCTTAGAAAGACTTCTGCAAGATGAATATTTGGCTTTTATTCGATTTCAGTGACGAAGTGTGATGCTTGTCTGATTTGTGTATGTAAGCTGCAGGCACAACAAACGATCAAAAACTGCGAACTGCTACACTCTACACTCGCTGTTGGAAACAGGGAAAGGCTTCCAACGCAAATGCAGAGAGTTGACTTCACTTAGTGTTTTCGATTGGCAAAAATTATGGGAATGAAAAAACTTTTAGTGAAAATTAATTTTAATTTGTGTCTTCTTCTGTTCAAATTCGTGTTGAAAAAGATAAATTTTCCAAAATTATAGAAATTCAGTTAATTAAAAAAATGAATTTTTATTCTCATAATGTCAATAAAATGTTCTGTAAACAAAAAAAAAAATTAAAAAAAATTAAAAAAAAAATTAAAAAAAAAAAATTTTTTAAAATTAAAAAATAAATAAAAAAATTAAAAAATATATAAAAAAAAATTAAAAAATAAATAAAAAAATTAATAAAAAAAATTACAAAATAAATAAAAAAATTAAAAAATAAATAAAAAAATTAATAAAAAAAAATACAAAATAAATAAAAAAAATTAAAAAATAAATAAAAAAATTAATAAAAAAAAATTAAAAAATAAATAAAAAAATTAATAAAAAAATTACAAAATAAATTAAAAAATAAATAAAAAAAAATACAAAATAAATAAAAAAAATTAAAAAATAAATAAAAAAAATTACAAAATTAATAAAAAAATTACAAAATAAATTAAAAAATAAATAAAAAAAAGAAAAAAACTCTTTAAGCAAATTGTGGTTAAACAAATTTATTAGAGTACATATGAATTTTTCATTACTTATTTTTATGCACTAAATTAAACATAACATTGAATTATTAATATATTATATGTATATATAATTTGTATAAACATATTTTTTATAATTTTTTTTTTTTGAATTTTATTTTATAGTAAATATATATATAGTAAATAAAGTTATGTATTACATATAGTCGTATGACAGAAATAATGCCGCTAAAATAACATTGAGTGAACAATTCCAAAATATGCGAAGAATTAGAAAAAGGCAGAAATATTCAATGTGCACTAATTTCACATACATACATATTTACTACGGAGCAAAATATTATTCACTCGGTGGAAAAATAGTTGAAAGTTTTCACATTTGGTTTTTATGAACAGAATATTTATTTTTTGAATCATTTTCCTAATTTAAGTACAGATTTGACTACCTCAGCTTAGTAGCGGCGGCATTTCACTGCACAGACTATAAATTCACACAATTTTTGTGCCATTATGCAGTTTGCTAATGCTCATTGCACATGCATGCATATTAAACAATTAGCATACATACATACACACACAGCACAACTTAGCTTAAACAATTTTTGTATTACACTTATTTGATAATACATATGTAGTTACTAAGTAATAAAAGTAAATTGTTTTAATTAAGAGAGAAAAAAGTAAAAATTTTGCATTTTAAAATGCATATAAACATTGATTTACCTATACATACAAACATACATATAAACATCTTAGCAAGTATCACAATCATTCATTACGATTTTGTAGCTTTAGTGAAAATGAAATTAATTTTTGATAAACATATGCAAATACACACACATATATATACATATATCAAAGGCTTAAATAGTATGTAACACTTGTGTGTACAAGTTAAATAGAATATAAACCCTCGCGTATATTGCATATAAAAAATTCCATATGAAGCGTTTAAGGGATTTAGTGATACAAAAAAAAAAATTATATATAAAAATTATAAGAAAAGAAAATATATAATCAGGAAAGGTAAACAAAGTAAAAGAAAAGATTGAAAAAAATAAGTAAACAAAAGAAAAAAAATTATAAAAAATAAAGAAACAAACAAATATATAAGGTGTAGTTAAAAGAAATCCATTATTTTTCCAATACATGGTTATTGATCTGTATACACTAGTGAAGAGAGAATACGCTATATTTTACAGCTTTTCATCGATAAGGGCGAAAACACAAAAAAAATTAAACCCTTCAATTTCATGGAATTCTTTTTACTACACCCAATATAAGATGATAAAAAGGAAAAATATTAAAAAAATAAAAAAAAATTAATGGAGAAATAAAATAAAAAAAAAAATTTAATGGAGAAATAAAATTTAAAAAAAATAATCATAATAATTAAAAAATTAAAATAAAAAAATTAAAAAAGCAAAAATAATTATAAAAAATTAAAGTAGAAAACAAATTATTAATTAAAGAAATAAATTCATGCAGAAAAAAATTAATTGAAAAAATATTTATTACAAAAACATTTAATAAAATATAAAATAAAAAAATAATTATAAAAACTTAAAGGGAATAATAACTGATAAATGAAAGGTGTTAATAAAATAATAAAGAAAATTTGAATATAAAAATATTTATTACAAAAATAAATTTAAGTACAAAAGAAAAAATAAAGAGAAGAAAACCTATCATTAGGAAAATAAAAATGAAAAATATTAATAAAATAACAAAGAACAAAAGATAAAGAAAAAAATTTAATGAAAACATATTTATTACAAAAGCAATTAATAAAAAAATAAAAAGAAAGAAAAAAAACAAACAAATAAGCCAATAAAATGAAAAAATATTAATAAAATAATAAAGAAATAAAATTATAAAGAAAAGAACCTAGTAAACAAATATTTATTACAAAAATTAATAACAAAGGATAAAAAGAAAGAAAGAAAAAGGAGAAAAACAAATAACTAAGACAAGAAAAAATATTTTTTTTTGAAGTAAGAAAAAATAAATAAATAAAAGAATATGACGGAAAAATATAAATAAAATATGATAAAGAAGAATAAATATAAAGAAAAAAAGCAATTAAGACAGAAAACAATAAAAATTTTAATAAAATCATAGAGAAAAAAATTTAATAAAAAATATTTAATACAAAATCAAATAAATAAAAGAAACCAACAAAGGGAAAAAAATAATTATAAAAAAAAAATAATGATTATAAAAAATTAAGAAAAATAATGATAATTAAGATAATGAAAGATTTTAATAAAATAGAGAAAAATATTTAAAAAAAAATTAAATAAGACAATTAAAATGAATGAACAATTATTGAAAAAAAAAACAACGGAAGCAAATAATAAAATCAATGAAAATGGTAAAATAAAAACTAAACTTGAATAATGAATAAGGTTGAATAATTTTGAAATCGACAGTGTTAGTAATAGAGAAAAAAGGCAACAAGAAGTAAGAAATTATTTAAAATTCAATTTTAATGCCTACACTTATGCACTTTTTAAATAGAAAAATTTATAATTTTCGTTTTTGAGCTAAAATATCATCACCTTATACGCCTCATCATATTAAAATTTCATGTTTTAGTTTTTATATTTTTTGCATAATGATTGAATATAATACAAAAAAGTGAAAAAAAATTTAATTTAAAATCAGTTCAAATGAGAATTTTTGAATATATCGCACACTAAATTAAAAACGACACAACTCGAGGTTTTTCAAAACCGTTTTTCCCCTATAACCCTATAAATCAGCACCCCGACGACGTCTTTAACAACTACGTAGAACTCTTTCAAATCACAGTCTTTCTTAACTGCCAAAACACCGCTATGCCTTTTTTCTTGTTTCATTCGCATGCATTTAAAATTTTTGATTTTTCAAGTTATGACTATTTTTGATTTACGTGTGCGATTGGTAAATAAATGGGATTTATTCCTTTCGATGCCATTTACTTTGTTCAGTCCAATTTTGGTAAATATAAATTTTTTTTTCGGTAAGTCGAATATGCTTAATGTCTTAATGTAAATGCAACCTTATGCCTGATAAAAAAAAAAAAAAAATAAAATGAAAAGAAGAAATGAATGTACAATTTTTGAATAAAAAAGAAAAATATTGTAAGATCGCATTTATTCTCTGGTCATCATATTAGCATTATTACCCCCACCACCATTGCTGCTACTACAACTGGCTGTTGCTGCTGTTGCATCGCATTGCTGCTTTGGATCGGCACATTTATCACAGACACGCACTGGCTCCTGCCAACCGCGTTCGGGCACTGTCTGACGTGCTTTGGAACAATTTTCACATATCGCCTGACCACAGCGTCGACAATGATGACGCCGATAATCGCCAATGGGTGATGGTATATTACATATGCCATTGCTGCTATTCGATATATTGCTTGTGACACTCTCACTTATATTACCATTAGCTAAATTGTCTTTCGCTTGCAATGTAGCGCCATTTGTACTGCCAACACCAACACCATTTGCCTTGGCTATTGCTAGTTCTTCGGCTGTACCGAAAAGTGTTTGACAAATAAAACATGTTGGCGATTCGGCATCAGGTACCCAGTATGAAGGGCGTGCGGTGTCTTTTATGATACCTTAAAAATGGAAAATGATTTTAAGTATGTGAAAAAAAAACATGCATATAATAGATACATATATACAGTCCTTTAAATACACTCACCTTTAGTGAATTCATAACCTCGTTTTGTCAAGTGGCCCAATGGCTTAATGATACCCTCACCGATTCTACGCACACTTATGTCAGCTTGATCGCTTGTTGATTGGCCTGCGATATTATTATTTTGATTTGAATTGGAATTGGAATTGGTATGATTAAATGCTTCGGTTGTATTTGCTGTACAATTAGAAATTTATATATTTTTATACATGTAACGTTTTGTTTTGCACTAAAAAACGGAACAATGTTAAGTGATAATAAATATGAAATGACTTTTATTTATGAAAAAATTAAAAAGCGAGAGAACAGGTGCTTTTTTTTCTTTTTTATTTGAGTAACGATTGTAGGCAAAATCTCTAAATTACGAGTTAAGGGCTTACAAGGATTGATTGAGATTTGCGGCTAAGAAAAACCGTTGGCGTCTTGGAGAAGAGCACGCTTGAAATAAGCTGATTAGTTCGTTTAATCGAATGTTCGACTAAAATTTCATTAATAAAAAAATATACATTATTTGCTTAAGAAAACGCCGGTACAAAATGGGAGGTTTTACAAAAGTGTCGATGTCAAGCACGACCCTAAAAAATATCCTCAAAATAATCCTAAGCACCCAACTTTATAACTTAGAAAAGAAAAAACATTACAGCTATTAGCGCGAGATTCAAGCGTGCTTCATTTAAAAATTCGGAAAGTTCGGGTATAAAGACCTGACTGTCACAGGAACTATTGTATTTTAGTCCCCTGATACGACAGGCATGCCTTACCGCAGGTAAGTTTTTTTAGTCCTTCACAGGCTTTATTGTGTGGTAAATTTAAACTAAATACTGCATGAAAAAATATTTATTACTCAAAGTCTTGAAAGTTTTATCTGCTAGAGCTGGATCTTTACTCGGAGAATGATGTTTTCGGGTAACGGGCCCTGAAAAATACCCACTCACATCATATGCTGTAATTAACTTTATATGTTGGTAATCAGAATTATTAAAAACTTTGTAGCACATTTGAATTTGTGCTATAACCTCAAGCTAATTTTTTCAAATTCTTTAATTCGCTCTGATAAAATTGCCCCAAGAAGACTGCAAGACAATGCTACGAGCAAACACACAATGAAGTGATATGGAAACTAACAAATTCGAAAAAAAAACTTTATATTTTTTTCGCAGTCATTTCCCTTACCCGGCACTGCATTCGGCTGTCGCTGTAATATCGTAAAACATGTATCACAGACGCGTACGGCATCTTTCCAGCCACGCTCTGGCACTGGTATCTCCTTTTGACTACAGGCATGACAGAAACCTTCACCACAGCCTCGACAGTGATGCTTATGTAAACCAGTATTTTCAAAATTTCTTTTACAACCATGGCAGTCCTAAAAAAAATATTTATCGATAAGAATTTATTTTGAAAGAAATTCATTTTCATATTTACTATAATTTCACTATTTGGTTTCCAATAACTCGGTGCCATCCAATCGGCTAACCAACCGGTTACGGCATTCGGATGGATTCTGGGTAAAGCATCGCCGAGCGTTGAAACTCGATCGAGTACCATTTGTGCAGAATGCAAAGGACCTTTAGGCTCCCAGGCGTGTACAACGATTGTTCTGTAGAGCCACAAAAAAAAAAAAATATTATAAATATTTGGAAATGTGTATAAAAGATTTAAAATTTACCTAACCGCTGTGCCTTCGGGCGACCTATTGCCATACCAATATTGACGTGATCTATAAATTTCACCACATGTTGGACAATCGATAACAGAACCTTTCCATGCATATTTAGCCAGTCCCGACCAAGAGCTATCGCTCTTCGATTGTGTGGTAAATGTGACGACATTCTAACAGAGAGAACAAAAAATAAATTAATACATTAAAAATAGTAAAAAAAAAAAATTAAATTAATTTCAACAAAAATTATAACTCACCATTACACCTTTGTTGTAACATTTTTCACATAAATATTTCTTATTGTCATACTGGCTTTGATAAGTGCACTGCTCCTTATTCATATGCTCCTCACCATCACTCAGATGACCCATCGTACGTTGACAATGTTGATTGCATGCCTCACAACGTACGGGACAGGTGAAAAATTGTGATGGGAATGGATTTATTGTTTCCTCCATAATGTCACCAGAGAATTTCGTATTGAGCGCATTCATCGCTTTGAACACAACGCTTGGCTGACGTGGTGAACGTACGGTGGTATTAGCGATTTCCAATTTTATAGCAGCCTTAAGTTTACTATAATCCGTGGCGTTACGATTTGGCGTTCGTATGCCAATATAGCGCAATGAGCTAAAAGCATTTATTGTGAGGTTATTCAATTCGAAATGTTTGCGTAATTGATCCTCAGCGCTTTCAGCGACAGCTGGCGAATGAAAAAGGAATGAAAGGAAATTAAACAAATAAGTTAGTATAAAAATTAAATAAAATTCCAGTCTACGCTTCTAGAGATTCATAATTACTACAATAACATTTGTTTTTTTATTTTAACTCAAAAAATTGGGCGCTTATGAAATAATTTTTACTTTATATGTAAATTGCCTGGTCTTATCATCTTAAATAGTTTACTTCAAAGCTGAAATCATACATATATATGTACAAATTTTAAAAGGCATACATGGACTTGCTAACACGTATTTTTGTACTTTTGCACTTCTCGTTTCATTCAAGTCTCCAAAGGTTTTGACCTACTCCTTAAAAAAAGCTCTTACAGTATCGCACAGAAGACCTATAATTGGAGATATTTCCTTTCTCTTTAGCGAGATAAGCTTTAACGACCTTCTTTTATAACATTTTGCCCACATTGTACTGGGCAGCCTATCTATCATGGCAAAACTAGGAAAATACTTATATACTGCATTTCAAACAAGCGAACAAAAGAAAAATTAACAATTTTGAACCGTTACTTACAACTATCGAGCGGTGTAGTGTGTTGTGTTTCATGGAAGATAATGACGGCGGGTCCTAGTGTTTGAGCTGTACCCGGCACAGGCAATGATTGCAATGCTTGTGCGAAATGCAGACAAAATGCCTCCGATGCTGAACTTAAGAAATCATACATATCACTGTGTAATCGTTCGGAACGCGTACGATAAATGACAATATCAGAAATGGCTAGTATCTGCAAGCGGCAGAGAGATAAAGAGAGAGAGAAATAGATATAAAATTAATAAACTATATATGCAATAATAAATTGAAATATATTTACCTTCAACAACATGCGTGTACGTCGATTCTTCTGCTTAGATGTACCCAATAGACCCTCCGTATCCAGACACAATACATCCATATCCCGTTGGAAAGCCGCATACACACCTATCGTACAGGAACTCTGTTCTGATGATGTTTTAAATACTTCTGCACCATCAAAGAATGTATGATTCATTGTATGCGACTTGCCATCACCAGTATTGCCGAATATTGATATGACTTTGATTTTTGTATCTTCATTGCATTTGAGTTTTTTGCGAAATAGTTCTGGTGTTGCTATACGTAAGTTTTCCTCAGCATCCATAAGTAGAAATGACAAATCTGTAGAGTGATCAGGTAGATCATATTTGGCAACGGGTATGCAACAATCAATCGATGTGAAATCATTGCTTATATTACGAGTGTCAGGCTGCAATGAAAGAAAGTAGTGGAAAAAGCGGTTAATTAAATAATTATAAAAAATATAATCATAAAAAATAATTAAAAAAAAATTAACAAATAAAAAATAAAATAATAAGAAATGAAAACGTACAATCGGCGCCATATTTTTATAAGGTCGAAATGAATGGGAGCTCAATCTGTAAAACACAAAAGTGTCGATACTATTTTTTATAAGTTTTATCTACAATACTTCTTTAAATTTTTTTAATTCTATTTTATTTATTTTATATATTTCCTATTATTATTTTTTATATCTATTTTGTTTCGATTTTTTATTTTATTTTACTTTTTCATGTTTTTCAATTTTTATGTTATTTTATATCTTTTTATTTATCCTATTTTTTATAATTTTTTTTAATTTTTCCTATTTATTATTTATTTATTTTCTTTTAATTTTTTTTCATTATTTTTTTCTTATTATTTTTTTTTATTTTTTTTTTATTTTTTTTTATTATTTTTTTTATTATTTTTTTTCAAAATTTTTTTATATTATTCTATTTTCTCTATTATTTTGTCTTTTTTATATTTTTTTTATATTTTTATTTTTTTATATTTTTATTTTTTTTATATTTTTATTTTTTTATATTTTTAATTTTTTTATATTTTTTTTTTATATTTTTAGTTTTTATATTTTTATTTTTTATATTTTTATTTTTTTATATTTTATTTTTTTATATTTTTATTCTTTTTTATATTTTTATTTTTTTAATATTTTTATTTTTTTATATTTTTATTTTTTTATATTTTTATTTTTTTATATTTTTATTTTTTTATATTTTTTATATTTTTATTTTTTTATATTTTTATTTTTTTATATTTTTTATATTTTTATTTTTTTATATTTTTTATATTTTTTTAAATTTTTTTATAGTTTTCTTACTTTTTATTTCTCGCTATTATTAAAATTTCTGATTTTAATGCATAAATAAAAATGTGTTCAGTTTATTATTATTTTTTTATTTTTTATAAATTTATTTTTAACATTGCGTACTATCATTCGGAAGGCCTGGGCTCCAGTGCTGGTCCGATCAACATTATAGAAATTTAATTTTTCTGACTGAGGTCTCTCCTTGGATTGTATTATTGACATAAAAAAAGCCCCTCATAAAACTCCCTCGGGCCTTCGGAGGCGGGTAGGAATAAAGTGCAGATCTTTGCATTTGTTGGAAAAACATCAAAACGACCACTGAAAATTGGAAGAGGAGTTCTGCGCGAATTATTATTATTTTTGGTTTCTTTTGTATTTTTATTTGGTTATTAATTTTAGTTTTTTAATTCACTTCTCCATTAAATTTATATTTTAATTTTAATTTTTTATATACTTATTAATTGTATTATTTTTTAATAATTATTAATTTTGTTTTCTTCAACTTTATTTATATTATTTTATTTCATTTTTAATTTAAATTATTATTTTAATTTTTATTTTATTTTATTTTATTTTTTTTATTTTACTTAAATAATTTATTTATTTTAATTTTTTTTAATTTTCTGTTTTATTTTAATTTTTATTTCGTTTCATAAAATTTTTTGTTCATTGAACTACCGAACGTTAAAGACGAACTTTCCTTTGGTAAACAGATTTTTTTTATATTGTACTTTCAAAATTGCCTGCTCACCTCATCATCTAGGGAAACAGAGTACCACATCTTGAAACTTGATGAAATTACGTTCTTACAATGCACTTATTGGTCAATATCACGCAGTAGGGAAATATGAATTGCTATTTTAAAACTGCATACACAAATTCAGTCTTTGCAATTCCAACTACTTTGTATATATTTACATACATACATATCTCGGCGCTTGTATTGCATATCAAAATTTCCTATTCATTTACAACCTTATCTTAGTTATAGTTTGCACTTGAAAAGGCAAAAATAAGGAAAAAAGTTTCCAAAAAAAGCAAAGCAGGATTTAAATAAATAAAAAATGAGCCTACAAATACAAAAAACTAACACATCAGCTATTTTTTGAAAAAAAAAATATATATATAATAAAAGAATCTTAAATAAAATTTCGCAGTTATTTTGAGCAGCAGTTCGCTGCTTGTTGCTTGCTTCACTGGCACGAAAGCCTTTTGTTGGTGTTCTGCGGTTGATTGGATGGTTGGTTGACTGTCTGATTGTATGGTACGGCCTTTTGTTAAAAAAAAAACAAACAGATATGAAATAAAAGTAATGCGGAGAACAGCTGAGTAGAAGTCAATATATAAATAAATAAAACGAAAATAAAACAAATAAACACAGCAACAACAACATCAGCGAGAATACTGATAACGAGCTGAGATATGGTTAATATAGATGGAGACACTTTTATGTACATATGTACAATAAGTACACAAAGGCTGCGTCAGACAGAATGGGATGAAAGTCGAAAGTAATAGAGGAAAAGGAAATCGCATCACGAAACTGACGTCGGGGTAGCCGGTAAAGTTTGATACGAATGTGAGATTACTAAATATATAGCTACGTTTATATTTCCAATGAATAGCAGACAAAGTAAACGGTAAATAAACAGCATCATCTTCGTTTTCTCACTAGCGAATGCCGCTGAATAGTTGATAAACAATTTTGAAGAGCAGAACATTTCGCGAGACGAAAGAAAAATATAAATAATATAATATTTTATACATTATTGTTCCACTAATTTAATTGTTTTCTGATAACAAGACATGACTTTGACGTCAGTATTCGAATGTTAGCTTATGAAATCTGTAGTTGATTGTTTAAAATAATTTGAGTTGAAATTATTGCTTTATATAAGGGCAATCAATACACTTATACGTATTACTTATATAATACAAATTTAGGTTTGTTTATTATTCTAATTAATAAAGATTTATGCATTACGAATGCTAAAAAATTTGAGTGTGTATAGATACAGTTTTACTGAATAATTTATTAGCTTATCATATTCATATCCAACTATAAACAAATACATGTACATACATAAGTATGTATGTATTTGCATGTGGTAGTTGAAGCAAAACCACAATAAACTGGAAAATGTATTTGTTTATAAACAAAACAAACGCAAAAGTCAGCTATAAACATGTTAATCAAACCTAAAATATACATATTTAAGTATGTATATGCATAAACAAGTTGAGTTAGTCACGTTTCCATCAGCTGTGGCAGTGTCAAAGCCACTTAATACTATTAAAAATAACATTTCGTGTGTGTACCTTCCACTTTAAAAAAATGTTTCGAGTACTTGCATAGATTAACAATTTATTTACATACATATGTACATGTGTATGTATGTACTTATTTTTTTTTGAAAAATTGAATAAAAATTACATTTAATACACCTAAATTTTGATTTATCTCCGTTTTACTTCATGAAAAAATTTTAAAATTATTTAAAATAGACATTTTAAGTAATTTATTAATAGAATAAATATTGCTATTGCTGAAGTAAATGTATACAATTTATGCCAAATAAAAATGTGTCGTAAGCTGATGTGTGTTAAATATATATATATATAACTAATTTGAGTTAGCACATTGACCTTGGGTAAATAATTGATATCAAAACCAACAAGCTTTTTCCAATCTCTGTTGTAAAGTCTACAGAAAACATTTTCAATTACATGTAAGCACATAAATGACTCAAGTGATATTAGAAAATCTTTTTTTTGTTTACATGCAAACGAAAATACATGTGCTTAACTACTGAACCCAAAAAAAAAACATTAGATTGTTGCTGAGACATACAAACATGTTCTTAAATAGCTTTTAAATAGTCGTTTCACTGTCGTTTACATATATGCAAAGGTTATCTTATTAACTTTGATGTGCATAATTGCAATAATTCATTTCCATGACGACTTCTAAGTCAAGCCGAGGAGGCCAATAATGCACGTTATCTGTGTATTTTTGTGTTTTACATATTCGCAGATTGCATGAAGTCCAAAGACACACCTCCCTTTCATATGGCGTGAGTGTATGTATTACATTTGTGTACAAATGTATCTGTAGCACATTGTTGCCGTTAAATTTGTTTAAATATGTGTATATATATATATGTATATAAAAATGTATAGAAGTTTTTGGATAATGTGGCTGCGTTATCAGTGCAGCTGCTGATTCATGCAAGGCTTGCATACAAATATATATACATATATGGTTACAATAAAAGATTTTCACTTCTTTTATTATTCGAGTTAATTTTTAATTTCTGATACGCAATTCCTTAAACCATGTGTTTGTTTTCTATTTGTGTTGTTCCTCATTGCCCTTCTTTCACCAAACTCATTCGAATTCATTGCTAAACATATTACTATTAAGCGAAGTTTTGTTATAATGTTAAAATATATGAGCATAATTTAAAAACCAATTCGTTTTTCACTTACTCCAATTCCAGGTGGTGTCTCGAGTGCCTCCATTATGGCCGAATTGGGTACTAAATTCTTATTAAACATTTTCCAAACAATTAAACACTCTGAAACAGGGTTTTTTGGAGAATTTTATAATTTTTGCATAAAGGATTAACAATTTTTCACTGTTTTTCTTTTTTTTATTATTTTGCTTGTAATGAAATATAAAGTCGTATTGTCTAGCGATAATGAAATTTTCCGAATGTCAAGACAAAGGCAATGGGTATCCCTTAACACCACCGAAAAAGTCTATTTTCTATTATTTACACAACCACGCCTTATAATGTGCTCCAAAAGGAATTTATTGCACATCCACCGAGTTATTACCGATAAGTAGAAATTCTTTCAAATTTTATGAGTTTTTCTTAGTAGATTTTAAACTTTAAAAGCAGTTTGTAATTTTACTCCTTTAAAAAACATGCGAACCCAAAGAAAACAAATTGGTATATTTCAAGTGGTAATGACAGGGTTACCAGAATATTTTTAGACAACATATCCATAACGATCACTGAGAATACGCGAAAAAAATCAGTTTTTCTCAAAGTCACTATCTAAATCTAATACTTAGATATTACAATATTTTTAAGTTAAACAAATACTACGAAAATATGTCATGAATACAGTAAATAGACTTTGACACAGTCCAAGTCTAAGTCCTTAAATTGTTTTACTTAAATAGTAAAACTCTTACCAAATTCCCCATATCCCAATTAGAAAAACATAAGATTTTTGAATTTTCATAAATGGCATCACTTAGTAGAGACCGAACTGAGAACAGCTGCGAATTGGAACACAAGCATTGCCATTCATTGCAGCACAACAGAAACGGTACAGAAACCAGTGTTCATACTTATAAATTGTTTTTCAGCGGTAAAATTTTGTAGCCAATTTGAGATGACAAGATTATATACAAATATTCATTCTGAACTTGTTTATTTAAATTTTACTTAAATTTCATTAAAAGCAAAAATGAAATCAATTTATTTAACTAACATAAATCGAGCTTGAATGATCTTACAAAATTTTCAAAGTAAAAATTGAACCACAATCCTTGTTAACATCAAAGAACGTATATGAATACGTTCATATACGTTCTTTGTTAACATTTCTGTCCAGAAACATATGTTTAAAGCTGCCAGCTTCACTGTGTTGCCAATGTCTAGTCTGACTTTCGGAAATTTTCTCTGATTTTAGTACGGTTTTAGAGCACAAAATGTTTATTATCCCCAATTTCCTACTTTCTATACAACGCTATATGTCGTCATCTGTTATTCGCTGATGTTACTCATACAAATTTTCCGCAACAACACAAAAAGGAGTAGTCAAATATTTTCAGCTGCCGCAATTATATCCTTGTAAAATTTGGAAAACCTTTTTCAATTATATACGCATTTATGCGAAAATATTAGGAGATATTAAAGTTGTGCAATGAATAAGAATTGTGAATAAATCCCTGGAAAAAGTGTTGTGAACATCAGAATATATTTGCTGAATATAAGTTATTTGACTTTGTTGTGTATGCACTTGTTGTATATAGCAGTGTTGGCGGAACCAAAATTTGTAGCTAGTAAAATACTGGCAAAAAATTGAATTATCTATTCTTAATAAATATACAGCTGTTTCGAACGAGTAGCAACCTGCGCCCGGATATTGCCAATAGCCATCAGGCGTTCTCTAAAGACACATTTCGCTTACTTGGGATTTCTTTTAATTTCTTTACAAATCTATTAATTCGCTTGGGAGGAATACATCTGCTACTTTTATTCCTACATGCCCGGTTTTCATATTAATGAAATGGGTGAAATGGTTTTGGATGCCATCGAGGACATCGCCGTTTATGATGTATATGGTCTAGCAACAGATATTGGTAGAGAATGCGAACGGGTGATTGATCGTTTTGGTATCGATGCAGTCTCCACTGTGTTGCCTAAGGTTATCAACACGCTAGAGTTGTTGGAGATATTTGTAGATAAGAACGAAAAGGAGAATGTAACAATAAAGGAGTTGCGGGAAAAGATTACGCAGTTGGAGAATGAAAAATCTGAAAAAGCAGAACACCGCCGACGTTATGAGAGGGTAAGGGAAATATATTTATAGTATTTTTATAACCAGATATTTTTGAAATATTTATCTATTTAAATTGTTTGTTTGTATAGGAAATGGAAGTGCTAGAAGAGCAATGGCGTACCGAAACTAATGAATTGCTTGAAATGGTGCAAACACTACAGGATGAAAATAAACGTCTTGTGAAACAGACACAAGATTTGCAATCTTCTTCTGCACATTCATCAGGTTTGGGTGCAAGCTTAACGGAAAGTATTATCAGTATTACGAATAATGAGTTGCATAGTGCTTTAACTGATACACAAGTACTCCAACGTTTAAAGGAGCAGATTTACAAACAACGAGATGAGCTGAAACAAAAGGAGCAAGAATTGCAGGAAAAATATGAGGATATCGAGGGTGTAAGTATTCAAAAACTTACTATTGGTAGATTATTTTCAAATAATAATAATATCAAATCAAAGCTTATGCAAAACCCATATTATCCAATTCGAAATCCTTCAATTAAGAAAATAACAGTTTCTTATATTTTCAATAAGAAATACCCTTCGGCGGTTATAAAGTGGTATTTAGTTATATATACACAAACACACACATACAAAATAAATTCATCAAATAACCAAAAAAAAAATATTTTTTTTTTGCCATTACCTATAATGCCTGCACACAATTGCCTTATAACTTTTTATTCCTTCGATATTTCGTAAAGTTTGCAAAAAAAATTAATTACCCCTTTACGTAGTTTGGCGACTTTGTCATTATTCAGGTCATCATAAAATGTATTTAACGCTCGTTAACTTTGGCTAATTTAATCAACTCGCTGCCAATTATCTATGTCTGCCTATGCAGCGGCGCTAACTTGAAAACTTTTGCAGCATCACTATATATGTATATACGGGCATTACATTCGCTGTGCTTATGTGAGAGTATGTGTAGGTATTTATTTTTACGCTTGTTTGCATTTCCTGACATTTTTTTTTTCTTGCTTTTGCTCTTTGCTTTTTCAAACTCACCACCCACAAAACTTCCTACGTCGCCGTAATCTTACTTGTATTCAATTATTGCAATTTTCTATACAATTTTCTTGCATTACTTACAGCTTCATATACAAATTGAACGCTTAAAAACATCTGGAGAAGATGCTCATCGCCGACGTAAAGCATTGCAGGCACAAGTGATGACGATGTGTGAGCAACGTGCCGACTTTTTAGCACAATTACAGGACCAATTCCTTGAAATTAATCAATTACGTCAACAACTCGGTTTGGCTGAGAAAGAGAATGAGGATTTGGTAAAATCATACAGTGACGACCCTAACGATCCGAATCGTCCGCGATATACGACGTTACAGTTGAAGGAGTTAATGCGTGAACGTGATGAATTAATCACCACTGTTGACAATTTGACCGAAGAGTTAAAGGCACTGAAGCCAAGTAGCGCCAAAGTGGCAGGTGGTGGCGGTGGTGGTGGTGGTGGCGACTCAAGTTCATATGATTATGATGACGATGATGATGTTGATGAAGAATCACAAGAGGCGCATGAAGCTGTATGCGGCACGTGAGTAAAAATTCGTAGTAGTAGTACAAGTAATTATACGCAGTTGTGGTAGTGTATAGCTGTGTGGAATGAAGGTGGTACTTGAGCACTGGGCATTGTCGCTACGTGAAGAGTACTTTGCAATTATTGTTTGCATTTAAAAAGGCTTTGACTGAATGTGTCTTATAGTATTTGCTTTGCGTCACTTTCTGCTTATTTCATTTTATTCTTATTTTTATACTATAGGCCGCCCGACCATGATGCACCCGTACAAGGACCTTTACCCTACGAACCAGACGATGCTCCTTGGAAGAAGAGCAGTGAATCGGGTATACGTAAATTGTTAGTATACTTTCCTTTAAAAATATTAATTAAGATAAAGCGGAACATTTTCGTATTTTTAACGATGAAAATTATCAGAAAATTACGAATTATTACGAAGTCAAGAAATACTACTAAATACGCATATTTATTGCAAAATTAGAAGGAAATATATTTAAAAAATAACGAAATAATAGTAATCAAAGATAATTCTAAATAATAGTAATAATAAGAATAAGCAAAAATAAAGCAATAATAATAAGAATAATAAATAATAATAGTAATAAAAATATTGAAAAAAAATAATAATAATAAAAAATTATTATAATAAAATAATAAACAAATAACATAATAATAATAATATTAGTAATAATAAAAAATTACACGAAACTATAAAAATAATTAAAAAATAAAAAAATAATAAAAATAAATAACGAAACCGAATCCGTCAGAAAAAAAAAAAACAAAAAATGCAAAATTTATCGAATCGTATTCAATTTTGGATTTATTCAAATTGAAGAAAAAAGTCTATTACAATTTAGGTGAGTTAGTAATAACCGATCATTTATGTATGCATATATGTTTACTGCCTTTCAGGCGTATTATAAAGGCACTATAAACCCTGAGTAAATATATCAACCACCTGTGTTCGTACCTCAGCTATTACTGCCTTAAATATTCGATATTGAGTGGAAAAACTGTTAAATATCTCGTGGTGCAGAAGTAGTCTACTAAACAAATTTATAATTTTTTACGAGTCGTGTTGATGTTAAGTCGTGTTGAAACTAAAATATATTTTTATTTTTGAATAAAAGATGAATTGTGGGCTTACTTTTTGCCCTATCTTATCATTTTCCAAAGAAGAAGAATAAATTTCAATAAAATATCACAAGTTTTATTCAAGTCATGACTTGCACAGATTATATGTACGTCGCCTGTGTCAGATAGACGTAGCTAAATGAAAACAACCAAGGATCTGACTTGAAAAAGGGTTACAAAATTATTTACGCTAGATGTCGCGGCGGTGAAAACTTTACCAAAACTCGTATTTATGTTCCAATTGGGTTTATATTGGAAACATGTATTGATTGGTAAAACCAATAGAATTATGCTTACCGAATTTTGTACCCTTAGATGGCACCAAATCGTATTTATTATACTCAAAATACGAATTCATTTTCGAAACATTGTCACATTCGGTGGTGCATACATAGTCTGTATCTTTTCAAGCTGTTGAAAAATATAATAATAATAATTTAAAAAAAAAAAATAACCAAAAACCAAAAAAATTAATAATAAATTTCAAAAATAATAAAACAGATTAAATTAAAAAACCATTATAATTAAAAATTAAATTAATTTAACCCTTTAACAAATAGTTTTCAATAACATTTTATCTAAAAATCTTTTGTTTTTAGGTACATTTTTTCACAAGTAAAATCCTTTTTTATCTTTTTGCGTACTTCACAGTTTCCGTCGTTTGTTTTCCGACACATCAGATACTTCAAAGCGTTCCTTGGCCACACTTTCGAAAATGGCGCTCTCTGCTACGCCTGGCAATGTGGATGTCAAGTAAACTACCGGGCTAATGCATTTATTTATTCTTTTGTTAAAATTATGGGCTGAATTTTTCGATGTTAATTAAGCAGAAGTGCCAGAAAATGGTGTCGAAGATTATTTATAAGAGTTTTGTCTGAAACTGCAACATTCCTTACATTCTTCATGTAATTAATAATTTATACAACAAAAAAGGTTATCAAGAATTCTAAGCAAAAATCTAAACTATTTAAATGTGTTGATGTTAAAACAAATTTTGGCGATGAATGAACATATTTTGAGGTTATGTTAATTTTTTTTTCCAAAATGTGTGATAATTTAGAAATTTTAATATTGTTTATATTTATTTAAGTATGTATAATATTTTGTTTTTAGGCTATCAAAAATTACTTTTAGCTTATAAAACAGCACTTCGAATGGGTGATAATGGTTGGTTAAGACAAAAATATTTTCGAAAACTTTTGTGTTTTCAAAAATCTAAATTATTACATTGTGAAGTATCATATTTATATATTTCAGTTATTTAAGGCTAAAATGCGCGCCTTTAATAAGTATATATCTGTATGTTTAGTAGGCAAGTTTAGAAAGTCACAAGAGAAATTATATGTGATTATATTCCTTAATGATACAATTTTATACAACTTTGTTACTTTGATTTATTTAAGCAAAAAGTTTTATTTTACCGAATCCTGCAGCTTTCGTAACCGTTACATGTATCGCCTGTTATTATAAATTTAAATAAAAGCCAAATATGTTTATAAGTGTTTTTTATTTTATATACAAACCTACACATTAGTATATATACTTATATATACATATATATATTTTTATCATCTACACATTTTTTGAATTAATATTATTAAGTTTGCTTACATTTATATATTTACGCCTACATGTCTGTCAAGGTAGGCAATTATAATTATACTTTTTTATATTATTCCCCAAGGTGCTTCTTATTTGTTTATTTACAACTGTTTTGCATGTCTCGAGCACAAAAAAGAAATTAAAAAAAAGTTTTTTGAAAAATATTTTTCAAAAAGAATTCTTTCTTGTTTAATTTTTAATGCCAAACGCCATTTTTAAACTTACTTTTGGAAATTAAGTAATTTATCTAAAAGAATATTTTCTCAAAAACTGTTGCTTTTTTATTTCTAAGTATATATTGTTTTACAGGAAAATGGAAATAAAAAAAAATAATGCAATTGTTAAAACAAAATTCAAATGTTTCGTTTTATATTTTAATATCAATATATACAAAATCTTAACATACTTATGTATACCGAAAATTTTATTGTATTTATTATATTATGTTTGGCAAGTTTCTGCATTTTAAAACTTCTTAATTATTTCATTGAATGTTTTCAATTAAAATGTGTTTTAAACAATTTTTTAAAGTTAAGAATCTATTTTCAATTCTTATAGTGAATATCTCGTATTCATTTGATTATATTCTAGTTCAATTCTAGTGAAAAGTACTAAAAACTACGTGATGTTTAACTTATTCAATATTTATTTGACTATTTTTTATTTAATTTTTTTTTTTTATTAAAAACTAAAAATCGCTTTAGCGGTTACAAAGCGCCAATTATTTATATATATAATATATATTATATAAAAGCTTAATATTATTTAAAAAAAAAAAAAAAAATTCAGTACTCGCACTTTATATGTATGTCATGTCGCCTAACTTACTACAAAAAATGCCTTTTTAGACTTGAGGGTTTTAAATTAGGTCTGTTCGAGCATTTACATATTATTGAATATATGCAAGTGTTTATTTAAAATTTTCAATGTCATTTTTTATGCTTATAAAAATAGTTTTGTGAACATTTTATATTTTTTTTTTGAATTTATTATAATATTTAAATTTTTTTATAATTAATTTTATTTTTTTTTAATTTTATAAACATTTTTAAAAAATTTAATAACAACTTAACATGAATATTTATTTTATTTATAAATATTTTTCAAATCTTTATAAAATAATTTTTGAGTATTAAAATAAAATATAAAAATTTAACTAAAATTTATTGAAAAAAAAATTTGTATAAGAGTATTTTTGGAAATTAAAAATAAGAATAGTTTTTAAAACATTATAAACTTCAATCTAACTTGATTTTGTAATACACTTTTTTAACAAATAGCTTTATACAAATGTTTTTGAAAACTAATAATATTATATTGTATTTTTTGATAACTTTATAAGCTTAAACGTAAATTCATTTTGTAATAAATTTTTTGAACAATTATGCATGTATATAAAACAAAACAACGAAAAGAAAACTTTTTTTTTTAAGTAATTTAGTTTTTGTTGTTATTTTTATAATATTTTTTTTTTAATTTAACTTTACTGATACATTTTTTTTATTGTTATTATTTTATTATTATTAAAATTATTTTATTTTTATTGTTATTGTAATTATTAAATTATTTATTATTATTATTTTGATTTAAATATTATTAATTTATTATTATTATTATTATTAATTTATTATTATTATGATTTTATTATTATCGTTATTATAATTATTAAATTATTTATTACTATTATTTTATTATTATTTTGATTTTATTGTTATTTTTTATGGTTATTATTTTCTTATCTGTATTTTGTTGGAACAGACCTAACTGGTATGCGCTTCCAATTTTATATACAATACTTTTTCAAAAAAAAAAAGAAACTTTCAAACCCAAACACCCTTAGAGGACTGCTTTCCGATATTTTCTTGCATATGAAATTAATATAAAAATAATAAATATACTTATTAAAATTTATTGAATATTGGTGAACACAATTTTAAAAGGAAAAATTAAATGTAGTACAAGGTTTATTATCCATACAAAGAATATTGGCAAGTAAATGATATAAACAAAAAACAAATATATAATTAAAGCGTTTACCAGAGATAATTGAAAAAGGAATTATGGAAAAACTGAAAAAAAATTTAAAGTTGAAAGCGTTGCAAAAATTGCATTTTTCCAAAGATTTATGTAGTAAAAAGAAGAAAATTAAATTAAAATAAACTTCAAGTGCAAAGCTGGTGAGAGCGCAATTACAAAAGTTTTCCAAATAATTTCACAATTTTGAAACAAATATTTTTTTAAATGATTATTATATTTCGCGCTAAATATGCACGCCTCTTCGATGTTATAACGAATATTTTCTAAAACTATTTGAAGCATATTTTTGTTTTTATTTTCGCTCTCTCGCCAATAGCAGCCACACTAACTTCACACTCACAAAAATAACAACTTAAACTAATTATATGTATGAAAAGTACACAAATTTATACAACTTATATACATACATGTTTACATATATGTATGTAATTTTAATCACAAACAAAATAGTGCCTCAGCAGCACAATTTTAGCTACGAATAACGTTGAGTAGCTGACTTAAATTATGAAAATCATTTTTAATATTACATATGAAAAAAAAAACCATACCAAATAGAGCTACATAACATACATACCTATTGATATTGAAAGCATAGAAAAAGTTTATTGTATTTGTAGTTTTGAAAAGAAAGAAACAAAACAAAAAGTAAAAAAAAAAATTTTTTAATTAATAAAAATAAATAAAATACAAGAAAAAAAATTAATTTCAATACAGTGTTGTGCAAAAAATTGTTGTGTGTCGAATAAAAAGGGAAGACAAGAGGCAAAAGTGGCTAATGAAGGTCTCAATTTCTATTAACAATTTGTTGTAACAATATTTAAAGAAGGATTTTTGGAAAAATTCACTGCTATATATTTTTATTCATATAAAACATAAGCTTTTGTGCTTGTGCAGCTTTTTGAAAAATTTTAAAAAGTGATTTTTAAAATTCCTTACCATTTGCTTTCGTAAAAGTTTAGAATATATTGCTTTGTAAAGCAATTATATGGCACTTATATGGTATTTTAAATAACAAAAAAAAAAAAAAATAGTAAAATTCTTTTGAAGCATGAAGAGAGTATGCTGCCGTTGACCTCATCAATGTTTTGAAAAGAAGTTTCCATACACAGCTTTTAAGAGAATCTGCCGAAAGCTTTTTGCAACATTTTTAGAACTTGATTAAAAGGTTTAAACATTTTTTTTTCATTTTAATATTTTTTTCGTGGATACAGAAATTGCTGCTAATTATTTGCACCTCACTGTATTTTAATTTAATCTATACGAATATAAATACAAATAAATATTGAATACCAATTTGAAATGTTAATTAAAACGGTAAATGCAAAGATGTATGTATGGTTTTTTAGGTGTGGGAGGTTTTTAAAAGCAAAAAAATGTTGAACATTGATAAAAATACACTGAAAAATTATAAAAATATGATATACTATATGTATATAGATACATATATATTAATTAGATACATATATATTAAATTATGTCACAATTAATAGCCAATTAATCACAAAAATATTTCACGCGCATGCACTTAAATATTTGAAAAATAAAATAAAGATAAAAAAAATCGAAAGACAAGTTAATTATTATTGTAGCTTTCAATAATTATGGAAAAATGATCCAATTATTATTATAAATGTAATTTGCAAATTACAAACAAAAACACCAGGCACACAAACATACAATGTTAATTTTATGCAAAAGCCACAAACGAATTGAGAATGCATCTTTTATCAAAAGCTTTGTATAAATCTTTGCTTAATCTTACTCGAATTTCTTAGAACTTATACGCTTTTATTTTTTTTTATCAAAAATTGCCAAAAATGTGCTTAAAAGGCGTATTTACTTCAGAATGATTTAAGAGCTTTCAAAAATTTTACTAAAGCTTTTCGAAATTATTTGTGAGCTTTGACAATTTTTTGTAGGCGTCTAAAATCTGGAGAGCTTTCGTAAACTTTTGAGAGCGCTCGTAAACTTTTGAGAGCTTTTGTGAATTTTCGGAAGCTTTTACAAATTTTTCCAGCTTTCATTTCATATGTGCAATTTGGTTAATTGTTATATTGTTTATTTGTTGTAAAAATCGCTTGAGCTTTTTCTGCATATGATAGCCAGTTGGTTTTTTTAGAGAAAAACAGTCTGATGAGCCATTTTCAATTTGAATGCAAATGAACTTTTAAACAAATAACCATTTTAAATTTCTTAAGCACTATCATTAAGAATTCCAAACGATATATTTATACATGAAAAAAATCGAGCAAAATTATATACATACATACATATATACATAAAAATCTGAATATTTACATAAAAAAATTAATTTTATTTCAAAATTTTAAGGT